TTAAAACTCATAATTACAACTTTAAAAATCAAAATTTCGAGTTTTAAACTCATAATTATGAGTTTCTGTAGGCTTTTTTTTTTTTTACATGGCGGAAACGGGCTTTCATAACGAGGGACACTAAAATCCCCACAAAATCAGACCTTTATGAAAGCTGTAGGTTCTCTGACAGCTGAGGTCGAGCTGTTTTAGTTTACATTGAGTTCTATTGGACTTTTTTCTGGGTAGCCCACGTGAATTTAGTCTGCAGTACCCCGGGCGCCCCCTGTGCCCATGGGTGGGACAGCTAGGTCCGTGTATAAGTTAGTAATACCCTATCCAGTTATTATTATAGATCCAAGCTGGAACTACATGAAAACTGAACATCAGCGGTGAGTGAGCCAAATATAAACTTAACCTAAATCCATAATCAGATCCTCTGCAAATGTGTCCTAAAATTTTTCTACTTATGGTAATGGTTACTTCCGGGTTTACCACGATTGCTTTTTGATGCCTTAAAACAGTTTTTGTCATGAAAACGTTAACAGATAATTCTGAAAACCTCCGTGCATGTGTGTTAAGAATGTGTATTTGTAATGTATACTACAATTATCATCTAAATGTTTTGATATTTGTGTTATTGAGCGTGGCTAGCTTCGATAGCTTCTCTCGCTCAGTAGAACATTTTGAAATTACATTCTACCGCTGCTGTGATGAGCTGTATAATAAATTATGATTAAATATTCAAATATTTAAATTGATAATCTCTCCTCGGCATGTCTTGGACCATTGACCCAGCGCGTGCACGGAAAAGTAGGCCCGGCTTCAAGCAAAGGGGAGGAGGCTTGGGTCGTTTTTTTCTCTTTTTTCAAATCATATACTGTACCTCTCTATTTTTTCTGACAAAGTCCAGACAAAGTCCAGACTATCACTTTAAAGGCAGAGCCTGAGGTGCATGTGCTTTGTTTAATGAGAGAGGGAGTTTCATCTATTAATTTGTCCTTCATTTCAGCGTTCAGTTGTGAGCACACATTTTTCAGTGTTATCCTTCAAGCTGTGAATTACAGATTTTATGTAAGTTCACAACTTTTAAAGACCGTCGTCCAGCGGTCTTTACATCGTTGGAAAGTAAATATGTACCGAGGACATGTAATCAAAAACTAACTTTTAGGAAAAACAAAAGGTTGCTCACCCATCTGTACTTCAGTTAGCTGGTTTTCCCAACTTTTATGAAATGTGTTCAGGTTCTATGATATTCAGGTTAGCTACTATTCAGGTACTCTGAGGTGTGAAGGATAATGAGTCAGAGCATTGAGGTTATGAATCACCTTTTGTACTTTTCTTTTTTTACCATGAAAATGTTTTTTGGTGCATTGTGGTACAATTTTGATTAGAGAATTCTTTTATATGCTTGTATGTATTACAAGGACAATGCTCATAACATTAGTCTTATAAAGGGGGCCAGGTTTTAGAAAGAATGCTTTTTTTTTTAAAACCTTAATCAAAACATTATCACACATATGCATATCAACATACACACGCAGTCACACACACACACACACACTGCTCAATGTGTACAGGCGTGAGGTGAGAGTAACCACGTTATATTCAGATGTGATGATGTCTGATCAAATGTGGTTTTTAATCACATTTGATGCTTAATGTGATTTGTTTTTAAGTGCTTAAAAACAAAGCACTCTCCTCCAACTATGGACTTGAGAAATTATACATTTATATTTATGAAAACATTAATTAATAAAAACAATTGCATGTCAAACTGGAGTTAAAATACTTATTATATATTGTCAAACTATAATATAACGTAGATTAACGTTGCTGTATTCCAAGTAGTTCCACCATTAACAGGAGATATAACATAACTTGTAACAAAGCCCAGTGACGTCATGTTCTTGTTTCAAAAATATAAGGAAAGTTTAATGCCATACTGTCAAAGAGTCCAGGCAAAACATTTAGATGAACCCAAGAAAAAACCGGACCCTCTTCTCCTTTGCACTCTGGCTGCAAGGAATTATTATTATTATTATTATATTGAGTCTTTATCAAATGTGCAGAGTTAAGCACATTTTATTTGTTATCCATCTCCATATATGTGTGAATAACTAATATATGACTATACAGTATTCTTCCTAACGCTAAATCTTTTTTTTATTTTTTATAAATAACTGGCGCCCCCTGCTGGTGTGAATACAAAATAGACAGTAGCTGCAACATGAAGCACAAACACAGCCACAGATGTCATTGTTTTGGCCAGATGATTACGAATGACACAAAAACATGTTTTTGTGTCAGACACAATCAATCTGACACAATCATGTGTCAGAGAAATGTGGTTTTTATTTTCAAATGTTTGCATAATTGAGGCGCTCTGGGCCAAGAATGTTCAGGGATACCATCAGAGAGGATAAAGAACCTCATCCACAACTACCACAAAAGACTCCCAGCTGTCTCAGATGTCAGAAGGGGAATTACAGGCTATTGAGAATCGGGGGAGGGCGACTTCTGATCAAGGTCAGAAAAGAGTTTCTGTTGTCATTATAGGAAAAACAAGGCAAGTTTATTTGTAAAGCACAGCTTATACACAAGGCAACTCAAAGTCTTAAAAAAATGAGAACAAATACATTCAACTCATATAGGACATTAAAATCATAAACAGTCAAAGCACATTAAAGTGAAAATCAAAAATCAAATTCTTCAGTTGTATGCACGGTGCTGGATTTAACGTCAGAGAAGAAGCCTCCCCATGACTCTGACTCTGGGCCAGTCCCTGTACTCCTCAGTGTCCCTGCAGGAGGCCAGTCCCTGTACTCCTCTGTGTTCATACAACCACTAAGGTGTAGACCTTAAAGCCAAGTCACCAACAGATTAACGTAATCTCTCTCATTCCATCCCATACACATCTGAAAATTACAACATTGTTCAAAAGTTCAGTGAATCAACTTTAACATTTGAAAACCATATATGTATGTATTTATTTATTTCAAAACCAAATAAATACCAACAAAGTTTTGAAAAGGGGGTTGGGTGAAGCAGACGCTTATACATGTCCAACCCCCTCTCACACTTTCAGCAAAACAGCAAATACAAATGACACTAACACTGTGCAGTTACATCATTACATCAAATTAAAAAAACAAGACACAGAGACAAGACGCACACTCATTCTCTCACTCACACAGACACTGGCCCAAACACTCCCTGACCACACACCGCTCTGTCCATGCCCAGGGCATCACTCTCTGTCCTCCATATATTTCTTCAATATGTCTCTTTTAAATTTCTTTTGAAATGCAGTCATAGTTGAGCATATTTTCAAATCTTCTTTTAATCCATTCCAAATGTGGACGCCTCGGACCGAGATACACATAGATTTTAATGTAGTCCTAAATTCAGGTACATAGAAAAGTTTGTTTCCTCATAATCTGTAATTATGATGAGCATCTCTATCGCTGAAAAGATTACCTAAATTGGACGGTAGAAAGTTTTCAGATTATCTGAGCAGTTTTAAGGACGATCAAGTCCTGCAGTTTCAGTTGTTGGTTTTGAATGAACAAAGGATTAGAAGGATGTCTGAAGTGGACGTTGGACACAATCCTTACAGCCTTCTTTTGTAAGATAATCAGAGGCTGTAAGTGAGATTTATAGCAATTACCCCACTTTTCCACACAATAGTTTAATTATGACATTATAAATGAATGATACAATAACAAAAGAGCATTGGTATTGATCAGGTGACTTGCTCTCTTCATTATTCCCACACACTTAGAAACTTTTGTCCTCAAGTAACTTACAGTATGTGAGGTTTCCAGCTCAGATCTTCATCTATTATTACTCCCAAGAATACATTTTGTTGAGCTTTCTGAATCGGTGTGTCATCAATTAAAATTCTAACGGAATTTTACTTTTGCGATTACTAAAAAGCATGATTTTGGTTTGATTTTTTTTAGTTTAGGTTAAGGGACAGTTTGTTATTATTAAACCATAATTTTAGTTTATTCATCTCCCCTGTTACAAGGGATAGAAGTTGCTCCAAGTCGTCTCCTGAACATGTGATGGTGGTGTCATCGGCAAAGAGTATACATTTCATGACTGTTGATATATTGTATATTTCATGTATGTACATAAGGAAAAGTGTCGGTCCCAGTATTGATCCTTGTGGAACTCCACAGGTTATGTCCCTAAAACCTGACCTGTGCAGATCAAACTGAACAAGTTGTTTCCTCCCCTTCAGATAACTTTCTAACCCTTTTTTTGATGTCCCCCTCATGCCATAGTTTTCCATTTTATGTGGTGGTCGATTGTATCGAAGGCTTTTTGGAGATCAATAAAGATTCCTATTACAAATTTATTATCATCTATACCATTCGTTATATCTTCAATGAAGTCAATTAAAGCAAGTGATGTCGATCGTCTATTTCTAAAGCCGTATTGGTCATCAGATAATAAATTAAAATGACTGATAAAGTTGCGAAGTCTATTATCATATAGTTTTTCTTATACCATATATGCTATAGAATCCTTGAAGGCAGGGAAACCTTGATTGTTATAATGGCTTACAGTCAATACATTTTGATGTATGTATGTCTCTTTACTCAGGCTGTAGAACCAGAACTGAGGCTGTAGAACCAGAACTGAGGCTGTAGAACCAGGTCTGAGGCTGTAGAACCAGAACTGAGGCTGTAGAACCAGGACTGAGGCTGTAGAACCAGGACTGAGGCTGTAGAACCAGGAGTCAGGCTGTAGAACCAGGAGTCAGGCTGTAGAACCAGGAGTCAGGCTGTAGAACCAGGTCTGAGGCTGTAGATCCAGGACTCAGCCTGGGGCGGCTAGTTCAAAACTTTATTTGGGGTTACAGTCTTGATATATTTCACTTTTACATGTCATAAGTCCGGTGCATAGTTTCAAAACTTACGTTGAATTACAGAAGTAAATGGACTTTTGAACTATATTCTAATGTTCCAAATCTCACCAGCACACGCACTAACCATTCCCTTTTTGTCCAGGCTCGTTCAATGTGGAGCTGCGTCCTCCCGAGGTGCTCTTCAAAGTCATCTTCTGGCTGGGGTACTTCAACAGCTGCCTGAACCCCATTATCTACCCCTGCTACAATCGTGAGTTCAAGCTGGCCTTCATCCGCATCCTCCGCTGCCAGTGCCACCAGAGAAAGCGCCCGGGATGGAAGGCCTACAACTACCGATCCTCCAACTTCAGCTCGTCCGGACACTCCCGAAAAGGCTCCGTGGACCACAACTCGGGATTCCTGAACGGGAGCCAGCGCACCCTGTCCTCCGCCAGTCCCAGTCCCACTCCCAGCTACTTAAGCAAAAGTCTTCCCCCCTGTCCCGAAGGAGAGGCCCTGTTTCTGTGGGGGACTGGCGCCACCACCCCCTCCACGCCCAACCTGCTTCCCGGGACGCCGAGCTGTGAGCCTGCAAGGATCAAACCGGAAGTAACGGGAGGAAAGGCAGATGATGTGACTGCCCGTGTGTTTTCCTTCTCCTTTGGGAAATTCAGAGACAAGACTGGGATTAAGAGAGACAGTATTGCATCTGTGGATAAAGTGTGATGTGTGCGTATATACATGTGACCAAATCATGTAATTTAAACTAAGGAGACTCGAATTGTCGGTATAACAGCAATATTTATTTCACACAAGTACTAAAAATAATGTATTCAATTGGTTAAAAATCATCTTCAATTCAAAATGCAAACAGTTTAAAACCATGCAGTGCAATGTTAGATTCACAGCAAGACCATGAAAAAGAGGAGTGGGGTCGAATACAAATTATTTTAGCCCAATATATGAATAAACAGTTACGGGATAAAACAGTGGCCGGCTTAAAGTGCCGTGTTTGTATTCACTGTAACAGTGCAAAATAAAATTCTTTCCAGACACATGGGATTAAGAGGGCTGCAGGTAGCTTAACCTTTGACTCTCCAGACACCCCTCCTGGCTAACATGGCTAACATCACATGAAGCTGTGGATTCTCCTGGTGGCTCACTTCGCCTTTTCAGAAGACTGAACTCTGTTTCCTCTGGCTCTCAGCTGCTCTCATGGTCACTGCATGGAGTGGGTTGAGTGAAAGGCCCTGAATTCCCTCTCCCTCCATTTTTAGAAACCTTTGCCCCTCCCACCAGTACCTGTTTCCTGTTGCCCTGTCACATACAGTATGATGAGAAACAAATGATAACGTGAGATTTGTGTTGTGAACGGTGAGTACATGTTCGTAATAGGGCTGCACGGTTTCGGAAAAATTTCGTCTTTGTGATATTTCTGACCAACAGGTGAAAATTAGTATTGTTCAAAGTTCATTATTTTAAACTAAAAATGTGAAATCAATATTTCACATTTTGATGCTTACTGTCCACTTACTGTCCACTGATGCTTACTGTCCACTTTCAAAATATTCACATTTTCTGAGATGTTTTATTCACTTTGTGTGTAATGTGTGTGTATTAGCGTCACATTGTAAGTTGAATGACAGAAGTAAATAGACTTTTGAACTTAGTTTAGTAACTTCACTTGTTAGTATGTTTATAGTCACTTTTTGGTCAGAGTAAAAACAAGAGTTACTTTAGAAAAAGCGTACAAATTAAGCGATTACCATACACCACACATCGGAATTGAATGTATTTATTTATTGCAAACCTGCACAATTGCCACATTTCAGAAAATATTAAAACATGTTTTCATTTACAACTTTTTTTGGAAGTAGAAATAAAAGATTTGCTGCAAAATGTAAATTGTATATAGCCGCTTGAATTAAGAAGATGGTATATTTTTCAATACTTTTTTTGTAAAAAACAAAACGAGAAAACACACACACAGACACATGCGAGACATTGCGAATTCTGGTGCATTTACAGAAAAGTTTGCGCAATGTCCCTATCAAATAAACTAATAAATGACCCATTTCCAACGAGACAACGACTGAGAGGGCTTCCTTCTCATATTTAGATTTATTTTGATAGTTTTGACTTCAATTGATTATGAAAGAGATTTGGAATGAGAAAATTAAGTTTCTGCCCTATCTATTCTTAAATCAAGGAACAATTTCTTGATTTGAGTATTGATTTATTTTCTGTTTACAAAGAACTGAAATAATTAAGTAATTGCAGTCTTTGCGATTTGTTGATAGCGTTTTCATTGCAATCTCGATTGGGTTGTGATGAACCGTGCAGCCCTCGTTCATAAACACACATTACCTGGTCCCCGTTGCGCCTGGTCCACTGTGGGGACCGGGGTTCCCTGGTCCTAAAGCCTGTCGTTTCATGGTGGTCAGTGGTCTGTTGTGGTCAGTATTGAAATGTAACTCTGCTGCTGTAATCTTATTTTCCATTTTACTGTAAACAAAGGAGGACAGGGAAACGTTTGTGAACATGCATGACAATTTTATGAATGGTTAACAGACAAAATATTCTATCTCTGGCACAACATACATGTACTTTGAACTCAAATTCTTATGGTTGGTTTTATAAATATGACACAAATTCACTTTATTTGTTCATGATGTATGGTATATACTGTATTAAGTAATAGTTCTTTCCTGTGCGCACAATAATGCTATAAGTTTGGTGTCCAGTGTTGAAGAAGTTGTTGCTGTCTGTATCAGAAAGTGTTGGAGACATGAATAAAGTCATGTTCAAAGACAGAACACATTATGGTTTATTATCTTCATTATGCAATTATCATTATTATGATTATTATTATCATTGCTATTATTATTATTATTATTATCATTATCATTATTGTTAATTTAGAACAATATCCTATACCCAGCAAATGATGAGCGTTCATGGAGTGTGGGATTATGGCATTTCAAGGCAACCCATAACTAGTGTGACGTCACCAAATACATTAATTTTTCTTTCTAAAGGACATGATCCAGTCCCTCTTTTCAGGTCACACAATTATAATTTTGGTCTTTACAACTTGTCAAGACCAACTTGTCTTAAATGCAAACACAAGTAATACAAAAATAATAAATAATTGTGTTTTTCCATCAATCCAAAATACCTTGAAACAGTTCACACTCTATGTTTGAAAGTAGAGATCATTAAATCGTTTTCTGTGGTTGAAGATTCTTTTTAAAGTTTGACACGATTTAGGTGCATTTTAAATGTTCTATTTCAAGTGTATACACTTGGCCTCTAATTACAGCAGATCCTTTTTGAAAGGCTGCAATTAAACAGAGTAAGGGCTAATGCTAATGTACTAGTTAGCTATTAGGACATATTTAGAGGTTGTTACATCATGCTTCTGTAATGATGACACATTTATTTTCAGAAAGAGAAAGAGATGGAGATATGAACGATATGAATGATTCCATGATATGAAAGATATGTATTGTATCAGAATACAATACAATACAATACAATACAATTTATTCTTGTATAGCCCTAAACCACAACAGAAGTCATCTCAGAGGACTTAACAAAACCATTGAAATCACCAACACAGATCAGAGAATCAACAGTTAAAACACATAAAGATTATAGAACACATTTTGAAAAATGTCATACATGTAGAATGTTAAAGTGTCCTGGATCATCACCACAGTCCTTCTAGTTAGACACTAAGTGCCCAACAGACCCTCCTGCATCGGCAAGGAGAAACTCATAAGAAAACCCAGTGGGAAAAAATGAGAAACCTCGGGGAGACCCATGGTTTGAGAAAGGGATCCGCTCCCACGGACGGACGGACTATAGTCGAATAGTTTTCAAAAGTTCATTTATTTCTGTAATTCAACTTAGAATATGAAAGCAATATATGACATGGACTCATTACATGCAACGTGACAAATGCCAAGTCTTTGTTTAATATAATTTTGATTATTACAGTCCAATTCTAAACAAATAAAAACTTGATATATTTCACTTTGCCTATAATGAGCCTGTCATGTTAGTTTCCCATCGTAGGTTAAATCACAGTATAGTAAATTGACTTTCTAAAAGTACTCTTTCAGAGTTTCACCTGCAGATTGAAACAGAACTGGAGCTAAGGGAGACATGGCTGAATACTGTAGCACTGTGCTGTAGTGTATATATTTTATCTACACTTATTTACTTCATAATTACTGATAAATATTTTGCGTTCCTTGTTTTGAGTAAAATGTCCTTTCAAATGAAGTATAACCTGCCCCCTCACACTTCAAACACTTTAAGTATCTTCCCAATAAAGCAGTGGGCCATAAGTACTCAAGTTGATCTCTAGTTTATTAAACTGTGCAATTTTATAAACTCACTACAATCTCTCAAACAGATCTCATAGTCGAGGCATGATTCTTGAACCATATCCGGTACAGCGTGTTCTTTCGCTGTCTCAACGCTGTTATCCGTCAATTTGCACCATCATCTTCTCTAGAGCCCCGAGCCTTTGGACTTGTGATGATGTCTGAAGTGTTTGGGGGGGCTGGGGGCTGGGGGGGACAGCTGGCGTTGCAGACCTCCCTCCTGCCAAATCCAAGTACAAGTCCGTCTTCTGCTGTTTGAGTCTGTGGAAGCTGGCGGCACCTCGTCCATGATAATTGGAGATGTTGCAGAGCGTTCCACCTTTCCTTCCTCCCCAGCAGAACGGCCTCCAGACGGCTTGGCGTGGTGCAGGCTCTCTTTGCTGGACTCGGCCTCTGGTTTTGTCTGTTTTCTTGGGCATGGACATATCGCTTCTCAATCTGCTGCAGCCCGAGTCTGCCTGGAGTCCAGCCCAGTCCTGTTAGGCACTGTATCTATACTTGTAGAGCTATCCTTCTTCATGTCTCTTTTATCATTCTGTTCGCTCGGCATGGGAAAACACATTAACTGGATCCACAGTGTGGGCTTTATATGCACTTCATACAAAAAGATAAATGAAAGTTAGAGAAAAGGATTAGAAAGTGAGTCTATAAATGACATATGTACAATAATAGTAAATTCCGAATCCGGACTATAGGCCGCAGCTTAGTCGCACCTCGGCTTAAAGTGAGTTGCGACTTAAGTCTTTTTTCTGTGACACCAAAATCATTTTGCCAAGTAACAGTAGACCAACAGAATTGATGAGTAGTTGAATTGAATTAATAATTAAATTGTAAGATTTGTCAATCCAGCAGAATGAATAAACTTTGAAAGTCCTCACTTATAATATCTGTGTAAATATTTCAGATAATAAACAGTTTTTTGGTTCTTTGTATAGACATGGAAGTGAAAAGAGACCAGTAGATGTTGCTCCTTGTCTTTCTGCTTGACACTGGAAGATAAAGAACAGTCAGCGACTCACTTCTTACTCTTACTCTTATTACTCACAGTAACAAGAACATGAAAATTTTTAAGATACATTTTTCAATACTACAATGTAGGATAGGTGCGGTTTATAATCTGGTGCAGCTTGTACAAATACAAAATTCAATTTCTTTCTAAAAATGAGAGCCTGCGGCTAACAGTCCGGAAAACAACGGTAATAATAATGCATCAGTTTTATATAGCGCATTTCAGGACAATCAGGCCCTGTTTAGACAGAGATGGTGTGGAGACGCTGCAAAGTAATTAGCAAGAACAACCAGGCTTCTCATTCGAATTACAGCGTCTACACTGCGACGGAAAACAATGTAGTTCTAGTGCAGTTAAACACATCATTCTTCATTTAACAGCAGCAGCAAAAATGGAAACTGAAACTACAGCTTCATGTGGTTTTGTTTGGAAGAAGGAAGAAGGAAGGAGTAAAATGGCTGTAAAAAGGCATACACAAAATTAGAGAGAATACAAAGCAGTGGCAAAAACACACTATTTCCAGCAAAAATATGATAACAAAATCAATTAAAAGCCAATGACAGCAAGTGAGTCTTAAGACGAGACTTAAAAACAGGACGTGAATCAGACAATCTCATTCCGTAATTTAGGACCAAAAGCCGAAAAAGCTCGATCCTCACTGAGTTTACGTTTAGTCTGAGGAACCCAGAGCAGAGCCTGATCTGCCGACCTGAGAGAACGTCTCATGAAGTCAGAAGGTCAGATAGCGCGAAACAAGGCCGTTCAGGCATGTATAGACAATATTTAAAATCAATCCAGTAGCGAACAGGAAGTCAATGAAGAGATGACAGGACCAGAGATATGCTAATACTTGCAGACGAGCGAGGACTGGCTGATACCTGTGTACAAGGCGTTACAATAGTTCAGCCGAGTCGTATCAAAAACGTGAATCGAAAATTTGAAAATTCGCCTTGAAAGGGAGGACTTTATTTTAGCATGTTAAATTAAATGGAAGAAACTTAAATGGAAGAAACTGGACTTAAAATGGAAGAAACTGGACTTCACTACTGCACATATTTGTTTTTCAAATTTTAAATCAGCATTCATTTTTACTCCAAGGGCTTAACAAATGTTGTAGCGGTCCCAGGTTCACGAGGCTACGACTGCCTTTGCTGGGCCAAACCAGCAGAACTTCACTCTTTTTTCCATTGAAATGTAAAAAGTTTGTCCCCATCCACATTTTGATTTCAGATATGCACTCCAGAAGTTGGGTGCAAGCTAAAGCTCGAAGAAAACGTTAGTATTAGTGTACCCGCCGTACGCGGGTACATTGTTGTTTACGTTTGTTCTTTACTACGCATGTCCAAATGAACTGTGGGGAAATGGAGGTCAAAGCCGGCAAAGATATCACACCTTTTTCTTCAGACGGCTGTGTGTGGAGGCTGTTTCTCAACACTTGCGTTTTCACCCCCCTGGAACACTGTCTTTGTGTAAACGAAAGGCCAAACTGATTCATTCAAATTCTCAAAGGGCAGGGACTGTTTTAAATATATTATTATTGATAAATACTTTAAGAAAACAGAATATAATAGTGCAGTGCCCCATAGTCAGAAATATACATTATTTTAACGCCATTTAAGTTTCTGACATCACCTTTAAATGGACTTACATACAGTAAATAAATGAATATTCAAACGATTTTCTTTTTTTCAGAATTTCACCTGTAGATCTGAAGGTGGTTCAAATGTATTCATGAGATTTTCACACCACACTGTGCCTCACTGTTACATGCTCTGACTTGCAGCCCATTCCATATGAATGAACAAAGCCTATAGTGATTCTAGGACAAATTCTTGAAATTATTTCCAAGTTCAAAGTTGTATAAACAGTAACAAACAAACATATTGTGTAAATATTTGCAGTTGTGGTTAATGTACTGACACAGGGGTAATACTTGAGAGAAAGGGGGTAGCGGTTTGGCCTCGCCTTCTTTTAAATGTGTCATAACTTGTGCCTTGTCCCACTGCTCTTTTCCACCATGGCTTTCACAGGGAAATATGAGCTAGAGGAGCAAGAAAACTATGTGGAATTTCTCGAAGCAATAGGTAAAAGCTTTGTTAAACAGATGATAGCTTGATTTTGGAGTGACACTCTGTTCTTGGCAGGGCTCCTTAAAGCAAAGACAGACCACAAGGTGATCACAGAAGTGAAACAAGATGGGGACAGCTTCACTTGGATTCAAAGCGTCCCAAACTGGACTTGGTCAAATACTTTCACTGTGGGTCAGGAATGCGAGCTGACCACGATGACAGGGGACAAATTCAAGGTGGGTGACTCCTATTTAAACAACATATTATTGAATACAGGCTATTGGATACTGATTGTAAATATTGTATCCTTTTCTGGCCTTGACTTGAAGGCTCCAGTCATTATGGACAGTGGCGTAATTTCAATACAATTCCCTCAATACCATTTGACAACCGAGATTTCTGACAATAAACTGGTCATGGTAAGATTACACCTCTCTTAAGTCACCTGTCCTTTTCCATGCAATTTTGTATGTGTTGATATTGTGGAAACCTATGTAAATTAATAAATGTACTTATTTTGTTGTGTAAAGTAAAAATCTTGTTTGTGCTTTTAGACGTGTGTGACTGCAGAGAAGGGTGTGACGTTCAAGAGAGTGAGCAGGAGGATAGCATGAAAGAAAATGCTGTGGAAAACTACACATATAGCGTGTAGGCAATTCCGAATGTGCTCAATATCCATGTTGTAGTTTGTGTTTGTCTGTGTGCTGTTATAGAAAATAAAGAGAAATGATATTATGTTTTATTCTGTTTGTGTGGACGTCAACTGCAATGTTTACCTGTAGGGGTCTTTTGGGGACGACGAGGTGACGTGACTTTGGGTGTCATTCAGTGCTATATAACTATCAATCAAATATATAATTAATATATATATATAATATAAATTATTTTATGTATATAAATATATAATTATATATATAATATATTATTTATATACACACATACAGTCACACCAGATGGATAAAATATGTAAAACCATGAAAAGATATAGGGCTGGGTGCAGATTTATCCAGCTGAAGAAGCATCATCCAAAGAGCCATCTGCACCAGGAGCAGAAAGCCGCCTGCAGACTCAGGGAACTCCACAGCCACAGCAGACCACAGCTCCCAGTGCAGACGGCTCCTCCAGAGGAAATACTGGGGATACTAAAACAATTATTATTATTTTAATCTTTTTATTTTGTATTATTAATTGTTCAGATGGAGAAATAACCACTTTGTTGTTTTATGGATCTGGTGTGGAGGGGTTGTCTTTAATCACAGCCAAAGTTTTAAAACAGGGGTGCCACATGCAAACATTTTTGCACTTTTCTCCATGAAATGCAAAACAGATCCTGGACTTACATGTTACTGCTGCTGGTTACTGGGACCATTTTCCACATGGTCTGGAAGTGCCCACTTCAAAAACTCCATAAACACTAATGCAAAACAGTGGATTTTGAAGTTCCTTGGATACTTACTGGAGCGCCAATGGAACATGTCATTTAGGAGAACATGTTTATTGTGTAAAAGCCTTCATTTGTTTTTAATACAGCATTAGAGTCAGCATAATTTTATTGTAAGTGACAAGAACTAACACACCATTTGTGAAACATGTTTGATATTATTCAGTCAGTGTTTTGGGGCAGAATGTCCCGGTGCAAACGAGGCCGTATGTACAGTAGCTTTGAGTCAGGTAAAGGTGTTATTTCCAGTCTATGGTGTCGATCCAAGTTTACACAGATACTTTGCCGGACAGTAGCGCAAGAATCGGCTGCAAATATATAATTGTGTTCAATTGTCTTAAGGAAACACGGCCAAACACATATCTAGGTCAATAATTGATCCAGTAATCACTTGCATTCCTTGCTATAGATGATATTCAACTATTTGAATCTGACTCTGGTTTAGTTCTAGTGTTTCGTTTGTTGCATATGGGCTAATCATTATTTGATGGTTATTTGTTTTTCTGTAGGCAAAAACAGAATCATTTATATGTTTTGTATTGTCAGAATTGTATTTCTAATAAGTGAGTAAAGAGAAGTGATGAAAAAGTGGAAACCATTTCGTTACTACATGTTTAAAGTCTTGGTTAAAGGGAAGGTTTGCCTGGATTAAATATTAGGATTTGTGAGACAAATCTCGTTCATACGAGTCACGATATTTTACTCGGGCATAGAGCATATTTGAAGTTATAGATTTGCAGTTACAGAGTTGTAAGAAGATTAACTCACCACTAGATGGAGGCAGAGTCATTCAATGAACGTGGCCATAGTGTTATTATAGATCCATGGGCCATAGCTATATCTGCTTCTAGTGAGTATCATGTATTTCTAATCGGGTTTTTTTTCAGCACTTTTTGTGAAAGTCAGAGTATCAATACTTACAGATCAATGTGTGTCAGTGTGTCAATGGATAATGAGCACGTAGACTGATGGTCTCTCAAATAGAACCATTATCAAAATGTCACCATCAGTATCTGTGTTGGGCCCAGTGTTGGGCAACAAGAATCCTACAGTTTGACACTTCTACCTGTAAAGTGAAGATCTCGTATGGGGTTGGTTTTCTGTTCCCAACAGCCTCTATCTCCTCCCCTTTCCATGACAAACAACAGGCCCATGGTCAGAGAGGACTGGAAACAAAGAGGCTGAATCATTTGCACATTAACATCCTCCAGCTCAGTATTGTAATTTACAGTCCATGGTATTGTACTCCTCCAAAGCCCCACCCTCTACAGATACAGGCAAATTAACTAAAGAGGTTAGTGTCCAGGAAGATTATGATAATTACCAACCCTTTAGACTGGATAAGCTACTTTTTATGAACAGACTTAACAAGACAGCTTTTCTTGGTAGTATGGACTTATGCTGAGAAAGAGTGAGCAAAAAGTCAAAAACAGACTGTTTTACTGTGTGAGGACATACAGTAGACAGTGGTGCAAGTCTCCTGAAAGACAATCAAACTGCTGTGAGATGCATTCACAAGAGAGAAGGCAGAAGAGAAAAGAACAAGACATGTTTATGTAATGTTACAAGCATCTACAAGCCTCCTCTTCCTTTATAACTACATTCATGTATTAGCAGATATGAAAGCTTTGGTTTGCTTTTCACAACAAGGACAGCGTTGTTTTTGTGAAACAAACGAGAGAGTGAGCGACAGTGGCTCAGGTGGTAGAGCAATGGCCTTGAAGCCTGGAGGTCATGGGTTCGTTCCCCACAAGACCTTCAACTACTCCCACCGATGTCTGCTGTCGTTTGTCCTTTGGCAAGACATTTATCCCCTCTTTGCCTGAAGTCCCAGCTGAAAGATCAAGGTGGTGAGTCCACAGGAGGATGGCAGACACTAAAGTGTAAAGGAAATGCAGCAGGAATAGAGTACAGTAGGGTTGAAACAGGGCTATTGACTCTCACTGACAGAGCAGCCATCCTCCTGTGGACTCGACACCTGCAGGAGGATCAGTAAGGGGGTGGTAGCTCAGGGGAAGTTCCTTTGGTAACCATGGCTTCCAGGGCCAAACAGGTCTAAAATTGGTACCCATTATACAGGGCTATGGAGCCGATCGTGATAGAGTAGAGAAGGGCCAACTGGGGCAGTGGAAACAGGGCTCTAGTGTTAATATAAATGGCCAAAATAAAGCTGGGGTACCCGACTTTAAAATCCCACAAAATGTAACAATATAATACAATCCAACTACCTAGTTTCCATATCTCAAAACAGCTTGGTTAAATCACAGATTTTTACATGCATGTGTTTTTCACCTGTGTTTGTACTTTAATGTTTTCTTAAATAACATTAAAGAATAACTATCACAGCAGAGAACAAAAATCAAAGTTATATACATATTGAAAATGATTTTTCTTGCTTCTGCATGCATTACATTCATTGTGGTACTTTATCAATAATACTGCAAGACAAATTGAATTCTTTAGGAGATAATGCACAAATAATGAGACCCAGATATCAAGATCAAGCCCTTTTCATGTCTTTTTAAGGGATTATTTCCAAATGCATAAGTCTAATGCTTTATAAGACCCTGTCGACCCCAAAAACACAATGTGAAAGTCATATTCCTGCTCTGAAGCGGTTGTAATCTCTGCTGTTAAACCAAAAAACAAAATCCATAAATGGTTTGGTTCAAATGTGTGTTTATTTGCTCCATGGCACATTTAATAAATGAGCTCTTTTTTTTAATAAACCAGTGTCACTTAAATCAACACTACAGTTTGTTACAAAAGGATATAAAAATATACGTTGAATGTTCCTGATCATTACCAGTGTTGCATCTGTTGAGGAAAACTAGAGAGAAAATCATTCGGTCCAAGCGTCTATGGAGGTGGCTGCAATATGCAACATATTCTTCACCCATGACAGCGATCCAGGCGACAAAGTAAAATCACTCAATAGGAATAACTTACAACTTTGAACCAGAGGTGTGCACCAAACAGTTGGCGGCTTTAACAGAACATAATGTATTGCACTTTTGACACCTCAATGAGATTCTGTCTTTGAGTAAAGTATAACAAATATCCAGTTTACTAAAAAAAGAAAGAAGGAATGTTGAAATATACAAAATCTGAAGTATTGTATGTGCTTGTCAGTAACTATATAGTAAACACTGAGAAAGGCACTGATGCAGATAGGTTCAGTTTCCAAAGAGACTAAAGCAACCGCCTCAGTATTGATGTGATTTGTTATCAGTCAGTAGCTAATGTAATGGTCCAGTGATGAAAAGGGGGATTCTGACCCCGGAGATACTTCATAAGAGCATCTTCTTAAAGCACAACAGGGAATAATAGAAATGCATTTACCATTATAACCTGAGCTGGAAAAAAGAAGTACAAACAAAAACAAACTAGTGGAACTGGTGTGTCCCCTGTGGTATAAAATCTACACACTAAATACAAAGTAAGATGTTATAAATAAAAGCTATGGTGTGAATCAATGGCATCGTATTCAAGTAATCATATTTTAGTCCCTGATACTTAGTGGTTCATGTAAACATCGTCAACACAGACAGAACCAACAGTTCATAAAAGGCAGCAGCAATTCACCTGTACAACACACAAAAACACAACGTCTTCTTTACTGAGGGGTCCAGTCACATCAAATCGAAGTGGCTTCACATCTTTGAACATAGCTGGAGACATTGGGATCACAAAAGCTTTGAATTTAGAAGCACCAAATTCTTAGTTTAACTTTGGAGGGTGAAAGGGACAACGCATTGTCGTTTTATAAACTATTCCCATCGATTTCTGTGACAGTTTATATAGTTCAATTTGAAAAAGTATTGATGTGCTCAGATTTTAGAGCAAGAACAAAAATTAAAATGAAAACAGCAGAATATGCTGATAGATTTCCTGTAGTAAAAATAGACTCAGTTTGAGCAGACTGAGAGAGGCACTGAATGAGTGTAAGTCAGAGTTGGTCTCATTCACAGTGATGGCAGGATGGTCAGACCAGTGAAGTGGCCTTAACAGTTAGCTTCATGGAACAGGACTGTCGTCACGTCAGAGTGATGACTTCCACTGGGTCAGTCTTGCTTTTGGCCCTTTGTTTGCGTTTGAGGCGTCTCTGGGACACAGAGGAGGGCACGGGGGCAGAAGGTACAGTGCTGGTGACGGAGAGAGAGAGGAGGTCTGTAAAAGGATTTTTGGCTGAAACTTTCGGCGGAAGCATCGCAGTGCACTCCCTCTCCGTCTCCTGGCGTCACCTGTCGAAACATCCCGCTGTGAAGGTGTGATGAGCCCCCAGATAGCCCCCGCTGTAGGCCATACTCAGACAGTGGCGCTGCTCTGTAGCTAGGGCCATCTGCATGGAGAGGGGCCCCTGCAGAGGGAGGCCCCTGGTGCCGGGCTGAAGACCTGAGCTCAGAGCGGAGTATGAGGAAAATGCGGGTGCGGGGGGCACCACTTGAGTTGTTAGCAGACCCATTCTGTGGTTCTGGAGAAAATCCTGAGAAACACTGACCACAGGGGCCAGGGCCTGCAGCTGTGTCAACGAGGGGGAATGCTGGGAGATATGTGGGAAGGCATCAGGCTGAAAGAGCAGCTGTGGAGTAGAGGTGGTGGAGGAGGAGGAGGTTCTCTGTACAGCCGACACAGGAGAGAGATGAGCGGAGGCCTGAGGCTGCAGAGACGACGGCCTGTGGGGCGGCGTGGTCTTGCTTTTATTGGCCTCCTTCACATCATTGTCATGGGCTCTGTATGAAAGAACACAGTTTTGATTAGGGAAAGGGTGAAAGCAGACAATCACTCAAACACAGATGCTCATGATTAAAAGCAAAGAAGTCATTGAATCTGCTTCTCAATTCTACTTTGAAAAATCTTGAATTACATTGCAACAAGTTACAACAAAAGTATCTGCATATTACCCCATCCCTTCCACCAGGCAGTACTTACAGGAGCATGAGCTCAATGCATTGGGTGAGGTGGTCCCAGGTATAGCCTGTGAGGAGGTGCAGAGCCGTGGTCCAGCTGGGGCTGATCTGAAGGCAAATACGAGACGCTGCAATGCAGGCAGCAGAGACCTGAGACGGCCGGAAACTCAGGAAGGCATGGTCTATAAAGAGGCAGAAATATAGTGTGGTGAGACACAAATACTTAAATGCTTCCAGAACATTAAAAAAGAAAGAAGCTTGACTCACCCTGCAGTGAGACTTCCAGAAAGTAGTGAGTGTACTTGTCCATAAAAGCCTTGGTCTTGGAAAAGGAGGACAGGGGCCACCCGTTGTAGAGGTCCCCCTCCTGCACAGCTGCGTGGAGGTAGTAGTCAATGAAGTGTGCCGGGGTGGGCATGCACAGGTTCCAGCCAAACGTCTCCAGCAGCAGCAGCTCCATTTTGATCAGGTCCCGTTTGTTGAGCACCAGGTTCAAGCTGCACATGAAGCCCAGAGAGTTGAGCTGCTCCAGTTTGGGGACACGGTCCTCCTTCTCCTCAAATTTACCTGAAAATACAAACACAAGTACCGCTAATCAAAATTGAGTGAAAACCACATACGATAAATACTTTAATGGATGAATCTACCCACGAGTCTACACAGGACGTCCAGCTCGCACTTAAATTGGTGGATAACTGGTAATCACAGATGGTTAGTGAACATCTGGATTAAATACTCAGCCATGAAGCTAATGAGCTCTCTGTGCGGCATATGGATCCATGGGCAACACATGTGACACTATGAAACTGCAGCCGAGCCATGTTTATTTCCTCAAACTAACAAATTTAAGAATGCCAGTTCAGAGAGCCCCCACCTCAACATCCCCGAGACCACCTCCTTCCATAGCAACAGCCCCCAAACCTCCACCTCCCATAGCAACAACCCGCGGCCTGGGGCAGAAGCCAATGAAAGGGAGTCGCTCTGCTTTAATCCCAGCCTCCACTGGGCCTCTTCTCCACAAAGTTAAGAATGAGGGAGAGGGGAGTCAGGTTTCTCTGATACAGCAACTGGGCTCCCACTTGACATCCACATAGAGATGTAGAAGTCCATCTCTTGAGGCTCAGTAGAAAATAGATTATAAAAGCGTTAAGAAGCAAAATGGTAGTAGTGATGGTGGATATCCATTATGAACATAGTCATTATATTATACATTTCTTGAAGATAAACAATACACATTTTAAATCATTGTCATACACAAATACAGTATATTTTTTTCATCTGGACTCTGCTTCAAACCAGGCTTGAATGATTGGATTTTGACCCATGAATAATAGTAGGTCTGGTCTTAGGATTGGAAGCCCTAATTTCCAATAATATGAAGGATGGACATCTATAGCATTAAAGTTCTGTTCATAAACACATGGAAGAAAAATAGGAAATATAGTCCATAAGTCATGCATGAATGTTTGCCTTTAAAAAAAAAACTAACCCCGATAAGTTTGCGTTATACTTTTTCTCTATTGTTGCCGTGGGCTTCATTTTGCAAATACAAACGGTCTTCACACCCTTCTCAGAGCGTGAGTTTTATCACTGGAGTTGCAAGCCCTCCTTGAGCCGACAGGAGCAGGCCTGAAGAATAATTAGTGCAAGAGGCTGTAATGGCGTCTGCAGCAGAACAGGAAGTGCTGTGGACTAGGCCCCTTCTCTCACCCTCACTCACATCCTCTCGGGGTCTCTGGCTGCAGTTTGTGTCCATGCAGACCCATCATAAAATACACTCCCGTCTCCTCCAGACCCTCCCAGAGCGACCCAGAGACAAAGTGTGAGTCTATCTGCACATTGTTGCTCTGAAACTAGTGCAGGTTTACAACAGGGCAGTCTACAAGAGGCCCTAAAAGACTTCAAAGGAGAAATATAAGATTCGAAGCACTGTACCACGCCGCCTCCCTGGGGTGTAAGCCAAAACTCTTTGTGCAAGTGTGTTTGTGTGCATTCATTTGCGTCAGCTGCACAGCCCGCCACAGAGAGCTGCAATAAAAGAGTGGCAAAACTCCATTTGAGTGCAACATATGTTTAGCAGAGCTGTTGAAAGTCAGGAGTCAGTGGTTGAATAGAAAACTGATACAAATGTCTTGTAGGCTGAATTCCTCTGCAGTGACTGGATCCTACCTGGAATGAGTCATATGGCAGTGAGACACGGCCACTGACAAGTTTCCCCAGTGTGTAACATAGCATTCCTATACTGTACAATTGGGGGCACTATGCTATCATCACTGCACCACGGCTAAGCAACAGTGAAGTCCTTCATTCTTTTTCAATTCAGTGTAATAAGAGCGGAATGAAACAATTCTGACAAGAGCAAACAGGAGATTGGGTTCACAAGACCTTGAATGAGATTTTTTACAATTTATTATTCTAAAAAGTAAAATTGAGTTCACAATGTTACGCCTCATGTGGTTTTTCTTTGACGTCATTGCAGTAGTTTTAAATAATAAAGTGCTTTTTTCCTTCAAGTCAAAAAGACAGTGGATAATTATATTCTTTTATTAGGTCTCTTTAGATTAGCAACCAGTCACAACATAGTGCAGTCTGCAAACATATCAGAAACAGCTATAAAATAAATGTACATATTGTACAGTGGAAACCAGAATGAAAGATAATTGTGAATTCAGAGAAAATAAACTTTTAATGTTTGCAGTTTGTTAAATGGTTCAGTATTAGCTAGCAGAAAACATTGTGTAAGGGGGAACTGTCTTTGAATTTCTTTGTTTTTCCTGTTACATGGAATGCGGCAATCGCTCTCATGTTTTAGGTTAGATATTTTTACTGGCTCAACATCCCTGTATTGAGATTACCTTTATCCTGCTATGATTTGTTAGATATTTTGTGTGTTAACAATTTCAAACTTGTACTGACATTAATCATATTGTAAATTATTATGTTCAAGGTCATCCAAAACTTCTAAGGTAAAGGTAAAGATGCTCTTTATTCTCTTTATTCTCAACATCTGGAGAACCCATCTCCAGATGTTGATGCTCGACTTGGTCAGGACCGGAGCTGGAGGATTTCACCAAGTGTACATGTTTTTAGTGGTAGGGGAAACCGGAGTACCCACTCAGAAAGACCCCGTTCCGACCGGGATTCGAACCCAGGATCTACTTGCTGAGAGGCAAGAGTGCTACCTACTCAGCCACCGTGCCGACTATATTTTGGAGGACATTCGGGTCATCGTCTGGATGCAGTTCTGCTCTGTTCCGACCTCAAGCTGAATTAAGCCCTTCAGAAACAGCACACAGAAAACATACAGTTCTGCTTTTAGATCTAGGCCCTGGGCTGTAGCCTGTGCTTAAGTGAAGTAAAGCCTAACTTCAGTATTTAGTGTTGAACACTGAAGTATCTGGAGCAGGGGAGTGACAGGGCATCAGCACAGCAGTGGGGAACTCAAAGCGAACAGAGAAAAGGTGCATTTTTCCACAAACACTGTTATAAACACTGATCTTACAGTTTATTACTGTGCTTGGTGTGGCTCAGGTGCATGTAAACACACACACACACTGGGGTTGTGGTTGTACAAAAGGGGCGGTGCTAACATTCAAACCTTGCAGAAACGGGTATAGCTCCTTTAATGTATGTATTCAGTGTCCCACCCAAAGGTACACACATGCTAGCTATAATCCCACACGATTATTTCCTACACGCAGGGGCTTTTTTATTGGCCCACCCCCACAGTGTTTCAGAAACAGACTATACTTAAATGAATGTGACAAATGGATGGAACAGGATTGACTTTCTGTGAAGCTCTGATCTAAAATGATGCATACAATGATTTCTTTGGTTATATTATTATATTGTGAGTTGTATAATTAATTAAGGATTGATTAAGCGATTAGCCTCTTGTGTAGAAAGCCAGGTGGTGAAGGGACTTCCCAGGTGTGTAGGAGGTGGGGCTTTAAAGATGGGGGCAGCTGAGAAACTCGAGTCCAACTGATAGAATAAACAAAGCATATCAGCACATCTCTCTGTGGCTTTCCCTTGCAGCTAGCCTTCCACTCACCACACACATTAATTATAAATTGGGGGATACAGTCTTTGTTATCCTGGGCTCCCAGAAAGCGGCAGGAGTTTAGAACTGCTTTTTTGTGCTCCATCTTTCATTGGGTTGTGAAGTTTGCATACATTTCATCACAGGCCCTCACTGCCCCGGCGGCTTGCACATTGTTGGCCTGAGTCACCTCTGACCTCTCATGCAAATGCCGGTGTGACCAGGGGGAGTCCGGCCTTATGTATGTATATGAGTGTGCATCCCAGGGACGGAGTCAGGAAGAGGCATGGGGGAGAAGGGGCAAACAAAACCTTTGGACCACGATAGAGCAGGAATATATAGAAACACCACAAGCTTTGAAGCTTTGCCGATTCATTTGAAAAGGCCGAATGTGTACATTCACAAAAACTGCAAATCAGAGAGGAGAGGGAGAGGAATGTGTATTTTGTGCAGGTTTAGAGCACCCTGTAGAGAGGCTCAGTTCCAACTTGTCGTATTAGAACTGCCACCACCTTACACTCTGCTCTCCTGCTCCACATCAGCCCTTTGAAGTGTGTGCACTCACTCCCCGCCCCCCAGGAACACTAGCCTTTCCTTCGCTGTTTTCCCAGGACTGTGCTCTGGTGAAACCACTGCAGTTCAAGGTGGAAAAACAGACCTCAGCCAGGTTCTGTGCCTCTGGGTCAGAAAAACACCAGGACTGTGTGAGTTCTGGAGATGTAGTCCCACACTGCAGTCCTCATGTCCCACTCAGACCAGCGTCCTGCCCGTGTGCCCCTCCCCCCCACTCGCACTGACAGGCTTTTGTTTGAGGCCTGACTCGAGGAGCATATGGCAGGTGCCCCTCAGCACACAGCTCCTCCCCCGGCTACAGGACGTCTCTGAGAGCATCCGAGACCCAGTCCGACTGTGTCACAGTTGCAGCCATCACCATTCAGCTTCACTGAGCATCACAAACCAAGCCGCAACAAAAGAAACACACACTGCTTTTATTTTGGCCAAAATGAGATAAAACAACATTTATTTGTCTTACTATGCATAAATGTCAGTGTTACAATATACAGTTCAAGAACAATAGAAATGTGGGAAGCATTTAAAAAACAAGAAATCTGTTAAAATATTTTAAATATAAACGTCAAACGTAAGTATAGAAATGCAAGTATGAAGAACACAAAGCGTGATATTAAGGATGGGGGACAGACAATCATCTCGGTGAGTGAGAAAGAACCAGGAGAACTTAGCTTTGAGAACCTCTGATAAAAGGACGATTCAAAGAACAAACTTAATCCTTGTTGTATCATTAGAAAAGTTTGTGTAATCTTCCTGCTGCTACTGAAGCACAGCTCCTAGTGCACCACATGAATGCTCCAGCACACATAGCAGCATAACAGGATTAAACAGAGACTGCTGAGAGATACAAAAGAGGCAACGATTGATTAAGTGGGCAGGGAAACCCTTAGATTTCTTTAAAACAGACAATGTTAAAGTGTCAGGCATGAGCCTGGGGAGGCACTTCAATAACTAGGTCAGATTCCAAAGCACCTCAGGAGAGATAAAACCAAGACAACTCGGAATCAAAAAGCCTTTCAAGCTTTCATCAATCACGGCAGAGTCCCACAGAAGCCACAGCAGAAGAAGAGTAAAAAGAGTAAAAGCCACAAATGAAAAGATAAAATTGAATTCATCAGGAGAAGAAATGATGAAGATCTTTTGACCTGAGAGGGCTGCTGTATAAGACCAGGAGGAACTCGAAGCTATTCTGAGAATCTCCAGAGATCACGTCTGAATAAAACCGCTTTCAAGTCTCATTTAAATGCCACTACCACAGACTGCTCTGATTACAGATACACACATGTCCACACACATATGCGCACACACACTACCCTCTCGAGTGAATGTGCTCACTTCGACACTCCTGCTTCGTTGTCATCATTAGTCTAATTACCCATGATGCCGAGGGCCGCATTAATGTACAGAAAACCTCATCCCATTAATCACCACACAGAGATATGCTAATAACGACCACACAGACCAAATAGGCAAAAAGAACGCATTTGCATAAGGACTACCGGAAGATGGTCCTGCCTTGATTCTCCGATATATTTTCTACAATACAACACAAGTGGTTCTAGCAGTCAGAACTTTATGGCAAATGTTTGAGAAGAGGCATGTTTTTATACGTTTTTGAGCTGAAACAAGTTCATGTTCGAGCCTTTACCCTGGGTGCAAAAAAAGTCACTGCTTCCATTTTAAGGTCAAATACAAAACCGCAGAAGCTGGTTAATTCTCTGTAAAAATGCTGTATAATACCACAGTGGTTGGGCAGTGTGTGTGCTGTACTTACTGGCCAGGAGCAGACAGGAGAGGGCGATGACATAGAGCTGCTTCACGGCCACATCGTAGTGGTCCATGAACAGGTCCAGCAGATAGACAGCGAGATGGCGGGCCGTGGGGCAGAGTTGATACCGGTTACTCAGGATGGCCAACAGGTCGGCAAAGTAGCGCCGCATGCCGATCTGTGGAGAATGAGCCCGGTACGCAGGTAACTTCAGCTCCTGTGGAGAAAAGGAAGGAGCGAGCTGTGAGGTCAGACTCTGCTGGAGGAATGACTACAGGAATACTTCAACTTTGGCAAGGCAAGTTTATTTATATAGCACAATTCATATACAAGGCAATTCAAAGTGCTGAACAAAATAAGAAAGCATTAAAATCATAAATAATCACAGAACATTAAAAAGAAAGCTAAAAATATAAAATCCCTCAGTTGTTTGCACAGCTAAACAGAACTGTCTTTAACCTGGTTTTAAACATTGTCATTGAGGAGGCCTGTCTCACATCTTCAGGAAGACTGTTACAGATTTTAGCAGCATGAATCTGAAAAGCAGCCTCCCCATGTTTAGTTCTGACTCTGGGCACTAACAGGAGTCCAGTCCCTGTGCTGCTCAGAGTCCGGGCTGGTTCATATGGGACTAACATGTCACTAATATATTTTAGTGCGAGGCCATGGAGAGACTTGTACACAAGCAGAGCTGTTTTAAAGTCTATTCTCTGAGCCACAGGAAGCCAGTGCAGAGACCTGAGAACTGGACTAATGTGGTCGTACTTCCTGGTTCTAGTCAGGACTCGAGCTGCTGCACTTTGAATGTACTGCAGCTGTTTTACAGCCTGTTTGGACAGACCTGTGAGCAGGCCATTGCAGTAGTCTAACCTACTGGAGATAAATGCATGGATAAGAATCTCCAAGTCTGCTTTAGACACTGTTTTTGATCCTGGCAATGTTTTTAGATGGTAAAAAGCTGCTGATGTTACTGATTTAATGTGGCTATTAAAATTTAAGTCTGAGTCCAGTATTACTCCTAGATTTCTGACCTTGTTTGAAGGTTAGGGAGAGAGACTGTAAGTGACAGATGACGCTCTCTTTGTTTCTGGGGACCAAAGACAATCATTTCAGTTTTGTCTGCGTTTAGCTGAAGGAAGTTGTTTTGCATCCACTCACTGATCTGTTGGATACAGTGAAGGAGTGAGTCCACTGGTCCATGTTCTCCTGCAGTCAGTGAGACATAGATCTGAGTGTCGTCTGCATAGTTGTGAAAGGACAACTTTGACCGAAAACTCAGATAAACCTCTGAACAGGTAACAACGGTGTTTAAGTTATACATTTTATTCAAACAATAATTAGTTTTATCTAAAAATAAAAATAATACACTTTATGTAAGTAGTTCTCACAGTTTTCACATTTACATTTATTTTCACATTTATTTTGACCTGTGTCACATCTTCAGATGGACCAGCCTTCTCTAAGCTCTCAGGAACAAATGCTTTCTAATAAGAGTTTTATGTCCTTGGCCGATCGTGATGCATGACACACTATTTGTTTAGTCCGCGGCAGCTTATATGAAACGGATTAACAGCTTATTTAAAAACATGTTCAAACCGGATTGCATTTGGGAAACTGTTTAGAAAAATAAGTTCTAAAGTAGAATGAGGAGGAAAGAGTGTTTGGTGTAGGCTCAGAGAGTGTTTGGGCCTGTGTCTCGTCTTAATGAGTGCATATGTGCGTTCTGCTGTATTTTTGTCTCCTTTGACGTTTTCCCAAATTGTGTTAATTCTCTATTTGAGTGATGGGTTTTTAAAGTGTTTTCTTTATCCCACCCCTTTTCAAATATAAATGATCTCGATTGATTGATCCCACTTTATTACCAACTTCCAGAGAAACAGAACAGTGAGCTCCCAATAAAACATGTGCAAATATAAATGAAAAGATGAATAAAAGTATATTTGTTGTTGGAAAAGCTTTTCGTTGCAGTCGTCTAATTATAATTTGGTTGAATATACACACTCAGCAGGGAGCAGGAGCTAATTTGGATGGTGGCAGGGGTCTGAGCCCACGGGTTGGGGTGGATTAGTTTCCATCCACAGAACATCTCTCATTCATGTTCAATTAACTGTGTTGTGTTTCAAAGTGGAGGAAGACAATTTGGCACATTAGCATAGAATCAGCCCGCGGTGTCGTCATAAAGCGCTCTTAGTGGCTCCAACAACATCACATCATATTAGTTTGTCGCTTTTTAAACATGTTTTGTCTCTGAGCAAAAAAACAAACAAAAAAGAGATCTTATTTTGATGCTCCAAATGAGGATCAGAGATTAATCTACTTAGGCTTGAACAGCGAGGGGTCTTTAGATCAGAGCAGAAGACCTGACAACATGTCTGAGCTCCGTGTTCAGGAACAGGCTTGTGTAAAGCAGCCACAGTTAAGTCCAGCTTTGGTTTGTTCATAACATTATAAATGTGGCAAAGAGGAACAACATATCAACATACAAAAACCAGGACAAGTCACATGTCAAGATGTTTTATTTTTGAGAGATTTGGTTTGGACCGATGGGTCTGCTACATTTAAGAAAAAAAAATACATACACACAAAGACACCAACACACGTGCTATACTGTTCACACACCATCTCTTCATGTCCTTATTTAACAGATTCACTGAAACTAATGAGTTCTTATAGCAAATGAGTCGGCACCGAGGCACTCTGTACCTCCTCCCAGAGTTCAAAAGCTCATATTCAGGGAAAAGTGCACGTGTAGGATCACATGTGTGGAAATGCAAGCCCCCTTCAACCTTTTCAATCTCGATTATTGTGCATTAAAAATCTCCTGAAGTCGCAGTTTGGAGAAAGAACTGAGCCAGTTATGTGTCTGAGCCTCTGCTCATTCGCCTTTTGTTTAAATATGAGCAATGAAATTTAATAAGTTAACCGTTTGCTCCTGCAACAAGATTCATCAAAACGAGGACATCCCCCCCTCAATATGCTCTGTCCTGGTGCTGTGGTTTTAAGTATGCTTTTACAATACTCCCTGAAATGTCTTTTTTTACAACAAAAACAGGTTCCTTAATTTTCCCATTTGTAAACCAACCTTCTCATGAAGCCCTGTGTCCAACTGTCTACAAAAATAAATGAACTTTGCCAAACTGCTAGTTTGGCAAAGTTCATTTATTTTTGCCTCCCAAACCCGGAGCTGCCCCATCTGTCTGTCTGGGTGCAGAGAGCGTTCAGGGGGGCGGAGAGAGGTGCCTTTGTGGGGCGCCCGCATCATAATTAAAGCCTCCACAGCTGCCTGTGCCTCATTTGCATGTCTGATCATTTTCTGCTCACACGGCACATCAGGCCTCAGCGTCGTTAAGAGGCAGTAGAGAGCGGGTGCCACAAAGGAAACCTGAGCCGGTTACTGTTCAAACATCAGTCCATAGATCTTTAGGAAAACGCAGACCTTCTGTTAAAGCCCCAACAGCAGCTCTTACAAGTTTATCAATTTTTACTGATTGATTATTTAAGTAATTGTCAACCAATGGATTCATCGTTATGCCAGATCAGGTCAGTACAGCACACAGGCTCAAAAACATCTCATGAGAAAGGCTTTACTACAGCGTTAAGTAAAAACAATCCTGGCTTCACTTACTGGTAGAGCTAGGGATGATCAGATGATAGTATTGTGACAATCTATCAGCATTTAGCTAAAATATGTTCATTTTAACTATGTTATTATTGAAAGGCCGCAAACCTCCTGCTTTAGTTCAACATCCTTTGTATGTAGTTATAATCTTTGGGTAATACTGTATCATGATGTGTCCACTAGCAACAACTAGGGTCATTCACTGTACCTGCTATTGATACTTGTCTCTAAACTGCACTGCACTTTACATCAATAGGAATGAACAGCATTCTTTTTCACAGTATTTAAAATATAAATATATCAGAACAAAACCAAACTAACACAGCTTCAGGACACAAAGCCCCAAATACACATAATCATATTTCAGTATCTATGCATTCCTACATTCAGACTTCTCTTGAACTGTGCGTTGCGACACAGACCTAAGACACACAAAAGCATGATTGTTTTGTAGATTTATCTAAAACAATAACATAAATATCATCTGCCTAAAACAAAACTACTTTGATGACAACCAAAACATAACTAAACTGACAGCATACAGAGGAGGCTGCATGCTGTCAGTTTAGCCCGATCTCTTGGGTAAAATGTAATGCCTCCATCACATGTTTTGTCAAGTCCATTTGTATAACTATATCATATATTTATAAAATTGAATTAAAATATTGGGCCAACAGTCGATCACTGAGACAGTTGAAATCCACATTTCTGACACATACCACAATATTTAATCCTACAATCTCTCTAAAGTAATCAATATGCCCTGAAGCTTTATAAGAGATGGAGGACTGCGAAAATCAATCACAGAAATAAGATAAGATAAGATAAGATAAACCTTTATTAGTCTCACAGTGGAGAAAAGGAAAATATGTAAGGAAATGTTTGTGGGAACCCAGGTCGCGGTATAGAAAGTGTCAGATCAGATTCTCCTACTTGTGCACCTAAAGGGTTAAAGGGTCCTTTTGCGTGTGTATAGCTCCAGCAAATGCAATCCCTTGGTAATGATATAAAGACCTTTAATAATGGGATATGTTTTATGAATAAACTAAACGTAGCCATGGGAACGTCGTTGGGGGAAATCATTCTGTTAGTCTCTGTAATCAAAGTGTGTAAAGTGGTTCCTTACTATAACGCCGCTCACCTTGTGCTGCCTCAAGGATTTTCTACCCCTCCATCCTGCTCCTGCCCCTCAGTGCGGTGTCCTCTGCAGCTGTATTTTATAGTGTATGCACGGCTTTAGACAGCTGCAGCAGCGCTCAGATTGACAACCAACGGGTTTGATATCTCTGCGATCGCACTTCAGCAGTCGTGAGTTCCGGTGGTTAGAAAAGTGTGTAATTATTATTTTATTATCAACACAATCGCAAATGAGGTCCCACTGTATATGAAAATGAAATCATCTACAGTGGAACCTCGTTTAGCAGGATTACTATTGCAACAACACATCATGGGTAAAACTAACCTGTCTCACGACCCATTAGTGGTGAAATCTCAAATGTAATTATTAACATAATCGCAAACGAGGAAGCACTGTATATGAAAATGAAATCATAAAAAAAAAATCTGATTTAAATGTTTTTTATTGTAATTATTGTAAAACTATATTATCACTCCTTGTGATGATAGACTAATTAATAAAACTGCTTGGATATTTGGAAGAGAGACCAGACCAGGGCAAAGAATGGAATTTTGTGTTTTCTTTTTCCATTAAACTTGTCCATCCTGAATCTGGGACTATGCCGCAGTGACTGGTGATAACCAACAGTGTTACATTGTCAATTAGTCAAATAATTAATAAAATAAACACTCCCTTGGTTGGGGCCCCTTAGATACCAAAAACATATTTTATAATTGCTGCCAAAAATGACTAAACAGGACATAAACAAAAATAGTCGACCAGAACGATGTGAGACCCTTGTGTTGTGCGTCTTTGTTGGGAACATGCAGATTTTCAGGCTCTGACAAGACTTTGAGTCAGACATTGTCCTACAGAGTAAACTGACTCACTGTGGAAGACAATGACTCATTATGGATATTCTGATTTAAAGGGCAACAAATGAGCGCCTCTGTCATTGCAGCCGAGATCGTGTTCAGAGATCATCGCAGCAGCTATAGCTCAAACTACAGCCCAGCGCTGCCACTCAAGTGACAGATGTCTCCATTAAGAACACACATGGGATGAAATATGATCCCGCTCTGAGGTTAATTAAGACATTCACAATTAATGAGACCTGACGTAACCGAATTTAGATTCTGTTTAAATAGATAAGATGGCTGCATGATTACATTTAGCGGTATATTGCCTTACGATGGGTACATGAACACAGCCAGCACGCATAGCAACCATAAGATTATAGCCATTTTTAGAAGAACCATTCACAAATGTCCATTTTAGTATCAAAGCCAGCATGTGCCAAACAGTTTGACCAATAAATAATAAACTGATATACCTAGAAATTGGATCTTGATTATAGATTTCATATGCATATAACTGCTTTATATCTGAAGAGAACACCTTATTAAACCATTCGTATACTAAGAGGCTGTTGCTCTTACCCAGTTCCTGCTTTTCCCAAATTTCCATAGCATCACCATGCCAAATGAGTGAACATGAAAACGCCTGCATGCTGTGCTTCTCTAACAAAGTCACACTCACCTTGATGCGCAGGGACTGATGTATATCTGCAGCCAGCTGTCCTTTCCACCATTGCAGCTCCCTCTCCATCTTTTCCCATCCAGAAAAGGCGAAGATTCAAGTTTTTCCTGCCACACATGTTTCCAAAACAAGAGTTAAGGACCACACAACACACAGACGGCAGTTATCAGATCCAGTCAGCAAAGGGAGTGGAAAATAACAGTTTATTGCTATAACTGCAAGACTGTCTAAAAGCGTCAGCATGATGTGGTGTGAAGGGGTTCTGGTGAACTTTGAGGAGCTGGGCCTGCAGCAGGGGTCATTCTGCGGGGGATTTAAATGGCTCTGTTAAATGTCCCCTGAGCTACAGAGGCTGCTGAAAAAATAATGTAACTTGCGAGTAACGTGTCATATTAACCATCGGCCACGTCTGTGATTGAGACACTTTCAAGACAGAACACATTAATCAACTTTTCCATCAGGATCAAAACGATGTATCGTTATAGTCAACGCACCACGAGACAGCACGGAGAACACAAGTTAGGAGGCGAGCACAAGATACAGCTGTGTGTGTCAAACAAAACGACGGTAAGTGTAATACATAAGGTTATTTTTAAAATGCGATCCACCGGGAGAAGTTTTGACTGTGGGCTGTAAAACATGTGGCACTTACCGCTCCGACGGGAATGCCCCCCAGACCCTTTGTCTCAGTCCGACATCCTCATTCAACTCCTCTTCGATGCAACTTTAAAACAGGCTGGTTTAGGGTCGAGGAAACAACAAAGGGGTTCGGCGTCAAGAGGGAAACACAGCTGCCTCCACAGACCCGGTGCGACCCGCGCAGAACAGCGGCGTCTCGCTCCTTTCGCACGGACTTTCTGCCTTCGCCTCACGCTGCTCTGTCCACGGCAGCTCCGTGGAACAAAGTCTGTGCTCTGGAGCCTGGAGCAGCGGCTGCGTACACACAGGGCACACACGGGCACACACAACACACAACACACAACACACGTACACACGCACACACACACGCACGCAGCTGCAGCGGAGGTTCGTCCCCCGTGCGCCCCCTACAGTCTACGTAAGCCCCACGCACCACGCTGCACTTGCAACTTCCGCTCTGGGAGTTGTAGTTTGTACTAGTGGAGCGATACGACTACAACAATATTTACATTGTGTATGCAAACATTTCATTTGAGCGCAGGCACAGGAGACTTCCAGAATAAAACTGACAAAACTAACACGACAATAATAAATCAGACGCCAACACTGTACCTTAGCCTACGACTAAAGAGCCCGGAAGTATGTCTTGTAGTATTTATTTGCCCGGTGATTTGATATGGATCTCCTCCTGATTTCTTCTGTTCATCTATTTTTTCAACATTAACCCATAGACTGTAACACATGGATCTATGCTGTAATATTAGACCGTCATATTTGTTAATTGCTCGTGCGCGCCACCCTGTGTTCAGTTCTTGTACCTGAACATAGCTAAACTATGTAACTGCATAGTTAATAATTAGTTAATAATAATAACTGCAAATAATGGTTCATTTAAACGATTAGTTGGTCTGTCATTCTTTCAATTATTTGATCAGTTGTTTAGATTCCAAAAGGTCAGTGTTTATGGATGTTTTTGTACATTTGGCTAAAACAAATCTCAAGTTATGCCCCTGGAAACATCTTCACAGAGATGACTTGTTTGAATAAAAACACATTTGATTCTGTAGTCATTATAGAATAATTCACTCTACAAGTCCCTTGTGACCACACATGCACATGCATACATTAGTATATTATATCACTAATATATATATTGATGCATATAGGGATCATATAATTAATTCTTGTTTGAGACCCATGACCCAAAGGTGTCTTCGCTGTTCGAGAGAATCTCCAACAACAATTTTCATAGTTGCTGGAGCTGTCTTTGTCATCACTCTCTTGTTTGGTACACAACATAAGGTTAAAAAAATTGTATTACAAAATTAGTTGACAATTATTTCAATAATCGATTAATTCCCATGAATAAAGAAAGCCTATTGCATCCCTAATTTTATGCAATAATAACAATAAATACATACAATGATTTCAGCTTTTATTGCCTGCTATCTTTGGCATTAGACTTTCTATCGGCTTAATTGAGATAGTCCTGGTCAGCATAAATGAGGAAACCAGTAAAAGTGCTGTCAGTCCAAAAAGGGTCAAAGAACAGGCCATTGTGTCCATAGTTGTATATCTGCAGCCAGACCTGATCAGATCTCTGGAGGCGAAGAATGCTTGACCCAGATGCAACATCATGATTTCCTGAGTTTGTGTCTAATGTTCGGATTCTGTACTCTCCATTATGAACCAAACCTATGGCCAGATTCTTGTTACCTATAGTGATATCATATGAAAAATAGTACACTCCAGGAGTGACACAGACAAACTTCCCGGTGCTGGCATTGTAATTATTTCCTTCATTCAACAAAATGCGGCTGAAGTGAATGGGGTGATGCTCTTTAGGGGAGCTTTTAGTCACTGCCACAGAGAAGGCAGAGCGGGCGGGGCGACCGCAGTTACAGCGTCCTGGAGGTCCCTGTTCCCCCTCATCACCCCGCTCCCCCTTGGCTCCTCTTTGTCCCATTTCCCCTGATGCTCCACTATGTCCAACCTGCCCAGAAGGTCCAGTCTTTCCAATAGAACCTTTACGACCTTTTACACCAGGCTTCCCTTCATTTCCAGGTCTCCCAGAATCACCTAAGAGCAATAAGGGGTTTAATGGCTCATTATTGACTCATACAGCATTGTGAGTATACCTGAAACCCCCTTTGCTCCTTTGATTCCATCACTCCCATCAGGGCCGTCTTTTCCAGGAGGACCCATTAGACCCATGGTTCCTGGTGACCCTGAGGCTCCAGGAACCCCTCCAGGTCCCACTGATCCAGGCTGACGACAGGCCAACTTTGAAGAGTCACTATTGATGGAAAGGCGGGATGGGGACTGGCAGAAAACCAATAAACCCAACATTCCAACCAATGTCCACTGTATGAAATTCACTGCAGAGAAGAGGATAGCGGTGTTATTGGCTGCACACATAAGGGACAACCAATTTGCTTTAAAAATAGACAAGATATAAAGATAGAAATATTTACATAACACAATGACTCCTACAGGAACAATAATACATTGTTTCTATATAGGGCTTTTTTGGACACTCATACACTTCTCTATTCATTCACTCCATACTCGGTGGTGATAAACTACTGTAGCCACAGCTGCCCTGGTACAGACTAACATAAGCGAGGCAACCAGTATGTGCCATTGGCCCCTCCAACCACCACCAACCATTCACACACACCACACACATCAGACTTATACCGGGCAATGAGTTGAATGTCTTGACGAAAGACACGAGTTTGGCCTTTTACAGCCGCTCCACTGTGGCACCTGGTGTACATTACAGTATTATCTCATTAGTAAAATGTGCCATCTATCTTTCTATGGTTGTTAGAAATAAGTTGACAATGGAATTAATTACTATTATGATGAAAGTGCTTTTCATAATTCAGTGTGAAAAAAGTAAACAAAAGAAAACAAATAAATTATATAAATGACGAGTGCAGACTCACAACACATCCAAATACAGCAACAACAAAAAATCCTCCTTCCAGGTCATTTCCAACATGTTTAATGCCACTTACTTTGGCCAAATTGTATGCAGCAAAAGTCAATCAAAATTGGGGTGGAAGAATAAGGAAGGAAGCATTTTTGCTGGGTTCAGTTGGATCTGTTCTTCAGTGGTGCCCCCAGCTGCACAGATAAATGAATGCATAATACATAAAATGACTCACCAGTTATAAATACATAGATTGTCATTGTCCTCTGTATCAAAGACCTTCTGTCCGTCACCAACATGAATCTCAGAAATGCTGCTTAAAGGTCCTCCATAACAATAGCTGCAGTGAGGCCCAAACATCACCTCTGTTGGAGCGTGTACCAAATACTTTTACAATGAGGTCACTCCATCGGAGGTGCAGCGTTGCACAACTCAAACAATCCTACCTGCCAGGCCTCTGAGGCTGGCAACAGAGGCTGAGCCGCGACGACGGCTGCGGACACAAGAGGGCGCCTCCCGCCACAACAGACCCCAAGGCAGTCAAAGGCCACCTACAATGTCCTGCTCTTAAAAGGCACCAGCAAGCTCAACTGGTAACAATCATGATTTCCTGAGTTTGTGTCTAAAGTTCGGGATGATGCTCTTTGGGGGAGCTTTTAGTCACTGCCACAGAGAAGGCAGAGCGTCCTGGAGGTCCTGGTTCCCGCTCATCATCCTGCTCCCCCTTTGCTCCTCGGTGTCCTACTTTTCCTGATGTTCCACTCTGTCCAACCTGCTCAGAAGGTCCAGATTGTACCGTCTGTCTGTCACCAACATGAAACTCTTAAATGCTGCCTCAATAACAATAGCTGCGGTGAGTCCCAAACACTCTCCACACAACTAGTTCCTAATTCATACTTTATTATCGATGAAAAAAACAATACAGGTGACGGGAAACTAATAACAGCAGACCAGAAATGTTATAAGGGATAGAATCTACTAAGTCAATGACAAAGAATATGTACAAAAAATGTAGGGACATTTTGACGTAAGCCAGGTCTAGAAATGTCCTGGATTCAAAAACTCATGTATCAATTCAGCATTTTTGGTGGCTAAAGCATTTTATTTAAAAAAAACATTCAACATTTTTTTTCTTGCATCTGTTGCTTTATCCCACTAAATGACAAAATACAGTATGGTATTTACATTTCAGAGGCAAAAGCTCTGAAGTCATATCCTCTCCGTGTGTAATCAGTTCAGTATGGGGAAATCACTGTCCGAGGAAAGATGCCATCGGATCGTCAGGACGGCAGCGTTTCATTCTGAAGGCCTCGATCTCCTCCTCCGTGGGCGCCTTGACCTCCTGAAGACTGGAAAACGGCCTCTTCCGCTCGTCCAGCAGCATGATGGCGTCCACGTGCTTGACTCGTTTGTCCTCTGCCTCAAGCGCCTGAGAAAAGAGAACGCGGGAAAACTGAGTGAACCAGGAAGTGACTTAAGTCGTGCCGTGATTCAGACAGTTTACATGTTTACACACGGCACCTTTTTCAGTTTCTCCTTTTTCTTTTCTTCGTCGTCCGAGTCGCTGTCGTCGGAGGCATGCTTCTTGTTCTTCTTCTTTTTCTTCTTCTTATCTTTCTCCATCTTGTCTCGATGCATCTGAACATTCAATTTTGTACAGTTAAAAAAAGGCCTTGCTTCTGTCGTACAGTATTTGAAAAGCACCTACTTCTAACAGAGTCTTTGGTTGTTCTTCTTCCTGCAGCTCGGTGAGATCTTCTTCAAACGGAGTGCAATCCGAGTTCTGCATTTAAAACAACAGAGAAAAGTCAAATTATCAAATGAAAAAAAAAAACAATATTGGCATTTTACTGGAAGCCAAAAAAACCTCAAAAGATTCACATACCACTGTAATTCCAGCATCTCCGGTGCAGTAGCTGTGTTTGACCATAGAGTGGCAGCACTTGTATCCCCAGAAACCATCCCTCCAGTACGAGCCCCAAATGCACTAAGGGAAAAATCAAGTCGATGTAAAATCTATAAACCGTGAACGTTGAAATGCTTTGGTCTTACAGTATGGTTGTTGATCACGACGTCCTCCTCGTACTTGGAGCGAGCCACGGCCTTCTCCTGCCCCTTAAGCACCGCACCGTGACGGGAATACTCCACGTAATCCTCGGTCTGGGCTAAAAGTAGTTCCCTGGGAGGGGCGTCCAAGTGCTCCTCGCCGCCGTACTGTGAACGACAGCCACGATCGTTAAATATTTCATGTTTCTGTCTATGTTGCAGTAAAGGACTCGAGCGTCTTTAAATAAATACCTTCTCTAGAATGCTCTCCCTTTGCTGCTCTTTGAAAGCCTCCTTTTTAACTTTGAAAGATTTATGAAGCATCTCCAGCTTTGTGGGGTCAGCCTGAAGATGGACTTCTGAACCTCGCTCGTAGGCCTCCCAAGCAAACACTGGAAATATAGAACAAAAAGATGAACAGGGCAAAATAGTGAAGTAGTAGTAGTAGTAGTAGTAAGTAATCTTTATTTATATTTATATTTATATATGAAGTGCTTCAGTTAAGTTTCACTTGTGGATACTGTAACTTACTCTGCGTTTGAGCCATGGTCACTGTGTCCCCATTGCAGCGGGCAAAGTTATCACCTGCAAAGTCCACCCTATGGAAAAAACATTAACTACTTTAAATTATGATAAAAACTATAGTGTAATCTATGAAGCGCACCTGCATATAAACCGCATCAGATAAGATTTGAAAATAAAGTAACATTTGTCCACGTAGGCCCTTGCTTGTATATAAGCTGCCGGTTTTTATCTTGTAATGGAACACCTGATGCAGCAAAACAAAGCTGATTTTAACTAAACACAACATGATTGAATGAAAAGGTGGATTAATTCACACCATTCTGACCCAAAACGTGTGTCCCATTCCCACTAAAACAGTCCTGTGTATTTCCCTGCACTTCACTGTGTCTCTGCTGTTCACATAAACACACTGAAGCCATGGATGTATTATATTAACTGGATAGGGTATTACTAGCTTGTAGCTGAATAACTCACGTGCTCAGGGGATTCTCGCGGTACTGCAGACTGAACCAGACTAAATTCACGTGGGCTACCCAGAAATGTTCCCCATAGAACTCAATGCATATTAAAACAGCTCAACCTCAGCTGACAGAGAACCCACAGCTTTAATAAAGATCGGATTTTGTGGGGATTTTAGTGTCCCTTGTCATCCTGAACTTTTTTTCTTCTTAAATCCTTCGGTTTTGTTTGAATCCACACTTTAGTGCCACAAACTCTGCTTGTCTGGCTCTCGCTCTAACTCCCGCTCTGATGAACTGCTCTGATTGGTCTGAGCGCAGCCGAGCCCCTCTGTGCACGTGCGTGAGACCCGGTGTGAGACCCACACACACGTGTTTGGCGCAACGCATTATGGGAGATCATCCACTGCGCAGAACCGGGAGGACCAGACGATGCCCAAATAAAGGCGAGTTTCCCATAGATCTTTGCGAGTTTCAGGCAACTTCCGCTAATCTTTCAGCCCCCATGCCGTCACAAAGCGCCACTGAGCACAACCATTCATTTGAATAGGGCGCCATCTTGGATCGCCGGGGCTTGACTGAAGCAGTAATATGTGCTAGCTATGTTCGAATCTGCTGTGCTCCGACGGTGCGCTAACCAAATCAAAATACATACATACAGTGTTTTTTAATTAGTGTGAATTCAGATGTTTGTTGTGCCTTTGGAAATGATCAGATATCACCTAATTGGTCAAAATAATATAATAAATAATAATGTAGATAGATTTTCTATAAATTACACTGCGATGAGAATGACTTTTTAATAAAGGCTGCAGTTTCATGTTTGGATCAGTTTCAGCTGAAGGTGGGCCATGTGATTGTTTTCAATGTGTGAAATTTGTGCCACGGCTCAAAAAAGGTTGAGAAACAAGGTTGAGAAAAATCTCTGAGCAAAATAGGTTTAATCAGTACTTAATAACTTTTTGTCAGTAACGATCTAAAATAATTATACGTAGAGAGGCACCGATTGTGATTTTTTGGGCCGATACCAATGTTTAGCATAAATGTTTTTGTTTATATTTATTTATTATATATATATATTTATTGGCGGCTTCAGTTCAGGTTTTTATACTATTAATTGCATGGTGTGTGTTTTTATATTTTGTGTGCTTTTAACCGTATTTTAAAGTTTTAAACTACTTGTGCCATGGCCCCTCCTTCCCCCATGCACAGGACTGGTGGCAATCAGTGCACCTGGGGGGGGAACTGGGGGTAAAAAGAGCAGAGGACTGAGAGCAAGCGGGGGGAAAGGAAGAAAAAGAGGACATGATGTAACGGTGGGCTTGCAGTTATCCAAGCCGTGGGAGCGGCTGGCCAACGATGAGCCACAAAGCGGAGACTGAGCGGATGGGAGACTCTCACTGCACCAGGCCAGCGGAGGGATGCAGCCGGGCGCAGCCAATGCAGGACCGCGCAAGACGGTGCATGCGCGCAAGTCTTCACATTGTGGCACAGTTGTGCCAGCTCTCCCTCACACTGATCTTTTTCTGATACTGTAAAATACTGCCGACCACCATCTTATTTGATTATTTTACTGAGGAAAGTGCGAGGACGCCCTCTACAGGTGTCTCTTCGCATGCGCCCACCATCAGCAAATGTCATGTTTATTTGTCAATGGTTGTTAACAGGGCAAACATCGGCCGATACCAATGTTCAGCCGATGCATCGGTGCATCCCTGATTATATCGTGATATTTTGTTACTTGCTTTGTGGAGATCTGTCTCTAAGTAGACAGTTATTGTTTTGTCAGTTCAACTATTGGTCTCTCTCTCGTCTCTCAATTGTCTCTCTCTCTCTCTCTCTCTCTTGTCCCTCTCTCTGGTCAGTGAAGTCCTGGCCAATGTCATGATATATTCCTCCATTTTTGATTGTTGATTATTCTATAATCCAGGATGTGCAGATGTAGTCTGTTTTGTGCCTTTATGTCCTTTTTCTGTACTATTTTCATCGTAATATGTAAAGTTCCATTGTAATTGACTTTGGGGTGCGGTGCTCATAAGCTTATTGCTTCAGCCCCCTCCTTTTGTGCAGTATTAATCCCGTTCAACTAAATAAACACCAAAAGCATAATCGGCATTATCATAAGAGCCATTTTTAACTTACTCATCAGGGTTCATGCCTGTGTTGGAATAAGGGTTTTCTCTCATAGAACGAGTCTTGGGATCGTAGTAGGCAGAGTTTGGATCCAGATTCCTCAAGTACTAGAATGACAACAAACATAGCTTATTCCTTTTCACCACAAAAACATTTCTCTTTATCATGGGAAGCTGGATTCTTACCTTTGCAGTGTCTTCTCTGATACGCAGATTTCTCACAGTAATTCTGCGTTTTGAGTCAAAGTTTTGTCCAGGCATATCGATGTCATCCGCATACTTGTCTTCATCCTCCCCTTCACTGTCATGCTCATACTCCTGTGACAGAGAAAAACATAGACAGTTTTCCTGTTTGTCATTAACAGTCTTCGAGCTTCTGAATGAGCCGTTGAAGCAAAGTAACTTACATTTTGTTCAAGTTTTCCTGATGCCAGCTCATCTTGGAGCTTATGGGCTTTAAGTGTCCTTTTGGCCTGGGGAAAAATAAAGAATCAAAACACCAAGAACAACAGTTTAGGAGCACAATACGTGTGGTTTTGACTCTTACCAAATCCACTTTGGCATATTCCTCCACAATGCGCTGGTGCTCTTCAGGGTTATAACCATTCCAGCGATCACGTTTTCCATCGTAGTCCAAGTCCAGATTGAGTTGACTGTGTTCATCAGGAGCAATGCCTGAACCTGTAAACTTTGCACCAACTCTTCTTGGCCGCTTTGAGGATATTCATATCAAATATTAACAGCTGTGTGAGTTGCTGAGTAAAATGTCCAAATGATCTCATTACCTCCATACAGTCTTTCTTCTTGTGTGTAATCGCTCCGCAGTTTTCACAGGCTCCTTTGCGGAATTTGGTAATGATATTTTTCTAAAATAAACAGCACTGTGTTATTGAGAGCAGGCAGGTTCATAGAGAAGTAGTATTATGAAACGCAATAAGAAAATATCCATGCAGCTGTAAAACCCCACACACTTTATACACTTTTCTAACCACCTGAACTCACTACTGTTGAAGTGCAATTGCAGAGATATCAAACCACCTGAGCGTTGCTGCAGTTGTCAAAAGCAGTGCATACACAGTAACATACAGCTGCACAGGACACCGTGCTGAGGAGCAGGACTGAAGGCTATGGGAAGGCTGCGGTAGTCCTCTGAACTAATCACAGTGGTGCAAACAAGCCATAAAAGTTTTCTTCTGACTTTAAATAAAGGCAGGAGACATGTTATACATATTCTGTTAAAAAAACATGCATAATTGATTTGAAGAGCTCAAGACTATTCTATCCTGGTTGTTGAGGCACGATGAGAGAAGACAATAGTACATTAACGAGGAGTACTGCCTTTTCGACAAATCAAGAAATAAATAAGCTCAATTATGCCACCAAACTGTCTTCATCTTAGCATAGAAGCCTTGATTTTTAGCATACTTCACTTGTTTGTCTGAAAAAGTGGATATAAAGATGCAAAAACTAGTGACAGAACCGACAGAAGAGAGTAGGGCACTAGGTAGATGGATGTTATTACATTGTACATTTGTTGTGGTGTGAAAGTTAGGTAACCCAGCTTTAATACAAAATGACGTACCTCTTGCACGCCTCTCTTGTACCACTCTCCAATATTAGAGAACTGTTCTTCTTTCTCATCCTGCGGCCTCTGATGTTTCAGTGTTGGTCTTTTAGATGGATCGATGTACCATGGCACTGATGAAATGTACTGCGGGATGTGAGGGTTGATATCCCTAAACAAGTAATTGCATATGATTAATAATGATAAGTATTTCCTTGTATTGATAATCGTATGACGCTGTCACTTACTTTCCCTCCTCGTCGACCTCAGCAGGAGCATTTCCCAGTTTCCTCTGCTCTTCAAGCTCCTTCTTCTTCCTCCAGTCCTCTCGGGTCATCTTCTTGGGCTCGTCCAGACCCACGATGCCCTCTGTAGCCCCATTGGCCTCTTCGGGCATGCTGGAACCTTGATTATCCATTACAGATAATTAATTCAATGCTCAAGATGATAGGAAACTTATCTCTCTAACGTTGCTTTGATCTAGCAACGCCTGGGTAAAGCCATGTATCTACACAATCTAAAAGTACGTTTGATGTCTTTTAGAAGAAATAAATTACCAGAACCGATTACTACCTTCTTCCAAAACAGAGTATTAAAGTGACGTAACAGCTGAAAGGTTATCCCTTGGTGTGTTTTTAAAATTGCTCACGTTCGTCGTATTTGTATTTTCTATGTCGCCATTTTACTTTCTGCTGCCGTACGTCACTTCCTGTTTCTCGATCATTCAGCTCAGAGCGCGCCCTCCAGTGGACAGATTGTGCTCTGATTTAAATAAAATTATTTTCAACAATTACGCTTTTTTTTTTGTCCCAACAGGAAAGTTTTTTCGGTCTCCATTCATTTGGAGGGTTTTAATGGAGTTCAATTTATGTGTGGTTTGTAAGTTGAGGTTTTTTTACCTGTTGGGCTCATGAGTTTTTACAAACTCCTTGTTATACAGTCTATGGTTTTAATGCATAAGCGATATTTGCTTTCACTGATATATATTTACATATCAAAGTTTGGGTGCCTATTTTTTAATTTAAACATGTTGTTTGTCCAAACAGAAAGTTTTGTAAAAGTAAAATCAGACCACAACATATTTAACACAACATAACGTGCTCTCTTTTGCATACTTGTAAGAAAGAGACCTGTGAGTCACTATTTTATGCTTTGGGTTGAGAGCTTATTGGATGGATGAGGGTGGTCCTCTTGTTTTTACTTTCTATATAACAAAGCTGGTCCAAAGATACAAAGGCCAATATGTGAAAACTAGTGATGGAACAACACTTTTTTAGTTCCATATTTGTGGTTGACAGTGATGGTCTCAGACATTAAAGGACATTGGTCGTCCTGCTCCAAATGGACCAACAGCTCCTATGTGTCTCCTATGTGTCCTATGTGTATTATTATATTTCCTGTGTTCTAAAGGTTTGATTCTCTGCTCTGTTGTTGGCAAGTCGAGTGCCCCATCTTTAATAGAATAGAATATCATATTATGGGAAGAGTAAAACGTTAAATAAAAGAAGACACACAAGTCTGATCTGGAGAAACTTTTCAACTTTTTATACTCAAGTAAAAAAAGCTAAAAAATGTAAACAATATTATTTCAAGAAAGAGCAGTAAACAGTACAGCACCAAAGACAAACAGACATGTTTACAGAAGTACAAAGAGATGCTTAGCACCAGCTTAGGGACGAGGAGGTTATTGTGAAGAAACGCATCCAGCACCCACACATGAAGCTCCTTTTATCAGTCTTTGAGGGGAACATCTTCAGCTAATTCACGTCACATCTGGAAGCTATCGTCGTCGCTACTTTTTGATTACTATAACTATTCTATCCACTGTGTCTAATATTGTAGGAATATTGAGAACTTTTAGTGTCATTATCGTGTTCTTTTCTGATTATTTCATTGGTTTGTTTCTAAGAATAGTGCATTTTTGTAACAGTACACAATTGTTTGATCCCTGTCATTATTCTAAAGTTCATTTGTCAGATCTCAGTTTATTCATCTGATTCCCAGACCTCCACCTCGTCATCCTCATGGACTTCATCATCTTCGTCCTCGTCATCACCGACCGTCCAAGTGGTGAAGGCTTCTTCACAGTCGTCCCCCTCGTTCAATATTATTTCCACCCCCTCCTCCTCCTCCTCATCGTCGTCCTCCTCCCCTGAGTCATCCTCTTCACAGTCATCCTCATCATCCTCCATCTCCTCCACTTCAAAACTGCACACTTCTCCGTCCTCCAGCTCTCCGTCCTGGTCTCTGGAGCTCGACCCTCCCCCTGTTCCGTCTGTGAGGTAGGCTTTGCTGCTGGGGACGAAGCTGGAGGTAGCTGTTTTTGTGTTGATGTACAGCCGCGGTGGAGGCACGTGCTCGGACTGGACGTATATTTTTCCCTCGGAGTGCGGCGTGGCTTTATTCAAGTTTGGGGCTGGTAAAGTCTGGCCTGCGTTGGGGACGTACTCTCGGATTTCCCCCGGCTCGAGGGGGTCGGGTCCGCAGGGGTCGTGCTCGTTGCAGGACAGCTTGCCGTCCAGTTTGGAGGCGAAGAGCATACCCGCGCTGTGGGGCTTGCAGTAGGAGCTGGGGCACATTTCACAGTATGAGGAGGCTTCTTTGCCGCAGAGGTCGCACTGGTGCCACGGACACTCCCATCGCCCTACAAGCAGATATCATGCACATATGTGAGCTTTTAACCATATTACAATTACAAAACTGTTTTTAGATCCATCCACACTAATATCAAAAACTGTAATAGAAAGATTTCATTGCACCACTAAGATGTTGCAGTTTTCTGTCTTTAAAAACAAAAGTATTGGCCATAAAATAGTTTGGGAAAATTCTCAAGTGAAATTACGTTTTCAAATTTGAAAAAAGACTGATGGTAGTGAAGGCAGATAGCATGGAAGCACTTTATTACACTTGTTTGTTTGAAAGTGCATGTTAATGAACACACCTCTCCGGATTTGCATTTGTTGTTCCACAGTCACACAAACACACACACACACACACACACTCATTCACCCTTAACTATTGTACATGTTTTTAGTGGTGGGGCAAACCGGAGCACCCGGAGGGAGAAACCTACACAGACACTGGAAGAACAAGCAAACCACACACAGAAGGGCCCTGTCTGGAGGTGGAATAAGATAAGAGATAAGAGTTCCATTATTCGTCCTACAGTGGGGAAATTTCAAATCAAACCCAGGACACACAAGTGCTAACCACTCTGCCACCGGGCCGCCACATCATAACAGCATTTCTCTCAAAAATGGCTTCTTCTTTTTGACACCTGCTTTCCAAATGAAATAGAGTAATCCAACAAAACCTGTTGGATAACACATTATAATTAAAAGGCTTACTTTTTCAACAATGACATATAAGTCATACAGTTTAGTTTTTCATAGTAACGTATCATTTATAAAAAATTTCGCTGTGGTTGAGATCCACTGGTGGCTCCATCTCTTTTTTGTGTATAATTTATTGATCTCCATGTTCTGGAACGGGAATTCTCCCCAGGTATTATTCAACTAAGTCTTATCTTACATTTGTTCTGTTACAAAGTAAAGTCAACATAAACATGAACTCATTAGTGTTTAAGTGTTTTAAGTGTTTGATTGCATGAAATGTTTTAATGGATTTCACTTTGTTCACCTTGTTGTAGAGGGCCCTATGAATAAAGTGTGATTGATTGATTCTTGGCATCAGCTATTTTGTGCAACATTCACAGCAATAACATCTCCAAAGAAGGAAAGCACGGACTCTTCCATCTTAAATGTTTGAATCATGTGTTATCAAAAGATGTGATCCTGAGTGTGTCTTGCCTGCAGGTCTCTTGGCCAGGTTGAGGCAGTCTGCGTGGTAGACTTTGGGACAGCCCGGTCTCTTACAGGACACCAACTGCCCCCCATCGCCACAGCTGAAGCAGTCGTCTTCCCTCTCCTTCTTCACCTCCTGTTTCTTCTTTTTCTTCATGTACGCCCTCTTCTTTCCTTCCTTTTCAGCTGACGGTTGATTCTACACAAGAATAATCACAATCTCAACACATGATAAATATTTCAAAGACGATTGCAAATGAAAATCCACTCACTTTAGGACGAACGCCGAGGAAACCACTACAGTTTGGTGCTCCACATTTACAGACAGTTTTTCCATTGCCGAGACATTCCAAGTTATAGTTAAAAGTCAACTCCACATCTGTAATACAAGCAATATTTACTTTTACATCAGCATCATGTTCAACAGCCACCAGGAGGTGCCAGAACAGGAGGTTTGTAGCATGGATAGAAGTGGCGTGACGGCAGTGAGCAGCCAGACCCTTCCACATCGAAAATAATGTATGATTATTGTATGAATGTGTGGTTCCAGTATGAAAAGAAGCTAAGGAAAATGACCCATTTTAAATCCCCAAAGGACAACCCGGACGGCTGAGCATGAGATCTCTGGGCTGGGGTGGGGTGAGAGCAAACAGAGGGAGTGGGAAATTCAAATCTAAATTTTTGCCTAACTTTGCAATTTTTTATGTTTTATAGTTGCAAGTTATGTATTAATGTAGATCCTGTGGTTGCGTAGTTGATCAGCCCCAAACACACCTTCAATCTTTTACAAGAATTCCATATCCAAATGAGGATGTTAAATTTTTAAGCCCACTTTGCAGCTCCATGGTTCATAGCCATTAAATTCTAATTGTGAAGTGCTCAAGATGAAGATTTGCTCATATTCACTCTGGCTCCTATTGTGAACTGCTCTAGCTCAAATTTGGGTCATAATCATCAGTTTGGGCTTACAAAATCTTTTTTATTTATTTATTTGAATCCTTGTCCAGCCCACTGCTCCTGAGTGTTTACCCCCAGTGGCATTAAAAGTGTTTTTTCCCTCTTTTTATTAATAATAAACGTTATACAAAAACATAGCACAAAAATCCATGTTGTTCAATGTTGTCAAAAATAACAGGAGAGGCCACTTTGAATCTAAATCATGTTTAATCAAGTGTGTAAAATAGACGTACCTTTTGGAATATCTTGAAGTGCAAATAGCCCCACCCTGGTGTCTCCGTTCACAGTCCACTTCTGAGTCTCACAGTTGGGCTGACAGCTGTGGTTCATGAAGCGGGCCTCATTTCCTTTGGGCCCTGCATCGATGACTCTATCCTACAAATGGAACCAACATCAATAACAGTGTTTCAGTGTTCTACTCTGAGCACAACTTGTGGATATGTGGGAACTTGACCACTACCTTGTCCAGTGTAAGCATGTAGAAGTTGCAGATATCGTTCTCTTGAGCGTGTCTGATCCGCGCCCTGCACTCCTCCTCATCGATCATCTCCCCCACATATTCACTCACAAAGGCTCCCTGTGAAAAGCAAAACAACTATGAGTGATAAGGCAAACACTTCACCCATTGTTAGCGATCGTGTGAAGCCGTTTCTTATTACATTGACAACAGAAGCTACTCTTCTGAACCCAATTAAAAGTTTACACCCTTATGTCTTTTGTCAATTGCCAAACATTTTGTACCGTGCATCTTTTGATTATTTTGTAACAAATTGTGTTTGTTTATATTTTTTCTGTATTCGTTTTTTTTTTTTCTGAACAAAATGAGTTCATGCTTGGACTGAACCAAAACTGGACCAAAAGTCGGAAAGTCTTGTTTTTGCAGACTGATAGAGCAATTATTATTGTTATGAAATGTGTTTATTGATTGGAAAATAAAAAATTGTGCAGTGGTTTTCTTCAGAGCATTAACAGTAACTACACACCATAGTAGACCATAGTAACCTTTTACTATCAATATATAGTTTAGAAAATAATTTCAAGTACCCCTTGGGGTATACAGCCTCTCAATGGATTGATTTCTTAGTTGCCCAAAAAAATAGTTGACTAGTCATTTTATCTAAATCACAAGGTTTTTAAAGAGAAAAAAGCCTAAATTAGAAACTTATAGAAAAAATATAGAGAAGATATATTTATATTCTATTCTACTGTGGACCACAATACATCATTTTGAGTGTGCATCTGGACCTCATCAAGAGCTTTGTGGTGTGCCATAACGAATCTTTTTGAATAATTGATCAGGCGTTTATTTGATTATATATGGCTTTTCACACGACCACTATCAACCATTTCCAAAACATGGCCAAATAAAATGACACATACTGAACGTCCGGGTGTGAAATCTGTCAAGCACAACTGTACCATAAAGTGAATCTCACATTTACACATACCTTTTTAATGTCCGACACGGCCCGCAGACCCCAGCCGCGAGAGAGCGTCCTGAATATTTCCACTTGACTGTACTCTCGTTTGGTGAAGGCCTGGTTCTGGCACTTGTCTGCGGCCGCACAGACCTGAGGATGGCACTCGTACAGCAGCATGCGGTTGATGCACTCCGAGTCCGGGCCGCACGCGTTCTCATCCGAAGCCTTGCAGTTACACCGCGGTATCTCCGACAGGTCAGCGGTGATTATCTGGACTTTACCGATCGCCTTGTTGGCCTGAGGATGAAAAAAACGCATTTTGGTGAGAAGTGTGATTGTAAAACCTTAAATACTAATGAGAACAAATATCCACAGAAAGTTACCTTTATGAGTTTATAAGGAGGCGGTTTCTTGTCATTCTTTCTGACCTCTTGCAGTTGTTTCATTTCCTTTGCTGCTTGAAGTTCTTTGAATCTTTCGGCTGCGTCTGAAAGAGCTGAAAGCAAAGGTCCCATTTCAAACTTTCCCCAACAGTAGTAAGAAATCATTGACTTTAAATATCCAGGACCTGTCTTTCAAACCATGAGAAAGAATTTACCATGTATTAAAAAGAAAAAAGTAAATAAAAGGTACGTTAGAATATTGTTCAGAAGTCCATTTACTTCTGTAATTAACTTAAAATGAGTATATAATAGATAACAAACGGTATATATAAAAGCTGTATTTGTTATAATGTTGATAATTGCCTCGCGGCTTCAAAAAACCCAAACAAAACAATGCAGAGATATTATGTAATAGCCATAATCATCAAAATCATAGCAGACAAAAGTCATATAATGTTTGCACATTTTAAGTTGAATTACAGAAAATAAATAAATTCACTTTTCAACAATATTCCAATTTTGTGAGCTTCACCTGTATTTCATCTCTCTCAAAAGTTAATTTTTTGTCTTATGTCTCATCATTAAATCAGCTATTTGAGACAGAAAAGTGAAACAGAGACAACGATTAGCTCTCAGCCCAAACTGTCAAATAGTGAGTTCACAAATATGCTTTTTTAAGATGAATAATAATAAAAATAATGCTACATGTTATTTCTAAGGTGCTTTTCTTGACACCTAAGATTGCCTTACAATACAAGTAAAAAGTAAAAGTAAAGTAAAAACGGTTAAAATACAAAGACTGCACGATGTGGTCAGATTTGCTCACGACACAATTGATGAATATACAGCTGTAACGATGAGAAACAAACCAGATTTATAGACAGCATCAGCCCCTTTGCCCATTTCCTCGATGTTGTGCGTGTCCCCTTCCATGTAGGGGAACACGCGGGCCTGGTACGTCCACACAAAGTCTCTGGAGCCAAAGAACTGCACCGGGAACTCCCCCACGTCATGCTTCATTTTCAAGATATTATTTGGAACGTCTTTGGTGAGGCAGACTTCAGCGGGCCACCATCTGAAAGTCACAGTACAAGGTTTACTGTCCGACGTTTACAGTCAGGTGGTGAGACATCTGTTTGCAAAGTCTGGATGTTGTGGCTGTTACCTGTAGCGCCCCCATTTGACCCACAGGATGTCTTTGATTCGGGGTCTTTTCCCTGCTTTACAGTCGTTGCAGAACCAGCTTCCCTGGGGCATCTCGATGTTCAAACACTCTTGGTGGAAAGCAGCGGGACATGATTCACAGCACAGAAGACTGCCTCCTGCAAACCAACATATGGACATGTAAGACCTTTGTGCTATTTTACCACTAGAACAGTCCGTTTTAAGGCTTTTATTTTTGGAAGTGTAATTTCTTGGGGTCTGTACTTTTTTGGTCTAATGTTGTGACTTTTTCTGTTTCCATATGTAGTTTCTTTCTGTCTTTATTTTTATGACAATTTATTTTATTTTGCTTATCTCTACAGCAGTTAAAGTCCCCTTTTAAAAGTGCTGGTTCTGGACCCTCCCTGAAATGATTCTGGACAGGTTCTGGTTCAGCTTGCTTTTCCACCAAAGGAGAACGAGTGCTGGTTACCATGGCAACACACTTTACAGTCATTTAGCCTTTCAACCAACTGTTTGCTGTATTTCAGTTCTATTCACCAGTTTTAGCTCTATGTAAAAGTGAGTTTAGGCAAATCCCTCATAAATGACTTACTTTTACCGGTAATAAAGCTGGAGGAACATTTACAAGGTCTAGGAGGCCTAGTAGTATCCTGACTTTCTCCTACAGGTCAATAAAGTATCTATCTATCTATACAGTTTTAGAAATGTGGGGTCTTAGTGTTAAGCAGCTGTTTTTCTCTTCTCATTTACGCTCGTAAAGTTGTGAGTGTGACCCCAAAACATTTTTTTTGATAATCGATCAGAAAGAGATTATTCTTTTGAACAATCAATTAGTTGCAAAGAACATTGATATGACCCCCAGATTCATTCAAGCCATATATTCAAGACTTTTTTTCTATAATTGACTCTTCTATGTTTATGTTTTAATGGTGATTTTGTTTGTTTTATGTGATGATTTGTGCCTTGTGTTGGCTGACTGTGAAGCGCTATGTGTAGAAGCGCTCTGTAGAAAAAGCACTCTAAGATAGATAGATTGATTTATTGATAAATAATACACTGTCTATTAGGACAAACAAAATGTAAAAAGATAAATTATATAAAATAAGTCGGGACTTAGCTATCATGATGTGTACAGTGATGTTGCATAAAGGGGGAGGAGAAAATCACTGATAATAATTGTATTTAATCATTTTAGATCAATATTAAAGGTATATAGGAGGATTTTCTCAAATTTTAGGAAAGAACCACCCTCCTAAGAAGAAATGCCTATTAAAATGTGTCTCGCATATCACCAGAATGATTGAAAATTAGGAGGACCAATATTCTAGAATTATCCAGACTTGTGCTTTTTAGGTGAATGTTTGGTGTCTGGATCACATGAAGAAAATCCTCCCAAAATGTTCCAAATGAGAGCCAAAAGGACAACAAGCTCATGGACTTTATGTGACAAAACTGACCTTCAGAGCAGACAAAGCACCAGCTCACATTGATGTGTTCGTGGTTCTTGTTTCCTTTGCGAGGAGTGAAGTGGTTTGGGCAGAGGAGGCTGTTGTTGGCCAACATGAGGCTCCCAGCAGCCATGCAGTTGTCATTGGCGTGATAGGCCACAGGGCAGCGCACACATTTCAGTAGTCGACCTGGAAAGAAAAATCCAATTATACCCCTTACTATATTGAAACATACAAAAAATGTCTTACAGTGGTTCCTCATTTATCGCAGGGGTTTATGTCCTAAAAAATAGCCCACAATAATCCGCAGCAAGCCCCAGTAAAAGCCCATCACACACTTTACTAACCACCTGAACTCAGAACTGCTGAAGTGCGGTCGCTTCTGTTGAGTGGTACTGCCGCTGTCAAAAGCCGTGCATAAAAATGCACTGTAAAATGCAGCTGCAGAGGACACCACGCTGAGGGGCAGGAGCAGGACTGAGGGCTACAGGAAGACCGCACTCATCCTCTGAACTAATCGCTGCGTTGAACAAAAGACTCAAAGCTTTTCTTTAACTTTAACTGAATGTAACTGTCATGTTATACAACCGGTTATATGAAGTTTTTGGATTATACACGTGGCGCAGGAGAAGCAAAAAAATCTCCACCAGGTTATAGTGAGTCACCACTGTAATAAGTTCAGATGCATGCAGTTCAAATGTGGAACAGTCTTCCTGAAAGTGTGACACAGGCTTCAACTCTGACAATGTTCAAATCCAGGTTAAAAACAGTTGTGATTAGCTGTGCACATAAAATCAATTTGAGATAAGGGTATGTGTTGTTAAGAATTGTATGAATATTTTTTGCTTGTCTCAAAACATTTGAGCAGTGTATCACTAAAATCTGATCAAAAACATTACTCACCTGCTAAGTACTAATGATTCATGTATTTTTTTCAGTTCATGGTAAATGTTTTCACTGAGGAATACACTTAAGTAGGAATGGTATGTGGTTTTGACCTCAGTCCCATCTTTAGACCACCCTCACTCAGCCAATCAGCTCTCACCCCAAAGCATCCAATAGGGACTCATAGGGCTCTTTCTTACTAGATGTTTTCTAACAAGATAAAGACAGCCTGGTGTGGGCAGATAAATTCAAAAAATCTCACTTTTACTAGACTGTTGGAACAAATAAAATGTAATGTAATATTCCTGACTCCTGCTCGTGCCCAGAGTCATGTGAGACAGGCTTCTTCTCTGACAATGTTCAAATCCAGGTTAAAAACAGTTCTGTTTAGCAGTGCATACAACTGAGGAATTTTATCTTTCTCTTTTTTTAATGTACTTTTTTCTAATTCAGTTCAGCACTTTGAGTTGCCTTGTTTATGAATTGTGCTTTACAAATACACGTGCCTTGCCTTGCCTGATGTAAAAATATAGATGAAAAAAACCACAAGGACACCTGCCTTTGGAGTTGGCGGAGTTGAGAGGGTTGGTGATGTGGCAGGACAGACAGACGTGGAGGGGGCAGCGGAGGCCCTTGTTATTGGGCTGCGTGGCTGAGAAGGTGGTGATACAGTCTGAGTGGTAGAACTTCCCACACAGCGGCTTCATGCATCGCTTCACTCCCTCACCGGAACTTTTGCACACAAAGCAAGCGTGGACCCCTGAAAAAAGGGAAAGAGATTTTAACCAATCATTTTACAGCAATAGATTTGTTGACAAATGACATTCACTTAAACTGTACTCAAAGACACAATTACAACTACTTAGTTTTGGTCATTTCAGTCAACACAGTCCTTGTCAAGCAAAATACATATTTGTAAACACAACATTTTTTTGGATTCTCAAGAGAAAACCTCAAGAAAGATTTAAAGTATATACATATAATTTGAATATTTGTAAAAACATGAATTCACATTTTTAATAATGTTTACTTTTTGTTAACACATATAACCAATAGTTTGTCACACCTAATTTTTATACAATCAAGGAGGTTTGTGGTTGACTTGAGCCCTAATTTCTAGGTGGGAAATTACAAAACTCTTTATCCATCCAAATGAAACCAATTAAATGAGAGTTTCCCCTGACTTGAATGTCAAAGTAAATACCAAAAACCTCTGCGAATGTTCTCCACGACTTCTAATACGTGCAGCTTTCCCATAGAAATCCTTATTGTCCAACTAAAACAAAAGTAGGTTTCCATATGATCAACCCACCAGTTTTGCATTCCCCGCAGACAAATTTATCCTTGGGAGCGGCGGACAGTCCGATGCACTGGAGATGAAATGCTCCATAACAGTGGCCATCACAATTCAGCAGGTCCCCAGGCTCCTCACAGATCTACAAAAACCATGTTTGTAAATGAGAGTTGAATAATAACACTAATAGCACTTGCTCCACTATTTAGCCCACGTGCTTAAAGGGTTAGGGTTAAACCAGTTACATGTGTCAAGGAATGTGTAACCTATCGCTACTAAAACTTTATGGTCCGTACATACAACTTACATAGAGGGATTTTATCTTAAAGGAATAGTTCACCGTTTTTACATACTGACATATGTTCTTACCTTACCTTAGACTAGTTAATATGTACCTGTCTGGTCTTAGTCCGTGCGCTCTGTCATGCAAACGGAGCAAAAACGGGAGCACAAACGCAGCCTCCTCTGTATACTGTATAGTACCCAAAAGGTAGCTCCCGCTAGAAGCTACCAAACTCTTCCAAGTGTTCCCTATTAAATGTATATAGTTACGTGACGTGTTACACTGCAAAGTATAGTAACACAGAAATGTAACTGTCGATTTTCTCAGCGGATAAAACGGGTACTATATTGTGAGGCGTAGTAATCTGAGGAGCGCTACGTCCGCGCACTAACTTCTCTCCGGAGACTTCTCTCTCGCTCACTTCCGTCAATAGAAGCAGCGTGACTTGTAGTACACACAGTAGTAGCAGAGACTTATCGGATAGCTAGTTTGAGGACAGTTGAGGCAGCAACTTGCCTCAACTGTCCTCAAACTAGCTATCCGATAAGCCGATAAGACAATATAGTACCCGTTTTATCCGCTGAGAAAATCGACAGTTACATTTCTGTGTTGCTATACTTTGCAGTGTAACACGTCACGTAACTATATACATTTAATAGGGAACACTTGGAAGAGTTTGGTAGCTTCTAGCGGGAGCTACCTTTTGGGTACTATACAGTATACAGAGGAGGCTGCGTTTGTGCTCCCGTTTTTGCTCTGTTTGCATGACAGAGCGCACGGACTAAGACCAGACAGGTACATATTAACTAGTCTAAGGTAAGGTAAGAACATATGTCAGTATGTAAAAACGGTGAACTATTCCTTTAACACTTTTTAATGCACTGTGGATTTTTATGATTTTAATTTTTATTACGTGTGTGATCTTGATGTTTGTTTCTAATGCCCTGTGGGATTTAATTGTATTTTTTAATGTTGGTGTAGATTTTAAAATGTATGTTTTTTTAACAATAATTTATGCTTAATGTGAAATGGGTTGTGAGGCGCTCTGACAACAACCCAAATCACATAAAATGTTATTTCTTTGCATTTCCTTGGGTCTTCTCTCTACTGTTCACATAAACATAAACCCAACAGAGTTCAAACATGATAGAGTTCAAAGATCTTGAAAAAAATTGCAATTTATCGTCCGGCAATTACTGTGATACTGTGATGGTAGCAGAATAGTGTCATACCTGGCAGACATTCTCTTTCAAAGATGCTCCTCCTACTTTGATTTTTCCATCTACCTGAGAGGACATACTATCATTCAACACCTGCAAAAAAAACATTATACATATTATTGTTATCTGTTCATTTTGCGTATTAATTAAGTAAGAGTAAAAGTCTGACCTCATCTTTACAAGCTGAATCAAAGCTCATTGTCATTTCTTCTTCGTTGCTGTCGGTCTCTGGCTCTGATTTTGGTTTCGCGGCCTGGGAGCTCACGCTGGTCTCCTGTACAGTGCTTTTACTCTCCTCACTCTTTGATTTTTGGTTTGTTCTGAGCAAAGGTTGTGTCTTCTTCACAGTTTTAACCTGTTTTCAAAAACCATACGCATAGTGTCTTATGCAAGTCCACATAAGTACAACAATTACATTTTTTAATATTATTATTGTGCAACTTTTTTGGTCCCCATTGAGGTGCTATATACTGGTATTAAAGCTGAGGTACCTGACTTATTTTGTTATTTGTCACAACAGAAAGAATCAGACCACATCATATAAGAAATCGTTGTATTTTATCAGTGGGAGCGACAGTGGCTCAGTTGGTAGAGCATTGGCATTTGGGCCAGAAGGACGTGGGTTCAAGCCAACCGACCTACTTCACCTTAACTCCCACTGATGTCTGATGTTGTTGTGTCCTTGGGCAAGACACTTGTCCCCACTATGCCTCGAGCCCTGCTGGAAGATCAAGGCTCCTGTGGACTCACCACCCTCAGGAGGATCTGGTGCAATGTGAATTGACCCAGAAATGGATTAAGGGGAAGAAAATGGAGGGATGGATGTATGTGTTTTTATCATTATTGATTACCATTTTTGTTATTACCTTGGACCTCTGTATGTGTTTGCATGTGTTTTTGCTGTTTTAAACTTAAAAAAAATCACTGAAAAACAACCATGTTAGTCACTACTTGGTGCTTTGGGCTGAGAGCTGAGGGTGGTCCTCTCTTTTTTTCCCTTTCTCGTCTGAAAAGGCCAATCTAAAGATGTGTTCGAGGCCAAATACGCATACTTGTGAAAACGAATGATAGAACCAAACTGTTTTAAAGCCAAGAACTTGTCAGATGGATTTTTTTGCCATTGTTCCCTTTGGTATGGCACCCCAAGTTAGGCACCCCAGCTTTAATACACCCTCAAAATTGTTAACAGCAATACAATGCAAATAAAATGTTTGCAAAAATGGTGCTAACATACCTGCTTTTGCACTGAAGTGGCAGACACTTCCTCTATGGTACAGTCCAGAACTTGGTGTGTGACTTTCCTGGGCCTTTTTCTATATTTCTGTGCAGGCCCTGGGTCAAAACGTTCATATTAACAAATGCAACGCCAATACAGACGCAATGATTATGCCTCATTTTTGCCCTCACCACATTCAGGAGGTAGATCGTATTCAGCTGTTGTCTCAGCGTCCTCTGAGGTTTGTGAACGCGGCGTTTTGGGAGTTTCAACAGGAGACACATCCGCACGTGGTTCAGATTCCACGTTCTAAAACAGACATGAACAGGATAGAAATAATTGGTTTTATTTGCAGCGTTCTTGGATTTACAATATAAACCACTATCATGAAGGGAAAGGGCCAATAAGTTTATGGTAATTCCGCTGTGTTGAAAGAAACACACAAACTAGTGAGCGTCAGACATATATGCATTTGTCACGGACTGTACAATAGTTTGATCTTATGTGTGTTTTGGAAGTTAGGTGTCGCAGCTTTAAAATTATTACCTCTAATATTTTCCTTTTTGCTTTCCTATTGGATTCATCTGTTTGTTCAGAATTCACCATGAGCCTTTTGCTGGACTTTCGGAGCTGCTTTTTTGCCGGACCTGCAAAAACACAAAATAATATATAATTCTTGAACACATTTTCAAGTTTTTTCATACATTTTCATTTAGTATTTGTAATAAAGCTCACCAGATTGTCTTGTATCTACGACATCTTCTTGTACATCCAAATCAGTGTGCGTTCCGTTCATTTTAGCCACGATAGCTTCCCCACTGCTCGCGTTTGAGGATTTTTCATCTGATGTTTCACTGTTTCGCTTTTCTAATTGCTCGCTACTTTTCACCAGTGTCCCAAAGGCCATGTTGGTGAGATGCGGGGAGAGGCGGGGCAGGCTGACGGTCAGCTTTGCGGGCAGTTTTTGCTTTCTCCGCTGTTTGTCCGTGCCTTCTGAATGAACGGGGGCATCTTCGCTTTTAGCTGCGTCTGCTTTGGCAATATTTTCAACTGGCAAACTCTGGTCACTTTCTTTCTCAGTAGTTATTGCATTTGGCGTGGAAACTTCACTCTTCACCTCAGCCGTGGTCATCGCCGTGGGCTCCTCTTGAATGGCAACTGGAGACGTTGGAAGAGACAGTGGTTTGCCCTCTTTTGCTCTGGTGTCGTGAATGTCTTTAAGGAGCATTAGAAAAGTACTGAACTGATAATTCGGCTCGGTTCGGAACGCGCTCTCGTCCGGGTCCTTTTCCTCTTCCTTCACGATGGATTTAAACTTGAGCTCTTTGACGTTCTGAAATGCATCCATGGGTGACAGAGGAGGAGAGGAGGGGGATATCTCGGAAGTGACATTTTCGCTCTTCACTTCGACGTGTGGCAGAATCGGCTCGTCTGTGTCGCTTGGAGCCTTCGAATCTTTCCGTAAACCATTACGGATTTTGGTCTTGTCTGGTTTTCTCGCCCTCCTCTTCACAGCAGTAGTATTCGAGGGAGAAGACTCACAAGGAAGCAGTTCAGTAGAGCAATTATGAGCGCTATTTCCACTTGGGACTTCTTCTGAGGTGAATTTGGTTTCCAGTGCATCGTGGCCGGCATTTTCTTCCGCATTCAACGCCTTTTTCATCAAACTACTAGCAGCTGGAAAAGTAAGTTTTGATGATGAGGATATATCTGTTGACGATGTGTTCACAGGCTTAATGTCAGTCTGTAGTGTTGGAGAGGAAGCTGAAACATTTGTGGAAGTGTTTGAGTTTTTGGAGTGCTTTGATGGGTTTTTAGTTGAATGATGCAGTTTGATCAAAGACAGGTCTTCATCCTGCGTATGGGACAGCTCTGTGCGTTTAGGCCGGTGCAGAATTGGGACAGAATCCAGGTCAGCGTACGGGGAGTCCTCATCTTTCAGTGCACAACTTGTTGAAATGGGCTGATCTTTTGAGCCGCCAACAATGTGCCCAAAGATATCTGACAGTCGTTTCTTTTTTCTTTTAACCGCATTATTTATTAATCCATTTTGCACATTTTGTTTAACGTATTGCCTTTTATTTTCCCTATATCCAATGTGGCTGGAGGAGGGTTTATTTTCCTGAGATAAGCGCTGCTCAACAGACTGTTGTCCAGGACTGGGAGACAAGGTTTTGCCATTTCTGGAAGAGGACGGAACACTTTCGATTTTGGGTTTTTCCCCATGAAGCAGGTCTTCAGCTTTAGACACACTGATTTCCCACACACTTTGATAGAGTTTGGGTATCTGCAGATAACCAACACAATCATTCAGCTGGTGATTCAGGTTTAGAGGACAATACTATTTCATATTGATCTACCTTATACTTGAAGTCTTTCTCCTTCTGTTTTCCTTTTCTTTTGAGGACCAGGCTATCTTCAAATTGATGACCACTTTCAAAGGGGACAACAACATTCTCCGGGATCCAAGCTGATTCTTCAGTTTCTTCAATTGTCTGCAGATAGTACAATCGACAAGAACGAGAGCTGGGAACTGAAAGACAAAGAAATATGAAAATGAAGTAATATAGTGTGGAAAATAGAATCCATATCAATACTTCTTACCCTTCATCTTGGTGTGGACTCCCTGGACGGGATGGCGGATGATTTGGCACGGCCACCAGGGCCTTTTGTTGAACTTGGCCCACACAATATCTCCCTCCAATAACTCGTCTGAAGGACAGGACTCTTTTTTGGGACTATTAGGCTGATCAATAGAGTGATAACTAGTTAATATAATGTGTAAAACATGCCTAAAAGCCTTGTAAAGCAGCATTTATAACATAAAACAAACCATATAGAATGTTTGAACAAGACTTACATTTAAATTTGTTTTTGATAAACCGGCAGGGCTCTCCTGAGGCGGCGAGCTTACGTTTCCAAATGCAGACTCTTTGTCCACACTCCACCCATCCCTTATAATAATTTCCGGTAATGCACTGGGGCTTAGTGTGGGGTTGAGTTCAGATATAGTTTTGGACATCAGGTTAAAAATGGGTTTAAATGTCCGTTTGTCTGCTGCAGAGCTGCATGTGTTTCTGGAGTCGACAACAGGACATTCTTCTGATAACTTTGGGGAAAAACAGAACGGTGTGAAGTCCTCATTGGTGTGGTCTTCCAACTCGTCCTCTTTAAAATCACTGCTGTCAAAAAGAGTGGATCCGAAATGTAGGTACCCAGTGGAGATGGGGGAGCAGGGCTCCAAACTGTGGGGACTGTTAGAAAACCCCTTTCTCCGTACGTCCTGAAGGCTTTCAAAAGAGCCAAAATCCTGGATGTCTGGAGAGGGAGGCAACTGTACAGAGGGCGCCTCAAACTCATCCTCATCACTGATGGGGCTGGCACAGTGCAGCTGAGTTCTGTGGGGCAGATCTGGCAGCCTCAGAGGGCTGTAGCAGTGGGAACTGTTGAACTGATTGTAGCTCAGTGCACTGGACTGTTTGAGGCCTTGGCCTGCTGAGGGCAGCTGCCCTGTCGGTGTGTCGGACCCACGCTTCACAAGGCTGCACGGGTTTACATATGAGCTGCTCATCAAACCATTGTGTGGCCTCAGCTCAGCCTGACCTGGGCCAAAGACAGAGCCTGCCCTAAAAGCCGGTCTGTAAGACTGATTCATGTTGCCATGTTTCTGTCCTATAAGAAGAAGAAAGAGCAAGTTAGTTCATAACATACATTAGTACGCTCACAGGTTTCTAATTCCCTGGTTATAAATGAAGAATATGTCATAAAGCCTTCACTAATGTGGAAATGACGCAGTATTATGATTGTTTCCTGTTAGATATAGTGAAACAAACCAGGCGCAGCATTAGTCGCGTCACAAATAAGCCGACATTATTATGGCCTTCCTACAATAGACCATGTAATTGGCTCAAAACACAACAGTACCGGTGCGCCTGGTTTGGACATATCACAGAGAGATAAACAGTCCCCTTAGTCCCGTCAATGTGGGTCTTGGCGATCGGTGTCCACCATAAAAACCAGAAGAACACTGCTTTAGTGGAGGAGGTGACACTCGCCATCACAGAGGCTTAAACCAAATACACAACGACACAAGCTACATTTCACTCACAAAGGGTTCACTAGCACCAACACGTGGAAACAGCCATAAACTTACCATTCTTACGCCGGCCACTGGCTCAACCCTGGCGTTTTAATACTATGGCACAAAGCGAGGGCTTGTCTCGATTTGTGAAAGCCGATATGCACAATCCCAGTTGCAGCAGCACTAGTAGGCCAAGGCACAGATCTCATTCTCTGCGGCCCTCTGAAAAACTGTCACCTTACACAGCAAGTAAGCAGTAAAAAGTCCATTTTGTTGGCATATCAGACAGCGGCAAAATTCAGTATGACATAACCGGTCTTCTCACAGTCGAGCAGATTATTTACGTGATTATTTTGGTTTCTATTCGAGGTGCCCCTGGTTATGTTAAAACAAGCCCAGACTGACTGTGTTGGTGAGCTGGGAACCAATCGGCACAGCTCCCAACCCCCCGTCTGTAGGGCCGTGACACTAACATACTGTCGCGCGCACAACCACGCGCATGGCCACGAGCACCTCTCTTCCCGCACACACAAAGGCGCACGCACGGAGCACGTCCGAGTGAATGTTCTAATCATGTCGTTATAACAGGAGTATACTTGGTAACAGTGTAGCAGTGCGTCTCTGAGATGGTGGCACAGCATTCCTTCTCAGCAGACAGAGGAGGTCTGAGCCATATCCGCGAACATGACACAGAAACAAGGAAACACAGGCCTAAAGCGCACGGCCGCGTTGGAAACACGGTGCGCCATATTGATTCTCCTTCCGTCCAGTCTGACACTAGTCACAGGCAGCTGCTGCTGTGTGTGTGTGCTTTGTACTCGGGCTGTGAGATGATAGAGGGTCGTGCCTGAGGCCTGGCCTTGGATCTACTCTGGGCCTGTCTCTGGCTCCGTGCGCACAAAGGGCTCACTTCGCTTCAGGAACACTGCTGATGCCCCATGGCCTCCCTGGGTTCGGACTACAGCCGCCTGTCTTCGGACTGGCCCGATTAATTTTATGGTTTTCCAGTGCTACAATAAAAGAGAAGGATACGTTTCTAATACATTTATAGGTGAACGAAAAGGTCGCTTTACGTAAAGAAAATGTATTTTTGTATTATTGTTCCAAGAACAAAGCCCTCTAGTGGAGAAGTAAGGACCTCAGGTGTACAACCGGACTCTCCAGAAAAATACTTTTCACACGGTCTTAAATTTTGTGACAAAGAATAAAGTGAAAAAACAGTTTTACCTCAATATTGTGGAACTGAGCCCCTATTAAAGTTAAACCTAAACCCATAGGCAAAATTAATGTGTATACACATTTTATATTTCATATATACTGCCTAAATGTAATACCAATTATTCCCACTGATTATTGTGAAGCGACAACTCAATGTACATACACAAAATGACTTACATATTCTTATACATTACTCAAATACTGCTCACAACTGGGTATTTTTGCATTTATAATAAAGGGAAAAAACATGGAGATATCAGTTTATTTATTAACATCCATATGATTTTATACAGATACATTGCACGAAATAAAACAATGTTTACTTCAACAGGAAGCAATAAGCAAATCGCCGTGGCATCCTCAACTTGAAATTATGTTTCCCGAATGATCTTAGTCAACTTCTGAATCTTGGTTTTAGTAGACATATCCACATACTTGTCCCCGATACTGACAATCATGCCTCCAAGGATTGCAGGATCCGACTGAAAAATATTTGAAAATACATTCACATTTTGTAATACTGATAAATCCAGCAGATATCCACACAGTTTTCATAATAATTGCAAAAACATTATTAAATTAAAATACCTTTGTTTCAAGCTTGATGGTTTCACCTTTCTTAAGAAAACCTTTCAGGGCAACTTTCAGTTCAGCCAGATTAGCTTCATCCAGGGGCTGTAGCAGGACAAAGTTTTAGTTGTGCATCATAAATGACAAAGAAAGTTGGTAAATAAAATCCTTTTCCAGTATTATACCTGTGCAGTTGTGACGGAGCAGATGACCTCTCCACGGTGTGCACTCATCATTTTACCAAAAGCAGTGATGACCTCGCCAGTCAGAGTCAGGCGACGATTTTCAGACAAGACATCTTTACGAAAAGAGGGGTAAAGAGGTTCAGTCATGAATCTATACTACTTTATAAAGTGCCTTTCATGAAAACAATGTGACACAAGTTGCTTGACCAATTGGACAATAGCATGTTAAGATGAACAAATAATTTGTCCTATGCATTTGTCCCATCCTTCAAATGCCACAAATTAATATAATACCACAATGAATATCCGGGCAACTGCCTCGCACATCTTGTACACCTTTTTTCTTATTATCACCAAAGGCAAAGAGTAACTTACTGATGAGGTTCATTGTGATTTGAGAACACTTTGCCTTCGTCAAAGCGTCATTAAAAGTCTTCTGTTTGAGGCTGCGCTTCACATGAGGGTTCATGACAATACTTGACAGTTGTGGGTCCTTGATCATGGTCTATGAGACAAAAATGCAGGATAAATGAATTCTGTCAATAAAAAGTAGGGGTTATGTGGCTCATAAAAACATACATGAACTTTTCCCAGCTCCTGCTCCACTTGGTCCAGTTTGTTCTGCTTGCTGGCAGCAGAGAACAGAGCGGTGGCATAGCGCCCTTCCACTCCATAGACTTGAATGGGTGGCTAAAATACAGATACTTAGACTTTCATACTTTTATTTTATTTTATTTTAAATTTTTTTAAAACCACAACAAACCTACCCTGACAAGTTTTGACACTGGTCTGGCAGCAGAAATGCTGAACTGACGAACCTGTAACAACAAAGAGCATGAGCATGAGAATGAAAATAAAAACAAAAAGACAAAAACTTTAAAGAAATGTAGTATTTTATGGCTCTGAAAATAACATTTGTCCCAACTGGAATGTCCCACCAGAAGGAGACCCTGAGGATGATTGAGAACACAGGGAGCTGGCGACACGACTGAGCATTGGATAAAGCAGAAGAAAAGTGATGTGTTCTAAAAGTGTCCATTCTTTAACTACATGTATTGCAATATTTGTAAGTTGACAGAACGTTGTATATTATGATCTTCAACAGAGAATGTTAGGATAAAATAAAATAAACACACTTCATTAATGCATGTGATTTTCCACTTTCCCAAGTTACAACCCATTGCTTTAATAAAAGCAGGTAATGCAAAGAGACCAAAAGTGACTCTCGCACATACAGGTGAACTAAACAGTTAAGTTGGATACTTAATTCAATAACATCAACTGATTGACTGCGCTACAAGACTTAAATCTTTCATCTGAAATGATTAAAAAGTAAAGTACATAATGGCTCCGTTAATATGCAGCCAGATACACCAGCTTACCACCTGTGTGTGTTATGCTATATGAGGGATTCAAAACGCACGCATTGATCATATTTCCATTACTGTTGCAGTATAATGCACACTATAAAACTAGGGTTAGGTTCCGTCAGAATACACTGAAGGTTGTAGCCAGCTAACCTTAAAGCTAACGCGTTAGCTTCGCTGTCATTCAGCGTCCTCGAGTAGTTTGCCGAGCCTCTCAAAGGACTTACATCCTTCAAAATAAATATTCAACAAGTGAAAGCCTTCCTCTGCACGTGTATTTGACACAATGCATTGAGGTCATGAGGTAAAATCTGATAAATAAAAGTCAAACCTGCTGTCCGAGCATGAGCGCTGCCATTTTCTCCTACAGCCGACCGACAGGACTGACGCATGCGCACTTCCCCAACAACTTTAAGGCTTGTATTTTAGTTTGACGAATTACTACAAAATCACTTGTTTTTTTCTACAAACTAATCTACGTACAATAAAACAAGCACAAGTAACTACGCGGTGCTGGGGGACATACCATTGAATAATAATCATACAAATAAAAACAAATTTAAAACACAAATAGAATAGAATGTAACTAGAATAAAATAGGCACTCGTGATGATCATGGTTTGGGTTTGTTTTTATGTACGTGTATGGCAGACTAAACTATCGCACACCAGTGTGACGCAGTCTTTTTGTGGCGCACGTACGCAGAGCTGCACACACAGCTGCTGTAGGACGTAGCGGGTCCAGAGACTATTACCGCTTTGGTATTTACCCAACAATTACAGGTTTATTAACAGCAGGACGAGGCTCCAGGCATGGACGACAAGACATTTAACAAGGAATTGGACTCTTGGATTGAACAGCTAAATGAGTGTAAACAGCTATCAGAGAATCAGGTCAAAGTTCTATGCGAAAAGGTAGGTTTGCTCAAAAATTGGCTTTATTTGCACTTACAACGATACCATCGCAATGGTCACGTAAGAGATCATACAAGCGCGGGGTTGTCTCATTTCCACCCAAGCCTATTTTCTTTCCATGAAAAACGCCATAGCCTAATTCACGTGTGGCCCTGTTTTGTATAGCATCCCTTTACAGAAGCATGCAGCCCATAGCTATAACTGCTCTCACCAAAGATGCGATGGTTTTCATTGAGCTACGCCCACTCGGACTCCTCTCTCCACATGAACAGGCTTTCTACATGTTGAACACATGAATCCCGTCATGAACTACATGCGATTGTTCAGGCTTTTAAACGTAGTGCGCAGATAACCAGGCGCCACACACTGTCAACTCCTTGTTTTTTTTTTTAGGCAAAAGAAATCCTCACACAGGAATCTAACGTGCAGGAGGTGAGATGTCCTGTGACCGTGTGTGGAGATGTGCATGGGCAGTTCCATGACCTGATGGAGCTTTTTAAAATTGGAGGCAAATCTCCTGATACTAACTACCTCTTCATGGGAGACTATGTTGATCGAGGCTATTATTCTGTGGAAACTGTCACACTCTTGGTTTCCCTTAAGGTACACAACGGCTGATTATGGATAATGATTAAACAAAAATAATATTATTTTGAAGAGAGGGTGTGAATAATGCATTTGTACCTAGGTACGATTTCGAGAACGGATCACTATCCTCAGAGGAAACCATGAAAGCAGGCAGATCACACAAGTGTATGGATTTTATGATGAGTGCCTAAGGAAATATGGCAATGCCAATGTTTGGAAATATTTCACAGACTTATTTGACTATTTGCCTCTTACTGCACTGGTGGACAACCAGGTAAGATGCATTAAGTGTTTGCAATAACCCTGTAATGAATTTTAAATTGGTTTATGTTTTCACAAGATTTTCTGCCTACACGGAGGTCTTTCTCCATCTATAGACACCCTTGAGCACATCAGAGCACTAGATCGCTTGCAGGAGGTTCCTCATGAGGTACAGTCTTATCGTATTTATCAAGTTATGCTGCAAACTATAATGTGGAGTATTATTTTCTCCAAACTTACATACACCCAAATACAAAAACAATAAACAGGATACAATATAATACTCCACAATCCACAGTTTTGAAATAGATTGGAAATAGCTGACGCTTATTTGTTTCCAACCCCTCTCACTCATGCAACATAACATAAGCTCTCACTGAGACAGTCACAGGCCCAAACGCTCTCTGACCCTACCCCTTTACCTGCAATAACTGCTTACAATCAGGAAAACAATTTGAGAAATAATACTGAATTGATAATATCTTATGGTATTAAAGTTAAATTGAATTCAGGCTTGTCCAGTAGACTAGATAAATGAGAAAATATGAAATAATAATCTGTGGCTCTCTTTTAAGGGGCCTATGTGTGACCTATTATGGTCAGATCCGGATGATCGTGGGGGCTGGGGTATCTCACCACGAGGCGCAGGCTACACTTTTGGACAGGACATCTCTGAGACTTTTAACCACGCAAATGGCCTGACTCTTGTCTCTAGAGCCCACCAGCTAGTAATGGAGGTATGTGCTATTAAGGGCTTCATTCAACCTGTATCATGCGCAGTGCATTTCTCAAGGCTTATTGCATTTTCTTACAGGGTTATAACTGGTGCCATGACCGTAATGTTGTTACAATCTTCAGTGCGCCCAACTATTGTTATCGCTGTGGGAACCAGGCAGCAATCATGGAACTTGACGATACATTGAAATACTCCTTGTATGCTTTTGATAAGCTTCTCATCATTAATACTTTTCTCACAAGGCTCATCAAATGTTTGAATAGGATGTTTTTGTTGTTTCTTTCAGTCTACAGTTTGACCCGGCACCGCGCAGAGGGGAGCCCCACGTGACAAGAAGGACCCCTGATTATTTCTTGTAAGATGTGGACAGTTTGGGGAGAGCTCTTTTAAACACTCTCCCATGGACCAGTGCATCTGTGCCATAGTCAGAGAAACTATCACGGTCACTTCAGTGTAATTCTCTTGTCAACTTCTCAGTGCATGATGTCTTTGAAGCAACAACCCACCACTATTTAAAGGATAGCATCTGCTGTTTTAAGCATGTGTTTCATGTCACAAACTTTTGTTACTAGATCAAACTGTACTGCTGTCTAACAAAACTGTATTACTGTGACTCAGCTCAAACAGATCCTTTTTTGTTTTGGGAAAGAAGAGGGGAACGGGTTGTATCTTGGAAATACAATGGTATAGAGCAGTAGTTCTGGAATATATGTGTAGGGAGTCCCCCAATTCTACAATCCATTATAATAAAAACTCCTCGACAACAGACATATAACACTTATATGGAAACAAATACATTAGTGAAATAGATACTTTTTGAAATGAACTTTGAGTTTACTTGGTTTTAAACATGGTCTGGACTTTCCTATTTTTTTTACTATTATTTTACTATCAAACTATCAAGGGGTCTCAAAAAACCCTGGTGTAGAGGGCTGAGTGCCAAGTTTTACATTTTGTAAAACCACCAGAAAATAGAAAAAAAAAATCTGGTCAGTTGTACCTGAACACCCACAGTTTCATATCGCTCTCTCTTGGTGGTTCTGATGGCTCAAAGAAATTACATACTTATATGGCCTATACATAATACAGAAATTAATATATTTATATTTATTGTTGTTTAAATCATTTTTGCAAAATCACAGTTTTACATTGGCGCTCATCATGTCACTTGCTCTAGTTCACACCATTGTGCAAACGGAACAATAACCAAACATTATAATAAGAAACAAACAAACAAACAAAACATGTCATTTCATGCCCTACTCGCGTGAGGAAATCATTCAACAAAGTTTCACCAATTATTAATGATTTATAGTCTGTGTATAAAATGAGCCGACATGTAGGCGGTGGAGCGGATGTACCCAAGCGAATGATGAAATAAAACTGACGCTGTAACATAAAAAAAATGCCAATTATCATTGTCTCTTGATTATTTTTCATGGATGGTGTAATATTATCATCTGTCTCCTCTCTCTCTTTGCTATTGCGCCACATTTAGTCTCAAATAGACATAAAACATTTGATTATTAGGCGCGCGTTTATTGTGACAGTGTATATCCGGTGGCCGCATTGGGGGTTGTTCTGAAGCGGACCAGAGCTGCTGTTTCTACGGGTCAAATTAGCCGCTGCAGCCTTTCAGGGAAGACTCGTGGACCATCAGAGCTGTAAGTAACTAAAAAACGCCGTTACATTCGCCTGCATTGGTCATTTGATGCACACGTCTGAGTTTGTTGGTGCAGAATTGCTATGAAATGTGTTTTTTTTTTTCCTTTTGGGGAACGCGCACTGGCTGCAGCTGGATGTGTGGATGTGGCAGGTTGATACTAGTTGAATCTTGGGGGGCCACAACTGGAGACGGGAGATGGGGCATATGTCGTGATTCATAGGGGCATTTGCAAGGGGAAATGTATTTAATTGTAGTCATTCGTTGCGCTTCAGTGGATGGATGGGTGCGCTCCTGAGGTCCAGCTGTAACTGGTCTGTGTCGGGTTGAACAATCCATGACAGTGCGTGTACCTCTACTCCCACTCTGATTTTCATGTGTATTTGCACAGGTTGATTAAATAGAGGTTTAGTTCACACCGCAGCCTCGTGGGAATTCATACAGTAGACATTTCGTTGATCTGAGTATATTCCTTGTAAATGACAGCTTTACATCACACAGTGGTTAATTTTCAGCCGTGCAGGTCGTGTTTGATTGGCTGAGAGTCAATGCATGGTGTGAGGGGGCTCTGGATCAAAGGGCATGGCACTCCAAAGTTCACATTATTACCTGTCTGGTACAATGTTATCAATTGTCTTAGATAAGGAGTGCATGTTTCAGCACCACCTCCTGCTGAAATAGAAGCCAGGTTGTTTTCATCTCGTGAGGGCCCCATGCCGTTTAATTGGATTTAAAGAGACAGCATGCCTTTTCAATTTAAAATCTGTCTTCTTGATATTGCTGTGTTGTTTCTTGAATTAATGAATACATTAAATATTCTCAGAATGTCACATGGACAAATGTTCAAATATTTGCTTTAGACACATAGAGCAGTTTCAAAGCTGTGTGGCCTGGTTGGTTATGGTTACAGACTTCCAGTAGCCCACATCCCTGTGTGGTGGCTCTATTGCGAGTGAACTGATTTGTGCATTGGCCTCTTACCCCAGGCCTGTCCTACAAGAAGCTGCTTCTATAGCTTCACTTTGGGGGTTGGTGTGCAATTATAAAAGGTTTTGCAATTTAGCGTTTCACAACCTTTGTGTCAAGTCATCCATTACCGTAGAGACATAATGCTGAGTAAGCAGCAGCACAAGGCAGCGTTCAACAGTGTTTTTTGACTAATATACTAATATATATATATATATATATATATATATATATATATATATAAATATATATATATATATATATATATAATGATGTAGGTCTGCTGTAATAATACACATAATAACTATAATAACACTTCCAGTGATAAAATGAGATTATGCAGTATATGCCAATGTTGCTTAATGTCTGCCTCAAGACATGAGACGACTCAAGTCTTCTTTTTATACCTATCTCGATTCTGCCTAGTCCACTGTTAAATCGCCTCAAGTATAATGCCTGTAAATGTGGTTCATTGAGCATTCTTTTAATACTACAGCTTTTTTTCCCCCTCAGACAATCATGGCAGCAGAGCTATCTACTACCATAAACATCAATGAGCCGCGGTGGGACCAAAGCACATTTATGGGTCGAGCAAAACATTTTTTCACTGTCACAGACCCAAGGAATGTCCTTCTCACCAACGAACAACTAACGGAAGCACATAGTATAATAACTGACTACAGGTAACCCTAACCCTAGAAACAATACTTCTACACATTTTCTTTTCTTTTAGTGCCATATTTTGTCAACTATTTTTGAATCTATCCATTGTTCTGAAGGAAAGGCGTTGTGTCCGCGGAGCTGACAGAGGATGAATTGTGGAGAGCAAAATATATCTTTGATTCTGCATTTCACCCTGACACTGGTGAGAAGATGATCCTGATTGGTCGCATGTCAGCACAAGTCCCCATGAACATGACGATCACTGGGTGTATGATGACATTTTACAAGTAAGTGCATGTCTGCCCTTAAAATGAAACTTATATAACTAGGGCTGTAACTAAGTTATTTTGATAATTGATTCATTTGTCATTTTGAACACAAATATTTAAAATGTCTGTCTGAAGTCAATGAAGTCCATGGAAATCCAAATAAAATTTGTCATAAAAAACAAAACATTTACTAATTTTCAAATGCTTTTCATGTAATTACTTCTCTGTTTGAATGTACAAATCACAAACTTCATATGTCATTATAGTCTGTATATAGAACAGTTAACAATTAATCAATTATATGTTCTGTTCTTGCAGTTTTATACAATGTGTGTTTGTTTGTAGAACTACTCCAGCTGTTTTGTTCTGGCAGTGGATCAATCAGTCGTTCAATGCTATTGTCAATTACACAAACAGAAGCGGAGATGCTCCGCTCACTGTGAAGTAAGTCATCATATCTATTGTCGACCTCAGCTTTGGCTGTACTCGTCTGATGGACACTTGTCTTGTGTTCGCAGTCAGCTTGGCACAGCGTATGTGTCCGCTACAACTGGGGCAGTCGTCACAGCTCTAGGACTGAACGCACTATCAAAGGTATTGGATTATCTAATCCAGAGGTTGCCCAACATGGCTCAGGGGCCCTCACACTTTACTGTTCCCCAGCACTGTATCCACAATAATAAATTAAGTCTGCAGTAATTTGTATCTTAATGAATGATAAATAATACATTCTGGCTACCAGCCAATACTGCCCACTGTGGGTCTAACTTTTTGGAGAGTTTGAAATGCTGGAATTGACATATGTCTTCTCTTGCTACAGCATGTCTCTCCCCTTATTGGACGGTTTGTTCCCTTCGCTGCTGTTGCTGCTGCTAACTGTATAAATATCCCATTGATGAGACAAAGGTACACACAACATACAGTATATACTGTATTAACTTGTGCTTCATAGCTGTGTTTTCAGCACATAACTATCACATATTTTTACAGAGAATTGAAGCATGGTATTCCCATTACAGATGAAAATGACAATAGGTTAGGAGAATCTACAAATGCTGCTCAGCAAGCCATATCTCAGGTAGTGGTTTCCCGAATTCTCATGGCATCACCAGGAATGGGTATGAACAGCTAAATATTGCCATTTTAACAAATAATCAAGGACAAGTCTCTCATATGATTTTCCCCCACAGCCATTCCACCTTTCCTTATGAACCACTTAGAAAAAAAGGCATTCCTGAAGGTATGTTTATTACTGTATATTACTGATGTGAGCCAGAGCACACTGTAAATGCTTTTATCAGTGAAAGAATGACTTGTGCCACTGGGCCACTCCAGTATGGGAATTCAGCACTGCTTTTGTGCTTTGGCTTTTCAGAAGTTCCCATGGATGAGTGCACCTATTCAAGTGAGCCTGGTGGGATTCTGGTGAGTCGTCACAGATGGACCAGCTGATAAACATTTGATGTTTCACGCTGCAGAGATTGAAAAAAACTTCTATGTGATCATTCTCTTTCAGTTTGGTGTTCGCCACTCCACTCTGTTGTGCACTCTTTCCTCAAAAGAGGTGTGTGGATTCTGTCTGTCAGGGATCTGTGAATATTGTATAATGCGCTTGTGTCAATGTTATTGCACAGCATGTGCATTGGGCCTGGGCCTCACATTCCTGTGTTCTGCCTGTAGCTCCATATCAGTGACCCGACTTGAGCCTGAGCTACAAGAGAAGATTCGGGCCAGTCATCCTGGAGTGGAGAGGGTCTTCTTCAACAAGGGGCTATGAGAACGTCCTGCCAAACTCATCGGCGTACACCCACTGTCCATTTGAGTCAATGTGCCAAAGTTCAGTGTCTCCTAATGCACCCATCTCAGATGAATATGTGAAGTCCCATCTTTGTAATTATGTATTTGATTTTGGAAATCTGATTCTTGCATTTCCATTTACCAACATAAAACAGCATTTTAGGACTTTGTTTTAAGTTGATACATTGTTTTAAGATAATAGTCTATTTTGCTCAGTTTTATTTAAATACTTTGAGCCACATATTGGGCATTTAGACACGTCTTTGCAGGGTCCTAGAAAATATTCAAAAAGTGATAAGGTGCTACAGTATTCACTGTCTTAAAACGTGTTAATGTGATACATACTGTGTTTGCAAACAGTCTAAGAACAAAATAATCACTCCTCAAAAAGTTCTTATACTTTTTCATTTTAGACACACATAAATAGAAACATCAAATTTACTGCTTCTGCTTCAAATAGAACAGGATGTAGAGCCAGTTTTATAAATGTTAAATAACACAGAATTTTCAACGGTGAGGACCACGCCACAACAAAAGAATGCAATAGAATTATCCTTTATTGATAACAGCAAGTTTCCATTGAGATGGTGAAGCCGTTAACTGCCTTCTCTAAACATGAGACTAGAAAGGAGGTGTGGTCCTGCTCCTGAACTGCAACATTAACCCCATTTAACATTCATGAAGTATTTTGTAAATATAACTAAATTAAAACATGAATTTTGCCAAATGCCAAACGCATACGTCACAACATATTCAGTCAATATTAAAATATAATGAAATCTAAATTAATTGTGTAGTCATATAAATGCAGTGAGACCATATCAAATTGTTTACAAATTTAAATGTTTAATAAATGTTTGAATATTGATTTTGTTTTTGCATACTTTGTGATTTCTGTAGTCTTTCATGTTGAATAGATGTGAATGTGATGCCAATCACAGTGTTGTTCAATTTGATATCGGTGTTAACAGTTTCCTTTGTGGTAGTGTTCATTTGCTGGTATTCAAGTTGCTGAATGTAGACTTTCTTTCTAAACTCCGGTTGTTTCCAGTCGGCCTGAAAAAGCACAATGTTTTCACCTAATTGTATTGTATTTTAATAATTCAGTTTTGTGCTCACATTTTGGGCTACATTACTTCTCCATACAAATGTTCTTATTTTTAACAAAACATAACAATAGCTGCCTAATTGACAAAGTGAATAATAAAGTTCGGTTTGCATTAGCTGAAATGTTGTGTTTTTCTAAGAGCACCAGCACCTCCTGTTGGTTTAAGCATAAAACAGCACTGTCAGATTAAAACATTTTAATGTCAAGGCACATCGAGATACGTAAATTTAACAATGAATGCGCAGAAACGTGATTGACAAAAACATGTGCATACAGAGAAGCAGCAAGATGGCTCGGACTGCCATAAAAGGTAAATAGTCATAGATTTCAGAACACAAGACAAGAAAAATAAAGCAACATCAAATATCAACCATTACTGGACAGAACATGAGCAAAGCTTGAGCAGAATTAGACCAAACCATGAGTTCCTACCTCAGTAACTAGTTGACGGGGAACAGCAGTGACTATAAAGTATGTATTTCCTTGTTCATGTTTGACATAAGACAGACTGCAGCAGTAATTAAAACACAAACCTCATCTTATCTCCAATACACCCATATATTTTTGGCCTTCTGTGTCATCATCTGAAAGTAACTCTGTAACAAATATTCTGACCGATTTAAAACAAATGCTTCAAGTGACCAAAAAGTTGCTTCCTATTCTCAAAAGTTCAAGTCAGATACACAGATTTTGTTCAGGTGCAACAGATGCTCAGTGCTACCTTAGGAATGTGCTGGACTTGACATTTTCATTGGCACAATATATGTCTGTCTTTCAATTGTTCCTACACAAAATCAGTGCAGTCAAAATTTTTACCAAGCATTTTACCATTACAATAGAAAAAAGATAAATAATATAAATACTGGGAAATTAAACATTTATAATGTTTCTCCTTTAAAGAAAATTGGTTAAAATGAATCACTAGTGTCCAGTTTGGGCACTATAAAATGTTAAAATGTCTTTGGATTGATGTCATGCTTCTGGCCAACTTAGCACCATAGAAATGGACATCTTTGCCAAGCTTACTAGAATATGATAGGTTGAGTTACTGAGACTGAGAGAAATGTGCAGCTCAGCTGGCAGAGAACAAAAAGCACGTTAACAGTAGGCACCAAGGCTTTTCTTCAGACACAAGAGTCCTTCAGCAGTGCGGTATAAGGCTGCGTGTGATTTCCTTTTGTATTTATTTATCCTAGGGTGCATTCAGTTTGTCAATTTACCAGAGTTTACTTTAGTTGGACTAGTTTTGGTTTATTCTGGGAAAAAAATGCTTCATTTGTGGAGACCTGAAACCAGGTGCACACTGGTCCACTTGTCACCTACGTCAGTTCACTAGATTAACAGATCCGTGACTTTTAGGACGTTTGTTTCTGAAGTCCACTTGACCAATAATTGTGAACGCGCCCCAAGTTCGTACTTGCGTGAGTACATATTTGGTTCAGCAGAACTCCTCCGCTGCCGCCTCTCCCACTAACAGCGAGTGCTTGTCGGGCTCCAGCACCAGGCTGTTGAGCGAGTGCTTGTCCGAGCGCAGTGAGTTGATGGAGGCACGGCTGTAGTTAACGATGCGATCCAGCAGACTGAGTTTCGGGGAGGTTCTTCGCAGCTCGCCCATGCCAATGTGCACGCTGACGTCAGACAGACTGCCTTGGTGTCGACTCTTCCCAAAGCGAGATTCCAATTTCTCTGCGCTGGGTTTGGTGTAACTACAGCACAAGATCAAATATTAGAAAGAAAAAAAAGAAGAAAAACAGGTAATCATGTTTTTTTTTACCATTTAAGTAGAAGAGACGACAAAACGACGGAAACAGAAGACAAGGCCATGGCAGCTGAGCCCATCCATGGCTGCAGCACCAGACCAATGGGAAGGAACACACCTAAACAACAAGTGCTTTGAGAAACGTATTCAAATAAGTTAATCTTATGTTACTATAAACAGGTTCTCACCAGCAGCAATAGGGATGCCAACCAGGTTGTAGATCAATGCAAAAATAAAGTTAATTCTTATTCTCTTGACTGTCTTTTTAGAGAGATCAATGCTGGCCACAACGTCCAACAAGTCATTCTGTGAACACAATTATCAGTCAGATTGGACAATAAATGAAGTACTTTTCAATACATTGAAAATTGCATCATCAGTGAAACTGTATGAACCCATAAGGCGCTTGAGTTTATTCAGAAACTAGATGTGAATGAGAAACTGAGGAGCTTTAAGACTGTGGAGATAAAGGGCTACTGATATCAAGAACAGAATATCTCAAATATTTATGAAAGGTCGTTTAGAAAGTGTCCTGGAAGAAAAGTCTCATGTCATAATTCTGCTACTTTGGCACTTAAAGGGTTATTGTAAAAACAAATACAAATATTTTTTTTTTAGACCCACTCTTATCAACACCACATCTGCCGCCTCTATGGCAACATCTGTTCCCGTTCCTATGGCGATCCCCACATCTGCCATCGCCAAAGCTGGTGAATCATTGACACCGTCTCCCACCATGGCCACCCTCTTTCCCGCCTGCTGCAGCTGCTCCACTTTGGCCACTTTATGTGATGGAAGAACTTCAGCAAACACCTTCCGGATGCCCACCTGGAAAACCACCATGAATAATGAAATAAAGGGCAGTGCTGGACAAACAAGCACACACACATCCACACACATCATTGATTCACTTGTGATCTTGTCAATTATATGACGAGTAAATACCTGGGCAGCTATAGCTCGTGCAGTCTTGCTGTTGTCTCCCGTCATAAGGATCACTTCCAGCCCCATGTTAGTCAAAGTGTGCACTGCCAGCTCTGCCTCTGGCTTCACCGTGTCAGCGATGGCTATCATTACACTCAACAGATCTATGCATAAATACAAATGTTAACTATGGAACTATTTAAATCTAATTATTACTTTTCTTACTGTCTATGGCAACCAATACAGCGGTGCGTCCTCTGCGCTCATGCTCCGTCATTGCATCGTCTACTTCAGGACTGACCTGAAGGCAGTTTCGCCGCATCCACTCCCGGTTTCCAATCAAAACAACATAGGTGGATGTCTGAACCAGACCTATTTACATGTAAGAGGGTCAGAAATGCATTTTCTCTTAGATTCACTAAAACAGAAGCCACATACTGAGAGGCTGCGGGTCCATGATGAGGGGGTGGGAGCTGGAGGAGGTTCGGGTGTCGCTGATTTGAATCAAGACACTGTTGCGTTGGTTGTTATCTTCACTGTCGCTATCCGCCTGCTTCAAAAGTGCCTCAGTGTTGCTCACTTGACATCGAATGCCACAGCCCGGCACGGACTGAAAGTCTGTGCAAGTACCGAGGGACTCTGTGCCAAGTTCCTGAAAAAACAAAAACACTAGAATTGTGATTTTTGTTTTGTTTTTACTTCATAGCGGTTGATTAAAAAAAGAAATAAAAAACCTGTTTGCAGAATTTAGTGATGGCTGCACCCAGTGGATGTTCACTATTGTTCTCTGCTGTTCCGACAATAGCCAAAAGGCGAGACCTGGGTATCTTGTTACTTTCAACGACCATTTTCATCTGAACAACTTTTGGAGCACCATATGTGATGGTACCCGTTTTGTCAAATACAACAGCCTGAACCTGTAAATGGAGAGTCTTAGTGAAACTATTGAGAAAATGTATTTCCTAATGTATAAACGAGCAGGCGTACACTGCATCGCATGGGAAGGTGCAAAATATTGGTTGACAAACCTTATGTGCCATCTCTAGTGGCTCTCCTCCCTTTATCAGAATGCCATTTTGAGCTCCAACTCCTGTGCCCACCATAACAGCTGTTGGGGTTGCCAAGCCAAGAGAACAGGGACAGGCAATGCATAACACGGTTATTGAGGCCTGGAAGGCGAAGCGAATCACTGCTTCAGTCCTTGAAATGCTCTTGTCATATCCCTAAAGATCACAAATTGTTAAATCGAGTCTATTGCAATTCACCAACATTGCGTTGTGTTGGCAATGGATCAAAATAAAATGCTCACAGGAAAGTATTCTTCAACCAGAGAGAAATTCAAAAAACCAATGAAAATCCATGCTACCAGAGTAAGGAGTGAAACACCAACGATAAATGGAACAAAGTAGCCACTAATCTTATCTGCATACTGCTGAATTGGAGCCTAGAAGATGAAGGTAAACAGATCAGAATCAAATCTTTTAAAATAAGATAAAATTAAATCATTTAGTTCATTAACCTTAGAGGTCTGAGCTTCCTCGACTAGTTTGACAATCTGAGACAGAGTTGTGTCCATGCCAACATGTGTCGCACTCACAAGTAGAGAGCCATTTTGGTTAATGGACCCTGCAATTACTGTGCTTCCAGGCTTCTTAGTTACTGGCATTGCTTCCCCTGTACAAAACAACAGTCAGAAAAATACAACTGGCAAGAATAGAAACATAAATAAAATGATGGGTTAATGAGAGGCTTACCTGTAATGAGGGATTCATCAGCCATGGAGTGTCCCTCAATGACTCTTCCATCAACAGGAAACTTTCCTCCGGGAACAACTTTGACCACATCGCCTCTCTGAACTAGCTCCACATCCACTTGTTCTTCACTAAAACATGTTGATTACAAGTTACAATATAGACTAAACCTCAACTGTCAGAAACAGGTCGGAGTATTACCTGATAACGGACATGTCACTGGCAAGCAAAACCACCGTCGCCTCTGTAGCTTGGAGTGACATTAATTTGGACAAAGCTTCCGAAGTTTTGCTCTGCAATTATATAAAAATAAATTCTAAGTGTTGACGTCAAATGTTCTTATGAAAATACTTATCACAATCTCAAACCTTTGCAATTTGCTCAAGCATCCGTCCAAGAGAGATGAAGACAAAGAGCATCGGTGGTGTATCAAAGAAGGTAATGGGGTTAATTTTTGCTTTTTCAATGATGGCTACAATTAAAACGATTAGAGAGTAGGTGAAGGCAATAGTGGTGGCCAGAACTATCAGCACATCCATGTTGGCCGACTTGTGTTTGACAGCTTTAAAGGCTTGGATGTAGAAGTAGCGACCCCCAATGAACTAAGTAAATGGAGCAGGGTAAATAGACAGCAAGTCAGGAAAACATAACATACATTTAATTGGAAGGTTACCTGGACAGGCACACAAAACAGGAAAGAGAGTAGGTTCATAACAGAGAGTCCTGGAATCAGCTGTCTTTCCAGAAACATTGTTGAGTGAAAGCGATTGCGGTCCTCTGATGTGAAGTTGTGTCGATGAGCAGTGTGCATTTGATGGTCCATAACAATCATGTAGATCATCATGCCCATGACCGGCACACAGAAGATGAAGCTGACAAAAAAGGACTTTCTCCATCTACAAAGGACAAAGGATTATAATCATCATCAAAACATAAGATGAAGAAGTAAAGACTCCTTACTGTTTTATTTCTTTGCTGTGGTCTAAGTGGCTTGCAGTACGGTCCCTTTTAACTAAAGTTGCCTCAAATCCAAGATTCTGCAATCAAGCATTATTGTCATCTGTACACTTACAATCAATGACGAATACAAAAAAAAACAATAGAAAGCAAAAACCAACCTCAATATGTTTAATAATGTCTCGAGGACCCATGATTTCAACGTCATATTTAATATGTGCTTTATTGGTTGCCAAGGCAACAGAAGCATATATGATCCCCTTTTCTCTCATAAGACTGGATTCAATTTTGTGAACACAAGAGGCACATGTCATTCCCCGGATCTGAAAAGACAAGGTAAAATCTAGTTACCAGATAAGATGAAGGAAAGGCCTTTTTTTATCCACTTTTAGATACTGGACATCATAATAATAAATAATAATAAAATCCCACAGGATTTTTAGTTTATCCTCGCCGATGTAGGAGGTTCAAGGACAATAGTGACGATCCAGGACACTCAACATTCAACGACATTTATGGACTATTTATGGGTCATCTGCCACTTATGGACCAATGGCTCCATGTGTTTTTTATCATTGAATTTGTATTGTTTGATTCTCTGATCTGTATTGGCGAATTTGAAAACTTTGTAAAGTCCTCTGAGATAACTGCTGTATAGCCCTCATTTAGGGATATACAAAAATAAATTGAAATGAAGAACTCACCACGAGTTCAAGATTTCCATCAGATCCTTCATAGTTCTCCATGACAGAGGCAGTAAACCCCAACTCTTTAATACACTCCCCAATCTTCGCGGGGTCCGTTATTTCAGAGTTAAAGCGCACCTCTGCTTTACTGGCCATAAGTGCCACAAGAACTGAGACAATTCCTAGTGAAAAACACAAGTCATAATAAAACAAATGCACTTCTCTCACAAATTGGGCGTTATATATTTCCATCATTATCCATCCCCACTTGACACAAAAATGTATATTCAACGTTTTCTATTTACCAGGCTCATTCTTGAGGTTACGCTCGATGTTCGCCACACAAGAAGCACAAGTCATGCCTCCAATTTGGATGTAACATTTTGAGTATACGTCTTTACGATTCCCTTGAGTGTTTTCCTTGAGTATCTCATCGTTTACGTCTTTCAAAGGCGCAGGGCTCGGTGACTTTGAAACATTCACATTCGATTTTGGCAGCAACGAGTTTGTTTCTGCAAATTACAAAAAGTAGATCTGAATCAGCAGCACATACATGCCTAATTGACAGTACCTTTCACACATGTACACATATATATACACACACACAATTATCTCACCAGGTAAAAAAGCATCAAAGCCCATGTCCTCAACGGCAGCCCTAAGCTCTTCCGGTGTGGTCACTAAAGGATCAAACTCAAAGACTCCTTCGTGCTCAGAAAGAGAGACTTTGGCCGATTTGACTCCTTTTCGTTGCGAGATCACTCCTTCAATGGACTGGACACAGGAGTTACACGTCATGCCCTCAATATGAATATTTGCTACGGAGGACAGCGGCTGACTTAGGCAAGGCTGGGGCATGGCATACTTCACGTGGCCTCCAAAACTAGGCAGCGTGGAGACAGAGTGAGAAGGGCTAGAACTGAGAGCGCCAGGAGAGCCCCAGAGCTCAGTTCTAAAGTTTCCCGGTGGAAGAGCTTCAATGGCCTGCTGTATTTGATATTCCGAGATCTGCAGAGGGTCGTGAACTATAGAAGCCTTTTCTTTTTCTAGTGAAACCTCGACAGAAGATATGCCGGGTAGCATCGCAATATTGTCCTGGATATTGACAACACATGAGCGGCAGTGCATGCCTTGGACCCTGAGTGTGACGGGAGTTGTGTCTATGAAGATTTCGGTCTCCTCTGTCGTTTCTGACGGAGAAGAAACGACGGAATTTTGGGAATCGACAAAACGCTCAATATCACAAGGCAGCTGTAGAGGTCGGGGCTTGGACTTGACAGAGGCCTTAAAGCCTGCTCGAGATATTTGGTCCAGGATTGTTTGGATGGTGATAAGGTATGGCCGGTAAACAATAGTAGCTTCTTTCGCATCTAAAACAACTGTGGATAAAAAACACATAATAGTTATAGTTTGTTAAGAACATGGTACAAACTAAACACAAACGCAACCAAACAAACCTCTAATTTTGTCAATGCCTTTCAGCTTTCCAATCTTCCCTTCGATGGTGGTGACGCAGGAGTGGCAGGTCATTCCTTCGATGCTCAGTTTCAGCAGAGTTTCCTCAGATCCGGCCTTGTGGGACAGGGATAAACTGGGGGTGCGGTCCTTGGGAGAGACTGTCGCTGTTACACTGGAGACTACTTCATTGAGCTGTTGTGCAGATGTTAGCACTGTAACATAAGTGATAATAAATCCTCCTTGCGCAAAGCTGTGGTTGACGTCCAGCACTCCCTGAATACGTGTGAGCCGCTCCAGCGCCTCTTGTTGGGCAGCGGGAGAGAGCCCTGAGGCTGGGACAAGCAGAGTGTCCGTGTCCACAGGTGTGGCTTCGCTTGACTCGGATAGAAGCGACTCAAAACCCATGTCTTCAATGGCCAAGGACAGAGAATCAGCGGTTTGCTTACTTTGGTCGAATATAATAGACGAATTTTTCAACTCCAAAGACACCTACAAAAAGGAAAAAATAAAGAAAAGTCATTTCAGTCACTGGATACTGTATTTGTTAGAGCAATGATGTTCAAAGTAGGGAATTGCTACAGGACGAAGATGATCACTATTTCACCAAACAATTGAGACAATACATCAGATACAGAACACTAAAATGGATTTGAATATGTGTCTTTGTGTTGAAAAAATATTAGTGCTGTAGTTAAACTACACACACAAGGGCATTAGCACATACCTCCACATTTGCTTATTCTAAAGATTCGAGAGGGTTAAAGTTTTTGTGTTGGAAAATTATGCAAAATGTCCTCATGTTGCATTATTTCCCAACACAAAAACTTTTACCCTCTCAAATATACATGTGTCAGCTGTATGACCCCATAACCCTCAGCAAGAAGGAAACATGTGACTCACTGAAGCGATCACTTGACTGAGCTGTGGTGCAGATCTAAGTGGGGGATTGTAAGTAGTTGTAGAAGTACTTGTTTAGTAATCAACAGATTTTAAAACGTGTTTTTAGTTGACTTTTTTGTTTTGTTCAATCCTAGAATATTTATTTTCATCTGGACATTGTGGGAATACCCAAGGTGGGGTCATGAGCAACTGCATGAGATGATTTCAAGATAACATTCTCATTCATTATTTAACACAAAATATAATCCAGTAAGTAAAACATGATCACATACCAATATCTATAACCGATAAAAACACTTGTTTTGTGGATTTGTTTTTGGAAAGGATATAACAAAATGTGAATGGAGTTTTGAGTATGGAATAAGTAGCTTGAATTAGGGCTGGGCGATATGGCAAAAAAGTAACATCTCGATTTTATTTCCTGCTTTGGACGATTTTGATTTTAAATCGATTTTCATTAAAGTCACTCAAGACAGACTTTGCCCTTAATTTGTTTTTATCTTTCCGCTCAATATTCAAGTTTCAAAACTATTTTAAATTTGTTTCCCCCAATACGTATTATAAAAGGCGTGTACAACCTGTGCTGATATTGTAAGTATAATTCGTGTGCTGCTGGAACTCACAATATTCTTCATTCGATTTAACAATTTTCACATTTTTCACAAATTACATTTTTTCAAAAGCCGATTAATTGCCTAAATTTGATTTATTGCCCAGCCCTAGCTTGAATAGAATATAATATGATATAATTAGCTAATTAGGTAATGATAATGCAACACAACGATCTACTATTTGATGCGTAAGGTAAATGCACAAGTAAGTAAGTAGCAATATTTATTTATATACTGCCTTTCTCAGACCAGAGTCACATTGTTATTTTTGGGCATTTGTCTCTCACTCCACACAGATGTGGGAGCGGGGTCGCCAGTACAGGAGGCGCATGCCAGACCTGTTGTACATGTTTTTAGTGGTAGGGGAAACCGGAGTACCCGGAGGAAACCTACGCAGACATGGGGAGAACATGCAAGCTCCATTCAGAAAGACCCTGGTCCTTCTTGCTGAGAGGCGAGAGTGCTATCCACTCAGCCACCATGCCCTCTGGTGGATTTATATAGTTGACACCAATATTTTAGGAAACATGTGAAAGGGCTTTTTATGGAATAAAGCATAAGACCATTTGGGGAGATTTAAGGGACATTTCCTGTAGGCACAGACAGTATAACGGCCAATACTGCAGTCCACAAATGGCAAAGCTTTATCTAGTGAAGTTAGCATTATTACATTATCTCTCCCATTCGACCATTGCCTGGGGGATAAACACACAAAACACAAGACAGCAGGCCACATCAGCTGTCTGGTCCTAAAGTAACAATGATGTCACTTGGATTAATTAGACAAATGTACCCTTTCTATATTAGTGTGTTTTCTTGTAAATCAGAAAATCTTTTTAGCTTTTACCAAAAGTATGAAGTACTGATAATAATTTCCTCAATGTGACTGCCATAAAAGTGGAACAGGTGTTGCGTCAAGTGTTGGAATAGTGTCACTGAAGAAAACCTGTCAATAAATGTAAGTTCAGAACGTGTCAGGGCATCTCGTGAAATCATTCACCTTTATGTGGATCACTCCTGGAAAGGCTCCAATGCGCTGCTCGATGGACTGGACGCAGGACCCACAAGTCATGCCTTCCACTCCAATAATGGTGGAGGCGATGCCGACTTTTTGTTTCATTGTTACTGAAACAAACAAAAAACAGTCAGTTACCAGAGCCAGATCTCACAGCTTCGAAGGACAGAAGAATTGTGTGTCTATGGGGTTAGGGGTGGAACGGTGGGACCAGTACATTCATGGAAAATGATAGAAATAAATCATTGTGTGTGTGATATATATATTATATGAAATCAGTTATTATTATTATAATATGTTAAACGGGTTGATCATAATACCAGACCTAATTAATTACACAAATGAAATATCATTGATAATTGTTAAGCGTTTTTTTTTCGCCAAAGACTGTAAATATGTTTTAATATACAGTCTCCATATATTGATACTGTATATTAGGTAACATGAATTTCTTTTTCCATAAACAAAGCTATCTACATAGTTGTAGCACTGGAAAGGTAACTAGTTATTCAACTGCACATGAGCAGCACAAGCCTAACACGGAGAAGAATGGCTTTAGCGAAAACAGGTCAGTCGTGTTTACTGTTCCAAAATAATCCACAAAGTGTTCCTCTTACCTTGTGACGGGGAAGTACTGACGATAGTTAGTTAGCAAATATAGCTTATGCTGCTAAATGAAGCTAACAAAGCAGCCGCACTCAGCTCGTAACCACCACCCTACATTACAGAGCATGAAGCGGCCACAGAATGGGATTCCGCGGGCTACACAGTCTGGATCGTGTCCAAAAATCATTATATTGAATTGTCTCTTTTTCTGTTTAGTTTCGTCTTAGCACGTAGACGTGAAGCCCACGTGACTGATGAACGCATAGAGCACGTCACCTCAAGGGGTGGAGCTTGAGATACCATGGTAACCATAGACCGTAACCTGCTTCCCTTGATCGCACAGAGCAGCAGTACAGCGAGCTAGGGATCTACTACTGAAATTCTTTATTTTCTATTTATACTCTGAATATACACAAGTTTTGATTATCAACCAATTCTCGGGATTTTCTCAAACAGTCTCTATAGCTTCCTGGTTATTTTGGCCAGTTGTAGAAGAAGTCTGGTCATGTTCGTGTTCCTTTATCATGGTCATGGATCAATAAAGTAGCTTGTATCTATCTATCTATCTAGCTATCATCCCATGAAGTTGGTTACCTTCTTCCCCACAAGAAGAAAAGAGGCCTCTGGTGTTGGTTTGAAGGAGGTTTTTCAACTCTGACACTGTTTCCACAACAAGTGTGTTGTTCTTCAGTGTGGTCAGATTTTCTGCAACCAGGATACACTGTTCCTGTGTCTCAGGTGCTCAGTAACTAGTGGAGCAAAATGCTTATAAATCCATGGCACAATGTCAATGACATCCTCTGTAAATGATTCCACAAGTAGTTGCTCCCCAGAGAAGCCCACTTATTGTAGACCTGACAACCATTTGTAATTACTTATGTTTTCTATGTATTATTATAGAAGGTGTCATGGCTGTGTGCAAAGATAACCAAACCTAGCATTACACAACTGCAGGTGAAGATAATCCACATGGACGTCATAGACAGTATTTAATGGCACTAATAGGTGGACAGGAGGGTCAGGGCGCATGGACAAGCCGTCAAGCTGTCCCTGAAACTAAGAGCTTATCTCAGCTATGTGCTCTCCATACTCCTGTAACTCCACAATGGCCATGGACCTGACTTGAGAGAGCTGCATCTCCACCAACCCAACATCTACCAGAGTGTGACGAGTCTTACTTTAATCGGGTGAGTAAAAACAGATTGTGTGTCTTGGCCTTGATGTTGTGTGTTATATTAATAATATGTGGCCCCCATGGATCTAGGGTGGCCCCACATGGTCTATTCTAGTCCCAGAAACACATTACAAGGCTTGGTTAGTATTGAGATATAGGGAACCGTTGGAATTAGGTCCCATTGGGCAGCTGAGGTTGATGTTGTGTCATTAGATAAGATACTTTTCCCTCATTGTCTTTTATTAATGTGGAGTATGCATGAATGTTTTGGGGTGGTCGGACAAGCCTTCATTTAAATCTTTAAAGACTGAAGAAACAAAAGGGTGTATTAGAAAGACGATTATTGTGTTACGAGGCACAGTATATCAGTTCCTGCATGAATAAGTATTTTAGACTCGGACACATTGTATGGTTTAGATAGAATAATATTTATTGACATTTGTCAGTACCAGAAATGGTGGTGGTAGAGCCGGAGAAATAAGCTTGCAACACCATATGAAAGCTGAAGTAATGAGTGACTGTCTAAATGCTGCTGATTATTTGGATGCACAATTGGCTGATAGAGGCGCAGGAAGCAGTGGGAGGAAGACTGTAGAGAGCAGGAGAGATTATGCCCTCTGGAGAGTGTGAGTGGTTTGTGCTCAAGCCTCACAGCAGAAAGGTGATGTGATGGTCAGACAGGCTGATGGCACGGATTGGCATCCTCGCTGTGGTTACCACTGACCGTGAAGTGATTGAATAGTGACTTCAGAGTAGCGCTTTGAGAGACTTTGACAACCCTGTAAATTGCTTTACAAGTAGTGAAGATTCTAGTATTGCTTGAAGCCAATGGGGTTTTGGTGCAATGAATCACATTTAGTGCTTTGCACACTGAGTAAAACTGTACAGTCAATGCAATCATTTATTATAATTGCAACAGCAATTTTGCAGTGAATTACAATAATGATGATTGATGTGCTGCTAATTAGCATCAGAATTGATGCCTTAAGGAATGGATTTTATGGAGACTTTTGTTTGACCTCTTCCTCCAGTAACAACACACCTTACAGAACACATTATGAAAAGCTCGGATTGCAGGCAGCAGTGCAGCAAGAGGCAGGTGGGCTGAGGGAGGACGGGGTCAGAGGAAGGGCTCGTGAGGAAGGTCTGTGTTTACCACAGATCACATCAGTGTAGCTCTGGGGCTGTGCACTGTGCTGTCAACATCTCTGCAGACTGTGTGCAACCCAAGACCAGGTCCTAGGTGAGTTTAATCTTGCCTCTTATCACTGTTTGAGCCAAGAGATGATATCCCGACTCATTGACAGTTGGAGCAATAAATGAGCTCATTTAGGCGAGTGAGGATTGACAGCATGTAGGTGCGTTATCAATAAATCACATTGATTAATGTGGCTAATTTCCATTTTTCTTTAAAGCAGTAATTTGAGTTATGTGAGGAAGTACTTGTGAAGCAAGACTAGATTGGTCAAGACTAGTTTGATGACTGATTTCATTAATGTATTGAATGGATGGAGGGGAGCTCCATTGTGGGGGAGAGGTCATATTTGATTTTGTATTTTACTGTTTTACTATGTTTTTAATTTTATTGTGCAGCACTTTGGAAACTGTGTTTATGAAATGTGCTATATAAATAAAGTGGATTGGATTGGATTGTGCAATTTAACCCTTGTCTCTCGTAGTACAATATGCATGTAACATCTTTCATGTTTCATATGTTGTGATTTTAACTATTTAACGATTTAACTATCTATTGCAACTTAGCAATACAATACAATAAAATACAATTTATTCTTGTATAGCCCTAGGTCACAACAGAAGTCATCTCAGAGGACTTAACAAAACCATTGAAATCACCAACACAGGTCAGAGAATCAACAGTTAAAACACATGAAGAATATAAAGCACACACAGAAGAAAATGTCCATACATGTTGTAGAATGTTAAAGTGTCCTGATCATCACCAATCCTTTCTGTTGGACACTAACTGTCCAACAAGACCCTCCTGCATCGACAAGGAAAAACTCTTAAAAAACCCAGTGGGAAAAAGTGAGAAACCTTGGAGGAGAACTAGGGAAACCCACAGGGAGGGAGACCCATATGAGAAAGGGATCCGCTCCTCCGGACGGACAGGCTAATGATCTAGGACCTAAGCTAGCTACAGAACGTGGGCCAGTGGACGCTGAACGTGGACAGGTCCGGCGCAGGACCGAAGCACTCCCAGGCGGGCCGGGCAGTCCGCAGGCGCAGACGGAAGAGGCCAGGCTCAGAGATCCCGTCATCGTACCATGAAACAGACAATGGGACAACGGGTGAATAGCAATGAACAAACTACAGTCAGAATCCTAAAAATGCTAAACAGATAAAGTAGGAAGGAGGAGAGGATAGTGCTCAAGTTACCATACTTCTCCCAGCAAACTGACTCCCTATGCAGCTTGACTAACACTCTGAGGAGTTTAACCTTCTCCGAGTCTTACCTTCCTAGCCATATGCTAAACTAAGAGGACTGTTTTAAACCTAGCCTTGAATAAAGAATAACATACAGCATAATATATAACATAATATACAACATAACACAATACATTATTGAATAATATATAACATAATATATAACATAATACAGCATATATATATAATATATACACTACATATTATATATTACCTAATTATATGCTAAATTAAAGTAAAGTGCTTTAAGCCTGGCCTTGAATGTGGAGACCGTATCTGCTTCCTTAACATAAATGGGAAGCTGATTCCACAGTAAAGGAGCTTGGTAGCTAAATGCTCTGCCACCAACAGTGACCTTTGAGACCTTAGGGACCACCAGACGTCTGGCGTTTTGTGAGCGCAACGCTCGACCTGGTTGATACGACACTAACGTGTCTTGGAGATAAGAGGGAGCCAAGCCATTTATGGCTTTATATGTTAAGAGTAGGATTTTAAACTTTATTCTGTACTCCACAGGGAGCCAGTGGAGTGATTTTAACACCGGAGTTATGTGCTCCCTCCTTTTGGTACCTGTTAAGATCCTAGCTGCTGTATTCTGAACGAGCTGGAAGCTCTTCAAAGAGGCTTTAGGGCACGCTGCCAGTAAAGCGTTACAGTAGTCGAGCCTTGAGGTGACAAACGCGTGAATGAGTTTTTCCGCGTCACTTTTAGGAAGGAAATTCCTAATTTTAGCGATGTTCCGTAAGTGGAAGTACGCCGTTTTAGTTGCTTGGCTTATATAAGCCTTGAAGGAGAGTTCTTGGTCAAAAATGACTCCAAGATTCCTCACAGTGTTACTGGGTATTATACTGACATTATCGAGAGTAACCATCTGGTTAGTGAGGGAGTCACGCAGGCGCTTCGGACCGAGTAGGATCACTTCTGTCTTCTCCGGGTTGAGAAGTAGGAAGTTAAGAGTCATCCACATTTTAAGGTCCTTTGTGCAGGCACTGAGCTTTTCTAGCTGATCTGTCTGATTAGGCTTCATCGACAGATAAAGCTGTGTGTCATCTGCATAGCAGTGGAAATTAATTCCATGCTTTTTAATAATGTTTCCCAGTGGCAGCATGTAGAGAGTAAAAAGAATCGGTCCAAGTACCGAACCCTGCGGCACACCGAATTCTACTCCAGAATAAGGCGACGAGTCCTGATTCACATTGACGAAGTGATATCGATCTGATAAATAGGATTTAAACCAGCCAAGGGCTGTTCCTCTAAGACCTATATCACATTCTAGCCTCTGCAGTAGAATGCTGTGGTCTATTGTGTCAAATGCAGCACTAAGGTCCAGTAGGACCAGCACTGACACTTGTCCATTATCGGCAGCTAGTAGTAAGTCATTTGTGACTTTGACTAGTGCCGTTTCAGTGCTATGATGAGCTCTGAATCCTGATTGAAAGACTTCAAACATATCATTTTCCTGCAGGTGGCAGCGGAGCTGCTCAGCTATAAGTTTTTCCAGGATTTTAGATATAAAAGTGAGGTTTGAGATCGGTCTGTAGTTTGTAAGTATTTCTGGGTCCAGGTTTGTTTTCTTCAGAAGGGGTTTGATTACCGCGGTTTTAAAAGCTTGTGGGACATAGCCACATTGTATGGATGCGTTTATTATATTTACGATCGGCTCAATTATCAAAGGAAGTATGTCTTTGAAGAGCCATGTCGGGACTGCGTCTAACATGCAAGTTGAGGCTTTTGAGGATGTGACCACAGAGATCACCTCTGCTTGGCTCACAGCCATGAATTTATTAAGGCCCACTGAAGAGTCTAAGTGGGAAGTCACGTATGCCGCTTCAACCTGTCCACCACTAACAGCAGGAGCAACCTCCTCCAGCTTGTCACGGATGGATGTAATTTTATTATTAAAGAAGTGGAGAAAGTCGACACTGCTCAGTGAGCTTGGAATTTTAGGCTCGATTGCGCTATGGCAGTTTGTGAGTTTAGCGACGGTGCCAAACAAAAATCTACTGTGTTGTTTTTATTCGCTTCTATTAAAGTTGAATAGTATTGAGTTCGAGCCCCGCGAAGGGCCTTCTTGTAGTTTCGGAGACCTGCTTTCCACTCCCTGTGGACAGGCTCCGAGTGGGAGTGGCGATATAGCCTCTCCAATTTTCTGACGTCCTGTTTTAAAGTGTGGAGTTGAACACTGTACCAGGGCGACGATGATCTAATCCTAATGGTTTTCTGTTTTAAAGGAGCTGCTGCATTTAATGCAGATTTTAAAGACTCCATAGTGTTGCCCACCGTTTGGTCAATGACTGAGGGACTGCAGCTGCTGTGAACAGGTTCACCTGCAGCAGTATTCAACATAGGCTGTATTAGTTCTTTGAACCTTGTGATAGATTTATCATTTAAGGTTCTTTTCATTATGGTTTTATCTTGCGGGACAGGAAAGTCCTCCAAAGCGAGATCAAACGTGATCAAGAAATGGTCAGACAGCAACGAGCTTTGACGCTGGATGTCAACATTGGAGACATCACAGCCGTAGGTCAGGACAAGGTCCAAGGTGTGGTTATGAATGTGAGTAGGTTCCTCGACATTCTGAGTAAAACCAACACCATCTAGTACGGCGCTGAAAGCTTTGTTTAAGCTGTCAGTGCTGTCGTCCACATGTATATTGAAGTCTCCAGCTATAACTATGTTTTCCCATTCCAAAACTAGGTTTGAAATGAAGTCAGAGAATTCTGTTAGGAACTCGCTGTAAGGACCAGGAGGTCGGTATAAAACTATAAATAGTACTGCTTTTTGTTTTCTCCACCCAGGACAGGTGATTGAAAGTGTTAAGTTTTCAAACGAGTGAAAAGCGTTGTTGGTTTTGGGACTAAGAACCAAGTTGGTGTGTGATATAATCGCAACACCACCGCCGCGACCTGTAGCCCTGGCTTTCTGGTAGTTAACATGCGTCGGAGGAGTGCACTCATTCAATCTAACGTAGTCGTCCTGTTGGAGCCAAGTCTCCGAGAGCGCAAACAGATCCAAGCCCTTGTCTATAATAAGTTCGTTTATGAGAAGCGATTTAGACGAGATTGATCTGACGTTCATTAAACCACATTTAACAACCCTACCGCTAGAACTATTTCTGTCTGTCTGAACTTTTATTAAGTTACTGTGTCTGACACCTAGGTCAGATTTCCTCGCATATAGTGCTTTAGACTTCAAGCGGGGAACACACACAGTTTCAATCTGACTAGGTTCTGAGGCTAGTAACTGAGCACACACAGGCACACACACACATGCACACACAGTTTCAATCTGACTAGCCTCTGAGGCTAGTAACTGAACAGATGGGGGCTCAGAGGTTGTGGCAGAGCAGCTCTGCACCCGGGCCTCAGTTCTGCATCGTCATTTGAGCCGAGCAGAACAGTTTAGAGCCAGGGCCAAATTCTTAGCCAAAAGGGATGTACCCGCCAACGTTGGGTGGATATCATCCGAGCGGATGAGACCGGGCTTTCCCCAAAAGGCACTCCAATTGTCAACATGAACAACACCACTTCGAGGGCACCAGCCAGACAGCCAGCGGTTGAAAGCCGAGTGTCTGCTGAATGCTTCTGCACTGCTAGTGCTAGGTAGGGGCCCAGAGAAGATGACAGTGTCGGCCATTGTGCTAGCCAGCTTGCACACGGCGGCGACTTGCAGCTTCAACACCTCGGACTGTTTCCGCCGAACGTCATTACCACCCGCGTGAATAACAATTCGACGGAAACGCTGCTTGTGTACCTATAGCAATAAGGTATTCAGAATATTCATATATGAAATGTTACAACATACATTTTTCAATGCCAGGTATTCAACATTTTACTCAACTTGTTTGACTTTTCTGCACTCTAATCAGGACTTTTTACTTTACTCTTTTTTATGGCCAATTTGAGCACATTCATTGTGAAACAGAAGGAATGGTCCAAATTGCTGCTGTTGTCCAAATGCCACCTGATTGTTTCATATACTTCTTTCCTCTGGTTCTGGTAAAAATACACAAATCCCCATAGAAAATTAGAAAATTCCAAATATGTTTGAAGGCATGGTAGAAGCTAAATAGTTATGTGGTAAAAATTACAATTACAAATAACCCACACAAAAAAGCACAATTAAAGTGTATAATTTGGCAAATTGGGTTGATAGTTTTTTTGTACATATTTGGAATAATAAAGTAGATCTGCATGGCCATTATTCATCATATAGCAAAATGCATACAATGATTACCTCTGGAATCCCAAAGTAAGCTTTTTTGAATCATACCACGACCAGAAAGTATTAGATGTGCTACGTGATCTTTTTAGCATCCATTACTTGTTAGACTTAACATATATTTCTAACTATTTAAATTCCAGAATGAAGCGAGTAAGTTCAAGCCTCAAGTCCAAGTGCCCGACGTTTGCCTGTTCCCCAAAGCGAGCCAGGAGGCTGAAGCGGGCTCCCTGCAGCTTTGCCCCACGCCGAGGGCAAGCCTGGGGCAACCTGCCTCAGCACGTGGTCCTGCAGATCTTCCAGCACCTCTCTCTAGTCGACCGGGCGCGGGCCTCATCCGTCTGCCGCTGCTGGAACGACGTCTTTCACACCCCGGACCTGTGGCGCCGCTTCGAATTTGAGCTCAACCAGCCGGCCTCATCGTACCTGCGCTCCACCCACCCTGACCTTGTCCAGCAGATCATCAAGAAACACGCCCAGCACCTGCAGTACGTGAGCTTCAAGGTGCAGTTCTAAAATAAATCACTTTTTGTCTGTCCCAGTCCTGTTTTTTCTCTGACCTCGCGCTGCATTTTTACCCTGAACAAGGATATGTTCCTTGCCTAATCCACAGCCATCTGTCGCTTGTTTGATTGTGACTCACCAGCTGGTTTGACATTACACATCAAGCACAGCGAGGATAATTACCCCTCTGTCTTGACATATTTTGATTTTATCTGTGCTGGTACATCAGGTGGACAGCTGCACGGAGTCTGCAGAGGCGGCCTGTGATATCCTTTCCCAACTGGTGGATTGCACCATCAAGACTCTGGGCCTCATCTCCACAGCACGGCCCAGCTTCATGGATGTGTCTCAGGTAGCAGCAGCCAACGATCCCTAATGCGTTTGTGGATTGATCACAAATGTCACGTTGTTGTGTGCTTTTTAAACTGATTTAAGTATGTGTATAAGTCTTTCTGAAATGGGAATGTGGCTTTTCCCACAAAATATGTTTTGCCTGAGACAAAAGTGACTCTAACCTATGATTAGGACTGTATCAAAGGTAATTCAGCACTCGTGCTATTACCTGGTTAATGTTTGGTAAAATAAAAATCATCCCATACCATATTGTTTCTAACTACACCTTCATTTACCAAAGAAAAAGTGGACGGACTTTGGAGTTTGATCTTTCTCTGTGCATTTATTGTCATCAGAGGCAGAAAGTACAGGGCCAAGGATTGTGTTACTTCAAAGAGCCCTAAAGCGGAATGGTTTAAGGCCATTATGGTCCGAATCCCTGTTTGAAACTTGTCCAGTGTGACCCATCAGATGCATTTGACCTTGAGAATGCCAAAGTGCCACATTGGGTACTTATCTCCAGAACTGAGCCAGAGTCCAGGGAGGAAACTGTCCTGCAGTTTTCAAGACAAACAACAAATGTTATGGAAAACAACCACATCCCGAATATTCTAGGACATGAATGTAGATGTCCAATCACATACTGTAAATCCTACTTTAAGGTACAGAAAGCAATAATCATTCACTGTATCTTATAACAAACGTCCTGGAGTAGTTTACTCTGTGAATTCTCCAAATGACTGAGGAAGAATGATGACGTGTTTGTGCTCATCAGGCCCACTTTGTGTCTGCGCTGACAGTGGTGTTTGTCAACTCCAAGTCACTGTCCTCCATCAAGATTGATGACACTCCTGTGGACGACCCGTCCCTCAAGGTGCTGGTTGCCAACAACAGTGACACGCTCAAGTTGCTGAAGATGAGCAGCTGTCCTCACGTCTCCCCAGCTGGTGACTACTGCAACACTCATTCAGTCTAACTCATGTCATCCGAGGCTATTACACATGCACTACTCTTGTTGCAGGGATCCTGTGTGTGGCAGACCAGTGCCATGGGCTCAAAGAGCTGGCTCTGAATTACCATCTTCTGAGTGATGAGCTTCTTCTTGCCCTCTCCACAGAGAAACATGTGAACCTGGAGCACCTGCGCATTGATGTGGTCAGTGAGAACCCCAGCCAAAGCCCCTTCCACACCATCAAGAAGAGCAGCTGGGAGGCCCTGGTGCACCACTCCCCTAAAGTCAACGTTGTCATGTACTTCTTTCTCTACGAAGAGGAGTTTGAGCCTTTTTTCCGAGAGGAAACACCTGTCACTCACCTGTACTTTGGGCGAACAGTGAGTAAAGAGATGTTGGGGCGTATTGGTCTGAACTGCCTCCGTCTGGTGGAGCTGGTGGTGTGTGCCAATGGGCTGGAACCCCTGGACGAAGAGCTGATCCGGATTGCAGAGCGCTGCAAAAGCCTGACGGCCATCGGCCTGGGCGAGTGTGAGGTGACCTGTAGCGGCTTTGTGGAGTTTGTGAAGATGTGTGGAGAGCGGCTGACTCAGCTGTCCATCATGGAGGAGGTGCTGATCCCTGACAGCTCCTACAACATGGAGCAGATCCACAGCGAGGTGTCCAAGTATCTGGGGCGCATTTGGTTTCCTGACATGATGCCCACTTGGTAACTAAGCATAATAAAAGTCTAATACAGTTATTCGATATTGACATTTTTGTGCCACTGCTGATTTTCTCATAGTTTGATTTCATTCATTGATCTCAAATCAGCATCTATAATAAACCACTCTACCGATAATAATTTTGTATTAGGTATGTCTCGAGGTCAGAGCTTACTGACCCCTGTAGAATAACACGTCTCCTTCACTGTGTTGATCAGGTGGTTCATTGTGACCTGTGGAATGTTTGTTCACTCTTCCTGGGTATTGGCATGAGCTGGAACACGCAATTTCTTGTGCGTGGTTCTTTTGCGCCTGTGCGCTCTGTTCAAAAATGGCCATGAATGATCTGTTGATTTGCTTTGTCCCATTTGACCTTTGTGTAGTTGTTGGGTTTAGTCACACGATGGCAGCAGTGATCTTGGTGGAGCAGCTTGTGTCTTATATAACCATACTTCTGTAAAAAGAGGAGGCAAGTGATGTTTTTGGATTTGCATAGGATTCAGTTTTTATTTATCAGGCTATTGTAGCCTATTGTGCAAGCATATTCAGTGTAAAGACTTTTATGTATCCATATTTATCGTTTTAAATAAATTAGGCCCAGCCTAACATTAAGCACAGCTGAAATGGAGTTCACGGTCTGCTGTGTGGCTCCAGCACATCCTGATGCACTGAGGCTGAGGCCCGCGCTCATCACAGAACAGGTTAATCAGGACAATCGACTAATTGTCTCCCGAGACAAGCAGATCGGAACATGAGAAAACCAGAGACATGAGGCTGTAACAAATGTTCTCCCATTGTTGTCAATAAATAAAATAAATTCAGCCTTGTCCATTAGTGCGGCATGTCTTCTCATAGATTCGCAGGTCTCTGTTGCTTCTCTGTCACCACGTTAAGAGTGAAGTCATCCTCCATAATAGAGTCATCATCAAGACTCTCCAGAGACGGAGAGGGTGGGATTGGCACATCCGAGGTTTTGTCTTGCACCCCACCCCTGAAGCTCCTCCACTCCTTAATCCATTGGTCTCGTATGGAGGGCTCCAGTGTGTCCAAACGCCGGGCCTGACCAATCGGGGAGGGGGCGATAGAGTTCTTCAGCACGTGGAACAGGTACCTGGGGGAAAAGAAGACTGTGGAAAACTAGGCCAGAGGAAAATATGCAGCTCTTTGATTTAAATCACAGCATTCCCTCTAAATATCAGCACTTTGAGAGACGTCAGTGAGTGAGGAGCATGCAGTCCTTTATGACCTTCACAATAAATACAACTTTATAATGTGAACTTTTGTGTCCGCTGCCGTGGATTGAATTAAATATATCAGTATTATTGTATTGATACCAACACTTTGAACTAGGTCACATTCTGTCTGACGTCCACATAAACATGTCATATTAGAGGTGTGCCAAAAATGCATCGCATTCACAAGTTTGGTAGATCTGTATTTCACTCAATTTGATGAAGGAAAGTCAGCATGAGTTTGTACCTCACCATAGACCTCACAGGCACTCACATTTTATGTAAATATTATGAATTTGTAAATTTAAGTTTAGCAATAGAAATATTTCTTTTGTCTCCCCCCTGGACTGCCACCTTAACGTGGTGGGGGAGTTTGAGTACTCGGATGATCCTGGGAGCTATGCTGTCTGGGGCTTCATGCCCCTGGTAGGGCCTCCCATGGCAGACAGGTCTCGGGTGACGAGTCAGACAAAGAGCAGTCCAGAAGACACCATGGACAGCACTCAAAAGAAATCAGTGACGTCGCCCGGCATGGCGCAGCCGGGGCCCCACCCTGGAGCCAGGCCTGGGGTCGGGGCTCGTAGGCGAGCGCCTGGTGGCCGGGCCTTAGCCCACGGGGCCCGGCCGGGCTCAGCCCGAATGGACGACGTGGGCAGTCCCTCCTGTGGGCCCACCACCCGCAGAGGGGTCCGTGGTGGCGAAACGGTGCAGAGAGGACTGGGCAGCAGTCGAAGGCGGAGACCTCGACGACCCAGTCCGCACACACAACAGCTGGCTCTTGGGACGTGGAACGTCACCTCACTGGGGGGGAAGGAGCCCGAGCTCGTGGGGGAGGTTGAGCGATACCGACTAGAGATAGTCGGCCTCACCTCCACACACAGCTTGGGCTCTGGAACCCAACTCCTTGAGAGGGGTTGGACGCTCCACTTTTCTGGTGTTTCCCGCGGGGAGAGGCGGCGAGCTGGGGTGGCCATTCTCATTGCCCCCCATCTCAGCCGCCACGTGTTGGAGTTCTCCCCGGTGAATGAGAGGGTCGCGTCCCTCCGCCTCCGGGTGGGGGATAAGTCTCTCACTGTTGTGACGGCCTACGGGCCTAACAGCAGTGCAGAGTACCCGGCCTTCTTGGAGTCCTTGGGAGGGGTACTGGACGGTGCACCGCCCGGGGACTCCGTTATTCTCCTGGGGGACTTCAACGCCCATGTGGGAAACGCCAGTGACACTTGGAGAGGGGTGATCGGGAAGAGCGGCCCCCCTGATCTGAACCCGAGCGGTGTTCAGTTGTTGGACTTCTGTGCCAGTCACAGTTTGTCCATCACGAACACCATGTTCGAGCACAAGGGTGTCCACCAGTGCACGTGGCACCAGGACACCCTAGGCCGGAGGTCGATGATCGACTTTGTTGTCGTATCATCTGACCTTCGACCGCGTGTCTCGGACACTCGGGTAAAGAGAGGGGCGGAGCTGTCAACCGATCATCACCTGGTCGTGAGTTGGATCCGCTGGCAGGGAAGAAGCCGGTCAGACCTGGCAGACCCAAGCGTATAGTGAGGGTCTGCTGGGAACGTCTCGCTGAGCCCCCTGTCAGACGGACTTTCAACTCACACCTCCGGGAGAGTTTCTCCCAGGTCCCGGTGGAGGAGGGGGACATGGAGTCCGAGTGGACCATGTTCTCTGCCTCAATCGCCGATGCGGCGGCTCATAGCTGTGGTCGCAAGGTCTCTGGTGCTGGTCCCGGCGGCAACCCCCGAACCCGGTGGTGGACACCGGCAGTAAGGGATGCTGTCAGGCTGAAGAAGGAGTCCTATCAAGCCATGATGGTTCGGGGGACTCCTGAGGCAGCTGTCCAGTACCGGCAGGCCAAGCGTGCCGCGGCCCGGGCTGTTGCAGAGGCAAAAACCCGGGACTGGGAGGAGTTCGGAGAGTCCATGGAGCATGACTATCGGTCGGCCTCAAAGAAATTCTGGCAAACCGTCCGGCGCCTCAGGAGGGGGAAGCAGTTCTTTGCCAACACCATGTACGGTGCGGGTGGAGAGCTGCTGACCTCGACTGGGGATATTGTCGGGCGGTGGAAGGAATACTTTGAGGTTCTCCTCAATCCCCCCGTCACGTCCTCTGTTTCAGAGGCAGAGGCTGAGGATGTTGGGGCGGATACATCCATCTCCCTGGCTGAGGTCACCAAGGTGGTTGGTAGCCTCCATGGTGGCAAGGCTCCGGGTGTGGATGAGATCCGCCCTGATTATCTAAAGTCTCTGGATGTTGTAGGACTGTCTTGGCTGACACGTCTCTGCAACATCGCGTGGCGATCGGGGGCGGTGCCAATGGAGTGGCAGACCGGGGTGGTGGTCCCTCTCTACAAGAAGGGGGACCGGAGGGTGTGTTCCAATTATCGTGGGATCACACTCCTCAGCCTCCCCGGTAAGGTCTACTCCAAGGTACTGGAGAGGAGGCTACGGCCGATGGTCGAATCTCGGATCCAGGAGGAGCAGTGTGGTTTTCGTCCCGGTCGCGGAACACTGGACCAGCTCTATACTCTCCATCGGATACTCGAGGGTTCATGGGAGTTCGCCCAACCTGTCCACATGTGCTTTGTGGATTTGGAGAAGGCGTTCGACTGTGTTCCCCGGGGTGTCCTTTGGGGGGTTCTCCGGGAGTACGGGGTCGGGGGTCCTCTGCTGAGGGCCATCCGGTCCCTGTATGACCGGAGCCAGAGCTGTGTTCGCATTGCCGGCAGTAAGTCAGACCTGTTCCCGGTGAATGTTGGCCTCCGACAGGGCTGCCCTTTGTCACCGGTTCTGTTCACTGTATTTATGGACAGAATATCTAGGTGCAGCCAGGGGTCGGAGGGGGTCCGGACGATGTTGTCCTGTTGGCTCCAACGAACCAGGACCTGCAGCATGCACTGGGACGGTTTGCAGCCGAGTGTGAAGCGGCTGGGATGAGAATCAGCACCTCCAAATCTGAGGCCATGGTGCTCGACCGGAAAAAGGTGCCCTGCCCTCTTCAGGTGGGTGGAGAGGTCCTTCCTCAAGTGGAGGAGTTCAAGTATCTCGGGGTCTTGTTCACGAGTGAGGGAAGAATGGAGCGTGAGATTGACAGGCGGATCGGTGCAGCGTGCGCAGTGATGCGGTCGCTGTATCGGACTGTTGTGGTAAAGAAGGAGCTGAGCCGAAAGGCAAAGCTCTCGATTTACCGGTCAATCTTCGTTCCCTCCCTCACCTATGGTCATGAGCTTTGGGTAATGACCGAAAGAACGAGATCGCGGATACAAGCGGTCGAAATGAGCTTCCTCCGCAGAGTGGCTGGGCGCTCCCTTAGAGATAGGGTGAGGAGCTCAGTCACACGGGAGGAGCTCGGAGTAGAGCCGCTGCTTCTCCACGTCGAGAGGAACCAGTTGAGGTGGCTCGGGCATCTGTTCCGGATGCCTCCTGGACGCCTCCCTGGGGAGGTGTTCCGGGCACGTCCCACCGGGAGGAGGCCCCGCGGAAGACCTAGGACACGCTGGAGGGACTATGTCTCTCAGCTGGCCTGGGAACGCCTTGGGGTCCCCCCGGACGAGCTGGAGGAAGTGTGTGTGGATAGGGAAGTCTGGGCGTCTCTGCTTAGACTGCTGCCCCCGCGACCCGGCAACGGATAAAGCGGAAGAAAATGGATGGATGGATGGATATTTCTTTTGTCATACCAGTTATTGTTTTTTTTTTATGTATGTATTTGCATAAAGTGTATGCATAAAACATAAACACAACATAAATTACAATACAGCTGTTATATGAACAACAACAACATCACGCTGTCACGCTCATAAATTAAAGTAAAAGTAAAATGGATTTGTAAGTAAAATGGATTCTATGTTTTAAGGTATTCTGCTTGATCATCTGATAATCTGGCTGCATGTTTCCCCCAACACTAAAATTATGTGTTGCACTGTCATCATTTATCCATTGTTTTTAGTATTGTTGATTGTTTTCATAATGCAAAGTGATTCAAAAAAATGTAAGTTAAAAAAAAGTAAAAATCAGAAATTGAGATTGGCGCAGCCTTGATTAAAACATATGGACTAAAGAAAGTCATTGCAGTAACATAAATTGAATACCTGGGCAGTAGCGCTACAACAGTAGAGATGAAACAAACCAGGTAGAACATGGGGTCTGCCATTTGGGCTTGCAGATTCCAGTAGCCACTGTTGTTTAGGTACATGGCACCATAAGCCAGTGTCACAGTGAAGTACAAAGCTACACTTCCCAAAATGATGGCTGCATGCACGATTGTCTGGAGAAACCAAGATGAATAAACATTTGAATTATTAAAATATAAAAAATGAAATATTCACTGCTCATACGTAACCTACCCATGCTTTGATCTCGATTGAGAGATGAAGCAAGATGGTAAACAGAGAAACTGTGTTCAAGGGAGTTCCAAAGGCATAAATGTCCATGTCAGAACCTCTGTAAGTCTAAAGAGAAGCAGCAGTTCAATACATATTTCATGACACAATTTAAAAACAACTTCCTTACTCACAAAATATGGGATAAAGAAAACCACAAGACTTTGGTAAAAGGCATCGAGCATAGACATCCAAAATGTAAAGAAGCTGTATTCCTACAGAAAAACACTGTATCACGTCAAGAGCAATGAGTTATACTCAGATACAATTATTACTTTTCATTTTGAACAGACCCCTTTGCCTTGTCCTGTTCTGTATAGTTCAGGAAGACCCAGCAGCATCTCTGCAGACAAATCTTTGTCCATAATGCCAAACATTACGGGAGGGACAGAGGTGAAGAAAAGATTAAAGAAAATCATCAGCCAGTGGTCAATCATTGCATTAGCGGTGAAGCCACAGAAGAACTGGAACCAAAAGAGCAAGTTGACATTTGCCTAGAATCAAAACACATACAAAAATGTTTTACACTGGTACAGATGATTAGATACTGTAAAAGATGTATGAGAAAAATCGCACCGCATTTTTGTAGAAAAAATAAATGATCATGTTGGCTAGTCGGCTGTAGCACCAGTGTCCGTGAACTAGGAGAAGTTTTTTTAAATGCTTGAAGCGAGAAATAGCAAAGTCACTGGCCATGACCGCCTATGGGAGACAAAGACAGCAGTTTCAGGATGATGAGAAAGTAGGAGGAGCATTCAGTATCTTTGAAGAGACCAGCCTGACCTGCATCCCCTCTTGGCCCGACACTCCCACTCCGATGTCAGCAGCTTGGATCATGTTGACGTCGTTGGCTCCGTCACCTGAGATCAAAGAGAAGGAGGCCATAGAACGCTCTTCTGTTGCTTTTCTGTTCTAATACCACCCATGGCACATGTAAACATCATTTTCACCAATATTTCAGTCATCAGTGAATTAGAAATTAAGAGTTAACATTAATATTATTAATGTTTACTGACTTTATACATCACTTTTGATAACAGAACAATAATAAAGTTATTTTAATGATAGAACGTCATTTTTTGGAAATTGATGACGTCTTTGATGACACCATAGGACACTTTATGATAGAATAGTAAAAAAAACATGACATAAAAGTAAAATATAATATTAAGACACAATATCCATCCATTTTCTTCCACTTTTTCTGTTGCAACAGAACATTACCTTACATGAAAAAAGGCCTGTTTTATCTGAACTGTTTAGTGTTGTTGTGATGTAAAGCAATGTTTGAAAGAAATGTTGAAAAATAAAATGTCCTGTTGTTTCCCAGATAGTGAGATCTGACAGAGATATGACTCAAAAACCTGTCTTATGTCTGAAAGTTCTTTCTACTGGCCAACATCATGTATACAGTATGTTTTTGAATATTTTATATTACCTTCGAAGGTACTACGTGCTGACAAAGATGATATGGAACTTTAAACAAGCCAGAAACAAACTTTGTAAGTTAGATACGTAATTCTTGATTTTGACTGTTACCATAGTTATCAGGAAAGATTTTTTAGCTGCCCTCCCCCAAAATGTTTAATAGGCTTCTTTGAATGTTGTGATGTCACACCTACGCAACGAATATGGTGACCATCATCAGAGGTACAACTAGATATTTAATTCTATTTGGACTTGTGTTGTGTATGTGTACATACTTTGACAATAATTATTCTATCAATAATGAATATTGACATTTTTAACTTATGCTATTTTAAATGACATTTTTGACCTTCTGTGTCTTTTCCTAGCCCTTATTACCAATCCCCTCATCATCCGGGAGAACAGATGATCGCATTGAAGAAACTGAAAAAAAAAACAATCTGATGATTGAACAGAAGACAAGGACACTCTGTGAGTCTTACCCACTGCGAGCGCCATGACCTGGAGCTTGTCTCTGATCAGCTTCACCACGTCACTCTTCTGGAGCGGAGTGACCCTGCAGCACAGCACTGAGCGGCAGTGTTTCACCAGATCTATAAAGCGTTCCCGTAAGTCCGGAGACATCGCCATGGTCAGGGTCTGGCCGTCGATCACCAGAGAAATGTCCGGCGTTGTGTCCACGTTAAGGGGGTTATTGCTGTACCTCCTGACCTCCTCCAGAGTACAGTCCAGGATGGAGGTGCACGTGACCTGTGGAAGCAAGTGGACTGCAGTTTATACACACACAGTGGCTGTGTGGATAGCCCTCTCGCTTCACAGCAAATAGGTCCTGGGTTCGAATCCCGGTCGAAACATAGAGACTTTCTGGGTGGAGTTTGCATGTTTTCCCCGTGTCTGTGTAGGTTTCCTCCGGGTGCTCCAGTTTCCCCTACCACTAAAACATGTACAATAGGTATGAATCTAATGAGTGAATGGGTGGAGTTTGTTCTGAGGCTTTGATGCTTCAGTGTGTCCGGCGTCTCGCTTCCGTTGTCACTGTGAATGGAACGAACTCTGAATGTCACGCTTTGGGAGAAAGGTGGAGAAAGTTTTGAGGTGGACTCGAACCCACAACCTTCAGGCTCAGTTGTCAATGCTCTACCAACTGAGCTACTGTATGCAGTGATACTTCATAAACAAACAGCATTCTTTTTCATTTCAAACTTTTAATTGCTATTAATAAACCAGAGCAGAACGTGGGCGTCATATGAGGTCCATCATTTGCAGCTGCATGTAATTGACTATAGCAGCGCACCGACCAGAAGAGAGCGACCCCAAAGACCCAGTTAGCTCATGTAATCAAGTTCCCCTGGTAAAAATAGTGCCTCGCCATATCTTCAATATTCCCTGTTAGGTGACATGATGGAAGGTGAATTTCCTTTGAGAGTTGGATATTAGAATGCTAATTTGATATGAAATCATTATTGTGTTGAGGCTCACTAGCTTCATTTATCATCATGAACAAGCCGCCCCTGTGCTCCAGAAGCTGCTCTCAGAAGGTGTTACAGGCGGCTTTGAATTGTTTTTTAACATTGTCAAAATATCCTGTGTGTAAATACTGACTTTTAACTTCTGACTCAAAATAGTTGGCATTGAGCCAGTAGACATTATTTGGGAGGGGTGAAAATTAATGAAAATACCAAAAATACATTTTGACCATACAACATTTTTATAATGACACTATTTACTTTCATTTCATGTTTTACAATGTGAAATAATAGTTGAAAATTGATTAGAAGGTAGAACAATTCTTTCCACCTGTAACTCCATATGCCACCACCAGAGAGAGGAGTTGCATTTGTGTAGTTTTTTACAAATTTCGAAAAATAATACATTTTGTTTTTAAAGGCAGAAAACTGCTATGAGTGTGATGTCATCGTGGTAAAATGACTTCATACTATTACAGGGCTTAGACCGGAGCTTTTAGACAGAAGGGGCGGAGTTACATGTTTTTGACAGAAGTCCTTATCGTGGATGGATCTAAAAACAACCAACTGCAAGTCCTTTCATAAAGAGAAAACAGTATTGTAACATGGTTAAAAGCTTAAAAAGATTTGTCATAATATGACCCAAATTGGAGGAAATCAGGGTTTTATTTTTACATGTAAACTTCAAATATAGCCTGAGACATTTTTCCCTATGTGTTGCTATGAAGAGTGCCAGATAAAGTGCCAGATCCTCACCTGGTTCTTGCAGCTCATATTAATGACCAGGTCGTCCTGCTCCAGCAGCCTGCAGGCATAGCCGATGTTGACCGCTGTCTCAGGCTTGTCTCCCGTCAGAACCCACACTCGGATGCCTGCCTCCCGCAGAGCCATGATAGTGTCTGGGACGCTGTCCTGAAGACGGTCCTCCACACCTGTCGCCCCTGTGTCACCAGAAACAACCCTGTCATTCCCATCACCACCACACTTACTGTACACAAGTAGGGTTTCCTTGCTATTTGAAGACACAATACATACATTTAATCAAGACTAAACCATTAAGACAATTAGTTTTCCATTAGTTATCTGTACAGAGTATACAGGTTGAATTGATTCTAATCCTGAAAGTTCTTGATAGGGACAAACATTGCAAATTAGTCTTGGCAATAAACGTTGTAGTGTTTCACATATTAATTGTGTACACCTGTCCCTATGAAATAAATCAATCACTAAATATATTCTTTAACATAATTAATACATATACACACACACAGACACTCATGTGGTTCTATTTTAAACAAAACCAATAGGCCAACAATAATGCAGCAACATACGGCTATAATTCCCTTAGTACCAGATCACGAAATTAAGTAACAGGATGAAAACAGTATATAATCTGACTGCTGTCACATACAGAAACTACTGGGTTCTGAGACTGGGTTCTGAGACTGGGTTCTGAGACTGGGTTCTGGTTTGTCCACTTCACAAACTGCTGTGCATCTCATGATCTGTAGCCATAGTGGCACAAGACGGGCTCAGAGTGTTGTGCGACATTGCAGGATGGAGTTTTACCCAACAGGCAAAGGTTGGTCTCTATTTGTACAGCTGATTCCATGATGAGCTGCTCTCTGTCGTCCATCGCAGCCAGAGCGTGTTGCCTCGTCACTGCCCAGCTCTCATACTCGCTGTCACTCAGCACCTGCAGAGGAAACACGTTTTAGAGCAGAGCATAGCGGACACAGGACACACAGGAGACGTCAGTCACCTTTTTGGTGATGCAGAGTGTGCGCAGGCCCTCTTTAGCATAGCAGTCTAAATGCTGCTGAGTCTCAGATGCTATAGCCTTCTGCAACTTTTCTGTATTGATAAAAGTAAATTGCACACAGTATTACAAAATGAATGAATGAAAGTTTATTTAAACATGGAATAAAAACAACAGAATAAGAACAAAAAAACTGGCATTTTTATTTTTAACAACAAAAATAAAAATGTCAACGACAAGACTTAACGGTATCTAGGACTATTTTTTACTTCTGGGTGGATCCTCAAGACTACTGGTCCTCCCAATTGTCAATCATTCTGGTGATACGTGTTTGTCAAATAGACCAGAAAGTTTTATTCAAAAAGGTAGAGAAGGCGATTCTTCCTAAAATTTGGGAAAATCCCCCTATTTACCTGTAACACTTATTCCAGTTCAAAAGTAGCAGGAAGAAGCTTATTAAAAGATCAACTAAGTAGTAAGTAATCTTTATTTATATACCGCCTTTTCACTGCAGATCTGAGTCTCAAAGCGGTTTAAAATTGTTATTTTTTTGGGCATTTGTCTCTTACTCCACACAGAGATGGGAGGGGCCAGTACAGGAGGCGCATCCCAGAACTATTGTACATATTTTTAGTGGTAGGGGAAACCGGAGTACCCGGAGGAAACCTACGCAGACACGGGGAGAACATGCAAACTCCACTCAGAAAGGCCCTGGTCCGACCGGGATTCGAACCCAGAACTAGCAGTCATAATTTTGCCAATTGCAAAAATACTACAACTCTACTAACAAAAATCCAAAAATTCATTCAATAAAAGCTGACATACCATCACAAGGCGTGCCAAGAAGCTCCATGATGGCATAGTCTGCTCCTTTAGTGTAGAGGATGTACTCCCTGGAGATGGGGTGTCTTACCAATACTGACATCCTCTTCCTGTTCGAGTCAAAGGCCAAAGTGTCCAGCACCTGAAAGCTGAGGCGTGCTTCAGACGGGAGGCCCACGGTGACGCTGTCAGGAGTCCGGGACAGAAGGATGAAGCCATATGCCTTAGCTGCATGCACCAAAGCAGCCTCGTCTGGACTCTCGGCCTCATAGCAGAGCTGATTAAGAGACACGGCTGGAGTAGGGCCCTGTGGTGGGACGTGGAGGGAACATGTCTGTCCCTCAGTGGGGTCTCTAGACTGATCTTGTGCAGTCAGGATTATGTCTGAAGAGGTATGGGCTCTTGGGCGAGTCCATGAACTCAGAGTCTCCCGGATTGAACCAGCTTTTTTCACCAAACTGGACAAAGTGTCCAATGGATTAGACTTGCGGTTTTGTACAAAATGAGGGTTCTGAAAGACACACAAACAATTATTAGTAGTGCAGCATAGAGCAAAACATCAGTACCCTAACTCAAGTAATGACCATACAATAATCATTGAATTGATCATTTGGATTCAATTCAAACTGAACTGCTTTTCTTGCCAATTGTTTGTTAGTCTAATTTTTGTAAGACATCATTACATCAGAATAATAATTCATGTCATTTGCCATTTTGTCTGTAACTGAGACTAGACAGCTCTGTGCATCTCTCCTCTTGTGTGTCCTCCATCTACACTTCATCTACCGGGGCTGAGCACTCACCCTCGGTCTCTTTGCTGTTGCCATGGAAACCATCACAGTGTTGCAAATGGCGAGAGCCAGAAAAAAGTCCAGGTAGGCATCTATCCTCTCTGTCTCCTTGATCCGCTGAAGGAGCTTCTGGTCTGGGATGACCTCAGTTTCCTGTTTGTATGAAAACAAACCACCTGATTAAATAAGAACATGCTATTGTTCTTTTGTTTTTCTTTGTTTTTCTGTCACATGTGACATGTCATACATAAATGTCACCCTGAATCTGCACCTTAAACCTATATTCAGGCCGTGCACCTGCTTAAACCCTGTTGGAAAGGGCTTATTTCCTCTGCCCTCCTGTTTTCCTCCAGGTTGCCATTCTTGGCCCCAAGGACAAAAATAGACTCGGAGCTAGTGAACTGTATATAAAGACAGTCGTGCCTAAAATGTAGGGTGCATTTACAGTGTCAGTGGCCAGTGCCAAATGAGGCGCCAGCGTGACCATATGTCCTGTCACCGAGGAGACACAGAGCCAAAATGGATGTGCACTCGGCAGCTTTACGTGACTCGCCTTAATAGAGACTGGCCAATAAAACATATCAATAGATCGTGTTGAAAGTGGTGAATAGGCCACTGAATATAAAACAAACTGTTGAATGCATTTATAATTATAGCATGTTGAATTGACCAAGCCAAGCATTAGAGAAGAGGAAAGACATAGAAAATCAGATGGTAAGCTTTTAAAGTTGTACTAACCAGTGGGCTGCTGAAGGCGGCATCACTTTTGGCATGGTCTTTGCTTCTGTGCCTTTGGTCACTTTTCTTTTCCTGAGAATTGGAGACTTCGGAGTCCTCGGAGTCCAGAGACCAGCCTGGTTTACTGGATAGAAAGGATTGGCTGAAGAGGACATCTTCATCCTCCTCAGGCTTGTTTACAGCAGATAAACGAACACCTACAAAGCATGCAAGAATAACTGGATAGTAAACATGATAATAAACAATAAAATATTTGCAATTTCTGTCCATCTGTGTTTGAAGTACTCATCTGAGAAAAGGTTTTCCCAAAGTTGAATGATGATTTAAATGGCTATATAAAACTATTCAAACCTTACCATTTTCTTTATGGGAATACTCTGTTCCCATTATAGAACACCGGCGAAACACCATCTTGTTTTCGGTGAGTGTGCCGGTCTTGTCTGAAAAGATGTACTGGATCTGTCCCAGGTCCTCTGTGATGTTCAGGGCCTTGCACTGTATTGAAGTGTCTGTTTCTTCATCGTACAAATCTAGGTCATTTGTGATGAAATAAATCTGAGCAATCTTCACCATCTCAATGGACACATAGAGGGAAATGGGAATCAAAACCTGTCAAAGAAAGTAAATACTGTACATCAAAAATAATGTTCAATCATGATACAATTCACTGCTTTTAATTCTCGTGTGCGTCCTATCTTGAGGATGTCCCCTGCATTTAGCTTGAACTGATCCCCTGCATCTGAGGCAATCTCCCAGCAAACAATAATAAGGGTTAAGGTTAAGGTTAATAGTAATAACAATAAGGTTTTATATAATGTTTTCTGCATACTTAAAGACGCTTCACGTGACATAAGTCATTACATTTGAAAGCAGCTGCCCTAAGCAACATTTCCAAGCCATTGGCCCCTCTAAGCCCCACCGATCATTTAGACACACGCACAGACACACACACACACGCGCGCACACACACAAACACACACAAGGGCACTTGAGATTGAGTTAAATGTACTCTTAAAACTTTTGATGTGATGCGATTAAATACTTAATTCTAATGAAGTGAATAAAGACCAAACAATGTATATTCAAGGCAAAGTGAAGAGTACCTGTAACAGTATGAGCATGCTGAAGAACTTGTAGAAACTGGACTGGCTGGGATTGTCCAGGGCACTACCGAGGACCAAGTAAAGGGGCACACTGGACATCGAATCCAGCCATAAGTAATGTCCTGTACGTGAAACAACAGAGATTGATCACATTCACAGAAACAGCTCAGTCTCCTTTCTCTTGTCTGGTCTATTACAGGCCTATTCAAATCTGGCCCTCCAAACATTCTCATCCGTCCCTGTCTCCATCCCTCCATCCATTTTGGCCAGAGATGCCACCCAGTCCACATAGCACCAGCACCTCACTGATCCTCCTGCAGGTGGTGAGTCCACAGGAGGATGGCCACTCTATGGCATAGCCTTGATCTTTCAGTGGGGTTAAGTTTCTTACCCAAGGACACAACGACAACAGTCATTAGTGGGAGTTGGTGGAGAAGGTCTCATGGTGGGCTCGAATCCACGACCTTCAGGCTCAAAGGCCAATGCTCTACCAACTGAGCTACTGCCGAGTCCCTGTCTATCTTTCTAAATTAACCGTATCTAACCCAGATTCAATATAGTAATAGAATGCATGGTTTTCTTAGTGGAAATTCAGGATGAAACTTTTTGTTGTTGTTGCATACAATTGATCAAAAATAATTACATTAATGTAAAATGAGTTTTGATATTGTTTTCTGTTAACAATGTATTCTTGAATAGCCCTAAATCACACCAGTAGTTATCTCGGAGGACTTTACAAAATTGTTGAATTCGGCAACACAGATTAGAGAATCAAACAGTTCAAACACAAGGAATACTTAAAAACATAGAGCTTTTGGTCCATAAGGGGCAGACGACCAATGTCCATAAATACACACGAAACAAAATGAGGTCATTAATTCTTCACAAAAATATCTCATCCATTTCATCAATTTAGCACTGTTTAAATAGAAACAAAAATATTCCATATCAAATGTCAATTGTGACAAAAAGTGGCAGCATCCAAAGCAGGATCAGGCCCAAAATCAGGCCCACAAGAAACTTAAGTTGAATAGATGACTGACCTAGAGATCCTATGATGCACATTGTGAAGAGCAGAATGATGCAGAAAATCACGTCAATGTTAAGTCTCCGCTCCAGTCTGCTGCGCTTGTATCGCGGTCCATTGTTGTTGAGCATTGCTTTAGTTTCCCGGCCTTAACATTTGGAAGTTACAAAACATCAGCGGTTAATACAAATAAACCATTAGAGAAAGTCACAGCCCACATGAAGGCGATGTTATGAAAATATAAAAAATAAAAGTGCAAAAAAGTTACAGGCAAAAGTTTATCGGTTGTGTTGTTTTGTCTCCCACATACAAGCATCTCTGAGCACAAATACATATTGATGCTGCAGTGAAAGGGAAAGGCCTACCTGCATACACAACAAAGCCAATCGCAAAGTCTGTGTTCCTCATAGTGCAGCCTCTCAGCAGCAGATTGGAAATTCCAGCTCCGACTTTTTCCTTATCCAACTTCTCACTGCAGCAAATAAAACATGTTTATAGCAGGGTCAGGAAGATACATCACTGGTTAATCAATTCTTATGAGCTTAAAGGCATTAGCTGGGCAGAGTAAAGCTAGAAAGCTGGGGAAATCAATTATGTAATACAATTTACCTGGTAGTACAGTGCATCCGGAAAGTATCTGATCTGTAAAAGCCTTATACTAAAATGGATGGATTTTTTTTGTTACGAAATCACCACACAAAAATCTATAATGATGAACTGAATTGTCCGTGGAAATAGATCTGTGGAATTATATATATTTTTTAAAACAGCAGCATTGATGGTCCTGATACAGCTCCATCGGTCAATTGAAGTACAGGTAAAACTCGGAAAAATTAGAACAATGTTCAAACACCGTTACATAAGTAACAGTTACTTTCGCACCGGCTGTTCCCAGAGGTCTCCCATCATAGAACAAAGCACTGACCAGATCTGGCTGTCACTTGCCATGGTGCTAACAGGCAAAGATTTGTATATGTCACTTTACATTTAAATTCTATATCCTCTATTGATTTCAGATTTCAAGATGAATTAAATTACAGAAATAAATGTACTTTAGAACAATATTCTACTTTTCCAACCTGCACCTGTAGTTTGGAACCCCCATGTCTCTTCATAGAGCTGTCTGTCCTGCTGAACTGTACTGTGGGAATAGAAGGGTCTTGATGAGGAGAGAGACCATGGACCTAAAAGTCACTCTGATAGAGAGAAGGCTGTTTTTCTGAGGAGACGGGGGAACAATCCCAAAGGATGACCATCTCTGCTGCACTCCACCAATCAGGCCTTTCCTCAGTAGAAGGTGCCCGAGAACCTTCGGGTTTTGGAATGTGGGAAAGAAAGCCCTAATCAAAGAGTTGACAAAGAAAGGTGCAAAAAAGAATCGGCCAAAATACTCCAAATACAGGCATGCCAGGTGTGGCAGTTGCTGGGCCTTAACATGTGATATGTCTTTATTTGGATGTTATATTTAGAAAACAATCATAATGAAAACATCTCTTATTGTAGGAGTTAAAAAATGTAAAGGGATTGACTACATTCCGAATGCACTGGCAGTATGCATACTTACACGTAGCATACTTACACGTAGCATACTTACACGTAGCATACTTACACGTAGCATACTTACACGTAGCATACTTACACGTAGCATACTTACACGTAGCATACTTACACGTAGCATACTTACACGTAGCATTTGAAGTGATTGAGATTGTCGTTGGGTTTCTCACAGACTACAATGCCAGTAAAAGATTCAGGTTCAAATTCAGGATTCTAAAATGGAAAAGAGACAAAAGGTCACGCACTTTACAACTACACACGGACCAGATGTGCACTTTGACAGGTTGAATAATGCACCAAACAACAGAAGCCGATACATATTCTGGTTAAAAAAAACAGCGTCATCATTAAGGCATGCACAGTCTGTTGTTGGTTTTAGAATGTCAATCAAAATGAATACAGGGCTGGGCGTTTGGGTGCAGTCAGCTGAAGTCAGTGCTGAGCCAAAGGAAGGGCATACAGAGCTCTACAGCTCCTACTCTGATATACTTTATGACTTTATACTGTATTTAGATGAGTTTTAAACTATAAGAAAAGTAATAGCCATAGTAGTAGTAGCCATAGACATGGGACAAATAGCGGCGGTGGGTTTTGTTACTAGATGTATAATATTACTAATTATTGACTTTTTCAAAATTTAATGAGCTTTACTGCAAAGCCTTAATTAGATTACTTTGGAACGAGTTATCCATCCATTTTCTTCCCCTTAATCCATTTCTGGATCGGGGGGTGTCAGTCAGAGCTGCACCCAGTACACATAGCACCAGCCCCTCACTGATCCTCCAACAGGTGGTGAGTCCACAGGAGACTTGATCTTTCAGCGGGGGCCCTAGGCAAAGTGGGGTTAAGTGTCTTGCCCAAGGACACAACGATAGCAGTCATCAGTGGGAGTCGTGAAGTAGGTCTTTTAGGGTGGGCTTGAACTCACAACCTTCTGGCCTAAAGGCCAATGCTCTACCAACTCAGCCACTGTCACCAGTACTTTGGAACGAGTTAATTTAATAATAATATTAGTATACAGTATACATTATTATACTGTATATGAGCTTATGTCTTATTAAATAACTATACATCTACTCACTGAGGTATATGATTGCAGTAATGTGTAAGTAATGGGTTGCACTACTTAGTTATTTAGAAAAGTAATCGAATTACATTGCAGAGTTACAACAACACTGCACTTGAGTAAGTAAGATGATAAAAGTTTGATCAGAGCAACTACATGAACAAAGAGAAAAGAAGCCTTTGTTGAACACCACACTGAATGTTGCCCAAAGGACTGTGCTCCCATGAGCCTTTGCGGTCATTACAGACAGTCTGTAGTCACTCACTGTGATGCAGACCCCAGGCACGGCTCGCCTCTGCTTCAGGTTGGTCTCTCCGTCCAGGTTGGCCGTCTCGATGTGACACACTGCGTCTGGATCTGACGTGTGCAAGAGCAGGAGGTCTGCTGGGATGATGTCATTGGACTCAACCTTCACAAAGTCCCCCACGCAAACATCCCGCCAACGCTTCTCAACAAAACACTTGTCTTTCCTGCAAGCAGAACACTTTGAGGTCATTTTAGGTCAGATAGGGAAAAGCCTTTTATTCATCTATAACTGTATTTACGAGGCAGTCACAGTCCTTGGATAGAGGCCCAGATTTATTTGCAAATGAATAAACTATTGGTATGTTGTCCTGCAAGATCTGGCAGTCCCAGACTCAACAGAAGCCACACCTTCTGAAAACTGCGAGAGGTCATGACATTTCAGGTTTATATATCATTTTGACGAGTTAATCGTCCCCACACTTTAAAGTGTCACACAACATTATCATTACTGTAATCAAATGTCATACATTTGAAGACAAGGCGGTACATTTATCAAAGGTATGTGCAACAATGATGAGCATCCCTTTCATTGGAACAAACTGGTCTACACGTACAAGTCCTAAACAAGAACTGAAACACTAAAAATGGCTATTGTACTGTACAGCCACAGTTTAGCACCTATTCATAAATATACCCCTAGGTGTAGAAAACTGGCTCAGCTTCACAGAGTAAGATCTATGTGTATGATTACATTTATCTTCAGACATCTACATGGCTATCTATGTAAACCACTGTCTCTAATCCAAACAAGTGGAGAAGATGACAAAGTCTGGGATCGTGTCTTGATGGTAGAGCACGAACACGAGCACGAACAAGGAATGTTACAAACTGCAAGTGATAATATAGCATGGAGGAATGATCACCATCCAATCAGCTTTCGCCGCAATGCCAGTAGCTTGGCCTTCAGATAGACAAAACATGCAGTGGAAAAGTACTGGTTTCTGCATATGTTAGAATGAAGAGTTAGAACTTTAACCATAGTTGCTTCAAAGTATCATGAAATATCCAAACAAGTTTCAAATTTTTATATGAAGTGAACATCAGATTTTTACTTCTAGAGACTATTGAATTAGTGCAGAACAGGTCACGTAAGCGCTTTACAATGTTTTTGGAGGACCAATACTATGCAGGAAACCTATGCAGACACAGGGAGAACATGCAAACTCCACACAGAAAGGTCTGGAGGTGAAATCAAACTCACTGTTATATGTGCTAACCACTGTGCCAACATGTTGACACAATTATTCTTAAAAAACAAAATTATGCTGTACTTGAATCTCATACTGGATCTATCTCAAAGGGCTTATCCTCCAAACTAAATCTATAGTAAATACTTATTATATGTTTGTCATTGATGTTCTGGAGAAATTGGTTCACGCCCAAATTCAGTCTCACTTGGAAGCAAATAGCCTCTTTGAAAAATTTCAGTCGGGTTTTAAACCGTGTCATAGCACTGAAACTGCACTCTTAAGAGTTTTTAATGACCTTCTTTTAAATGTTGATTCGGGTCACCCCACTATTTTAGTGCTTTTAGATTTAACTGCAGCGTTTGACACGGTGGACCATCAAATACTGCTTTCCCGCCTTGAAAACCATGTTGGTATTGGAGGAACGGTCCTAAAATGGTTCAGATCATATCTTGAAAATCGCTCCTTCTCTGTCCACCTGGGACCTTACAGCTCAGATGCGGCCCCACTGAGCTGCGGAGTGCCACAGGGCTCAGTTTTAGGTCCTTTATTGTTCTCACTGTACCTGTTGCCCCTTGGATCTATTTTCAAAAAACATAAGATTCCCTTTCATTGTTTTGCAGACGACCTGCAAGTCTATCTGCCATTGAAACCAGGTTCAGACGGCATCCAAGCTCTGTTACATTGTATTCAGGATGTAAAGGACTGGTTGGCCCAGAATTTTCTAAAACTTAATGAATCTAAAACGGAAATTGTCGTTTTTGGAAATTTGTCTGATCCATCTGTTCTTGGCCCACTAAAAGGCTACTGTCACCAGTCAGCCAGGAGCCTTGGTGTGGTCCTAGATGGATCTTTTAAGTTGGACAAGCAAATAGGTTCAGTTGTAAAGTCAAGTTTTTACCAACTGCGTCTTCTGAGTAAAATTAAGCCGTATTTACCACATAGAGATCTGGAGAGTGTGATTCATGCCTTTATAACATGCCGCTTGGATTACTGTAACTCGTTGTATTGTGGGCTAGACCAAAGCTCGATCCATCGCCTGCAGTTGGTACAGAACGCTGCAGCGCGTCTGCTCACGGGAACCAAAAGGTTTGAACATGGCCTCTTTACATTGGCTCCCTGTAAAATACAGAATTCAGTTTAAAATGCTGTTGTTGGTGTTTAAGTGTTTGAATGGGACGGCTCCTGCGTACCTTTCTGAGCTTCTGTCTGTTCATACTCCGAGCAGAACATTGAGGTCAGCTAACGAGTTTCTGTTAGACGTACCGAGGTCACGAATGTCGACCAGAGGAGACCGGGCTTTTGCTGTCGCGGCTCCGACGCTTTGGAATGGTCTCCCCTTAAATATTAGGGCAGCCCAGTCTTTAGGCATTTTTAAGTCTATGTTGAAGACCCATTTGTTTGCGAAGTCCTTTAATTAAAACTGAGCAGGACTTTTTTTCTTTGCTGGTGTTGATTTTTGTTTTTCCGCATCTGTATTTTAATTTTATTATATTCAAATTGTGTATTTTATATACATGTATTTTTGTGTACAGCACTTTGGGCAGCATTGTTGTTTTAAATGTGCTTTATAAATAAACTTGACCTTGACCTTGACCTTGATTGATGTGGGTGGATTGACAGGAGTAACCGACAAACTCTTCTCAGGTCTGTTGAACGGAGACGAATGATGTAATGCAGCCTCTGATCCGACAGCATTCTTCAGAAACACGCATGAATGACTGGAAGAGTCACTTTGAGATTTCCCACAATAGAAGGAATTTACTTTTGTTAGTAATAATGTTTCGTGCTAATACTGGTTTAGTAGCATGTATCTATTAATACATGTCATTATCAAAATGATAATTGAGCTTTATTAGTCATTGTGTGGAAACCTGAAGTAAAATTATGTCTCTTAGTTTAAGCTTGGATTGATACATTTCACAGAATCATTTGTTTCCTGCACTTTGTTTGTTTATTTTATTTCCGTAATTTTAACCTTGTTTTTTTATGTACTTGTCTTGTGCACTCTGGGGACTTTTACAAATGTATTCCAATGTGGTTTTACTGGAAACGGCAAAATAAAATGAATATGAATCTGTATCTCAAATTTAGTTTTGCTAAAGTTCAAACTCAATTTCAATACTTTGACAATAGCAATTTTGAAACCACAGCTATCATATGTACATTCTGGACAATACACTGTATTTTTTAACTATGACAATTACATTGGGGCTACAGAGCTTTACACGTTTTTATGCTAAGTTTCCCTGATGTAGTTTAAAATGTATCATACTCAAGAAAGACCTGCTCATGTTATTGTATCAAGTATATATCTATACATGCTTGATTTGGGGTGAGGGTAATGTTTCAACAGTAGTTTGAGGCAGTGGAAGCTGATGAGGCGGCTCTAGCATAGTAATAATCTCCCACACACAGTCTTTATGTACACACACAGGGCCCACTATCTGGCTGATCTACACATGTTCACGCACTGGTTATAAACACAGATGGGACTCTACTGTTAACACCAAGTGGCTACATTCTTCCACAATGCTGCACGCTTTTACCTGCTGTACACCAAACATGGCATCCCGTTGAGCCTCTTGTCCGACAGGTACCTCCTGAAGTCCTCACAAGCATCTTTAATGGCCGTCAGAGCCAGAATCACACAAATAGGGATCATGGCTACTTCGGGCTGGAAAGCTTGCACCACAGGCACAAAGTTCAAAATAGCCAAACCGACAAAATACAAGTTTGCCAGACGATGGAACTGCTCATAGAGATTCATGGGTAAGAAGAAGAGAATGGTGTATTTGGTTGTCTTGATGCCATTGCTGGGGAAGTGCCGGTTTGGTTGCTTCCATTTGTGCAGTCCTTCATAAGGCAAGTTGGACACCAAGTTGCGTAAATCCTTATCCCGTGCCTTTTGACCATTCCAAGCATCCCTAATCCGGGCCAACGGACTTATCCAAGGCATGGTGGCTCCAATTTGTGTTTTTCTTTTGTTATATTTTCACTAAACCTTGAGTTGCATTTTCTGACAAAACAAATCACTGACTTTTCTGGTGCTGTTTGCTTGTGTGAGTGCACGCGGCCTAAGAGTAAAACTAACGAGGCCACACACCTCTGCTCAGCCCCTCCCCTTTGGTGACAGGTGTGTTGGCATTCCTCATGAAAATGTCCTTCCCAAGCTTCAGTTCATCTGAGTGTTCTTTCCTTTGAAACACCTGTCATGAAAGTGGACAATAAGACTTTGGTTTATAGAAACATTCATAATGTATTTGACTAAAAAGCTATTTCCATGTGGCACTACTGTAACAATATTAAGCACGATTGAATGCATACTTGGTTATTTATTTAAACTCTGAGCCCAACTGTTAACTATTAACTCCCGCCTCTTATTCATGAATGTGTTTATTTAAAGGACAGTGACATTAAAAAAACGGTTGTATCGGATTTTTGCAAATAGTTTGTTTCATTCTGTAGTTCTTACATATAAAACCATATTCCCACTAATACAGTACACATCTCAAAACGTCAATTACAATCCTGAAATGAAACATATGTTTCCAATTCAGATTCAGTTTCAGACTTTTATTTAAAATGTTTATCAATGTGAAAATTATGAACACTGAATTGATCAACATACTGTTTATGACACAAGCCTCAGACCCAAATCAGAATTGAAATGCAGTCCAATAATTGTTTAAAACAGACATTTAGAGGAACAGGGTGTTGGAATGGTCTGTGAAGGATGCTTTCCACATCACCTCATACTGTATGTTGACACATGTGTTGACTTTTCCAGAGCAGGCGGAATAACCAGTTTAAAAAGCCCTGAAGCACAGTGTTCTAAAACAATCCATTTTCAACGTTGGCCTGGCGGATAGGCCCCTACATGTAACCTGGGGGGCCTCTACCTGCAGAGTACCCCTCAGGGCACAGTGCAGCAGCTGGGGGACAGGACAGACAATGTATAGAGGATGAACCGTGACTGCCCCCCCGCAAGACAACTGCTCTGGAGAACAGCTTGACAAAGATGGATCAGACATCTTCGCTGTGGAGGAGCAGTTCAAGAGGTCTTTCATTGCTACTGTCAAGCTGTACAAAGAACACTACAGGACAAAACACTATGATAATGTATCCGGTCCACTGACATCCTCCATGAGCGAATCAACCCTTGGCCATAAGTCATGTTTAGAGTTTTTGTTAACATTTTAATGTATCTACATCAGAGTTCATTTTCTAAATATCTTGGAGAACTATCCCATTTTGTAATGTCTTTGTCTAGGCCCATATGTACCACAAAAATGCTTTATCACAGTGATTAGAAAAAGTGTTTACAAAAAGGCTAGAAGTTTTTCTATTTTAAAGTTCTTAATAAAAATATTCAAAGAAAAAAAAAAGTGTTATAACTTTCACTTTCTTTCTTCACTTTAGTTTGGCTTGGGAGACTCCTCTTGGGGTTCGAGTCAGACAGGCCGATCCGGGTCAGACCAGGCTGGTTCAATTGGCGTATCGTGCCACAGCTGCAACCTACTCACACACGACCCTTGGAAACAAACACACGATTGAACGGAGCTCTGCGCTTCCATATTTACTTCAGTGACACGGAAACATCAGCTGCCCCCTCCTCTGCCCCTCTCCTACACAACACGTCAACATATCACTTTGGAACACAGGAGGGGAGTGGAGCTCGCACCATCTGTCTCTGTGTGCCAGTCTCCTACAGGACGAGTTCCTACAGGACCAAGAAACTGAGCTGATTTGAGCTGTTCTATGAGATGTTCTAACCCAGAGGTGTCCAACCGGTCCTCAATGCTCCTCCTGCTCATTTTAGACCTAAGACCTGACCTGCCTGCTTCATCCAGCGGTTACTCCAGCTCCTTTTAGAATGATGTATTTATTTCTTTTGTTACTATGAAAGGGTGTGTTTTTGCTGCTACTGGACACCTGAATTTCTCCTACGTGGATCAATAAAGTATCTCTCTAGCTATTAAAACTATCTAGCCACCCCGGCCCTATCTGGAGGTGGTTTGACTCCCTGTTCTTTCTGTTACATGAGCTGCTCTGTGCAGGCTGCTGGCTACACATCAGACACTCCTCCCGTCTTGAGGTCCTTCCATCTCCAGTTTGCATGTTTCTCAGTGTGTCTGGGCGAGTTGGTCTGGTGTGTGAGTGGATGACAGTGGGTGTTGGGGATCGATCGCTGGCGCACTCTGACAGTCTCATTGCCACCAGCCTGCACCAGGGCAGCTGTGGCTACAATGGAAGCCTACTACCACCCATGTAAAGTGTAGTACATGTATAAGACATTAGTATCATTGTTATCACCAAATAATTTGCACATGTTATGTTATTTTGAAGATCGGTGTTCTATATACTCCTTCTAGCAAGCTGTACTTCACATTAGTCACTGCCAGAACAAAATCCTCCTTTAAAATATTAAGTATGCAGTGTTTTTATACATGAAATATTCACTGGCATCCATTTAAGAGCTGTAACAGTGGTCAGATCTGGAAGCAGCAGAGTGCACAAATGGATGGATGCCCCCTCTCTTGCTCTCTTCCTTTTCTTTCTTGCTATTTTATTCCCTCCCCATCTTTCTGGCCCTGAAGCCACTGAGCCACAGAGTGCATTCATATCAATGGTGCTTTGAGTTAACGTTCCCCAAGGCAGAGGCCAGTTTGCAGTTCAGGCCAGAGCTGCGCAGCCTCTCATCCATGGCTGTGACTAGAGGCCCTCACCCGCAGTATCCTGTCCAGTTACCCCTACATTTGCTTCTCTCATTCGCCGTCGCCTTTAGTTATTGCCGCTCTCACACAGACACTCAGACAGTCAGTCATGAGGAAACAGAAAACCTCATGCACTCTTGGTTTTTTCAAGTGATAGACTGAATCCAGTTTTAATTTGATTAAGATTACATATTTGCTGACAATCATTACACAAGATATTTACAGTTATTATGAAATATTACAATTGGAATTTACATAAACTTTGTACAAAATATTCTGACTGACTTGAATGCCTGGATCACAGGGTTAAGTCACTGTTGTCTGGAAGTGCTTTAGCTTCGGCAAAGTAGATGCTTCTGAGTCTGTTAAAAATAAATACAAAGTCCAAAAAATACAGTCTGCAAAGTTGTGAATCACATTTGTTTTGATAAACTTTTTTTGTTTTTTTTGTTTCAGTGGAGCATCTTGAACTGTTTTTCAACTGGAAAACTAACAGAGACCCATTTAAATAGGATAAATTCATATGTACATGTATGTGAATATTGTTATATTAAAATGAATCATCTTTTTCTTCAAACATGATTGATGCTCTGTATCTACATTATCAACAAAAAGCTAATCACGATGAAACGCATACTATCATTCAGATCTACTGATAATGACGATTGTGGATTGCCATATTTATGCAGCAATAAAAATGCATCTTTTCCAAATCAAGATAAAACATAGTGAAAGCCTCTTCACACAATGGCAGAGTGAAGAGTCCTGGCTTTTTCTTTAAAAACATTAACATGGGGTGAGATGGGTTCTGCCGGCACAGCGAAAAGCATAAAACAAACATGGTCAAAACATACACGCGTCCACAGTTGCACTCTTGGTTCCTTGAAAAAAACAAGGAAGCCATAAGCGCTTAAAAGCCTCACCAAATTGTCCAATAAAAACCCTGCATGATGTAATCCAGCAAAGTTTCCAGACCGGCTGTTTTGACCATACAAGCCACAGCTGTAAAAAAAAGAAAAGAAAAATGGAACACTTTAGCCTGGCAGAATCAGCTACAGATTAAAAAGTAAATAAGATGTTTTTTGTATAGGGTGCTGTGGTGCAAATGAAATCGAACAGAAGCATGCTTTAAAGGATGTTTTTGATATACAGTAATTATAGGAAAATAGATTATCAAGGATGGCTCATTTAAATCATTTGATAAAGCTTTCCTGGATGCAGACAGCTCGGCTACGAAGTAAATAGATACTAAACAAAACGAATCCTCAAAGTATATGCAAACACAAGCATAAATATTTTGATCCACAGAGTAAGCTATAAATGACAAATACTAGTGATAGATTGACATTTTTGAACAGGCACCGTTACACTTCTATAAACTCTTCTTTTTGCGTCATTTCAGTCATTGTAAGGTGTTCTCTCTCCAGAAAGAGCCTGTGTCGACTTTTGTTGGGTGCTGCTGGAGTCTATCCAAAAAAAGTCTCACGGTTTTTCCTCTAATGAACCAGCTCAAAAGTTGGTGCATTGTTTTTTAAAATTCTCATTCTCTCACACAACACGCTCTCCTCCCTGAAGTATCACGCTCCTGTACCCCCTTTCTTGTGGGAGCCCTCAACATGAGTGCTGCTCCCCTTGTGTGTGTGTTTTTAATGAACGTAGTAGAGCCAGTAGACCACGTTGAAGAAGGAAAAGACCGTGGGGAAGATCATTCTGGACCACTTGTCGATGGAGTTCACATCGGAGAGGTCGGGGATGTTGACTTTGAGCTGGGAGGCCCGTCTCCGTAGCCGCGACTTCTTTTGGGCGTGTCGTTCCAAAGCGCTGTGGCCGTAGTTCTGGCGAGCCATGGCTGCCCTGCGGTACATGAGCGAAGAGGCGTCGTAGGACATCATGGTGTTGCGAGGGTCTCCCGGAGCGCCCAGGCCTCGAGATAGATCCCCCACTCCTCCCATTTCGTTCTTCATCTCCAGAGTCCCGAACAGGAGGTTGTCGTCAGTCGTCATCTGCGGGGAGTGGACACCAAGGGTTATAACGAGAGCGACAACTCGGCAGTCGAGTACAGGTGATACTGGGGAAATTAGATTATTGTTCAAAAGTCATTTTACTTCTTTAAGTTCTTTTAGTTCTGTAACTTGTAATGCAACACTGAAATTTCCCCGCTGTGGGACGAATAAAGGATCTCTTCATTGTACATGCAAAGTGAGATATATCAAGCTTTGTTGCGATGTTGATAATTGGCTCACAGCCTTCAAAAACCCACATTATACACCTTAGATAAATGAAGAGTTTTGAAAATGGACTGTAGTTTTAGCAATAATTTTGTATTTTAAACAAAACACACAAAATATACTGTTTAAAAAAGAAGATAATCCTTATTTGGCTCCAACCCCACTCACTCATCCAACACAAACCTATACACACAAACACACAAACACACACACAAACACACACAGATGCACACACACATATACAGAAACTAACACACACACATACGATCAGGACAGGCGCCAACACTCTCTGACCATACACCTCTCTCCCACTACTCAAAGTTAAACAAAGGCTTGGCATATGTCACTTTGTGTGTAACGAGTATCATTTAGTGATTTTACATTTTAAGTTGAATTATATAAATAAATGAACGTTTGAACAATATTCTAATGTTCCAAGTTTCATCTTTATATTTTCTAGTAGAAGCATATTGTGTACAAAAAATATGATGCTAAAATGGATAATGCAAATGAGTCTAAAATTCTAAATGTTGGAAAACAATTATAAGCATTTTTAACATTATACATTATGTCAATCAATATCTGAGTGAGAGTGCAACCACAAGACATAGTCAAAGCACGACAAACTCCACAAGCTAGGTCTTTATTGCCGTCTCAGAATTTCAACACAAACAGCGGTTAAAATTCTGTCAAGATGTACTGAAGGAATAAAGAGAAAGCAAAGGAAAATGTGACAGGAGACGGTCGAAAGAATAGGAAGCACTTTGGGAGAATGAGGTAGAGGCTACGGTTTGGGGCAGGTTGGGTTGGGAAAAAGTTGTGGGAAGTGAATTCTGATCAATATTTCTTCATCCATAGCCTGACATCTAAGAACCATCAAGGTCCAATTTTTAGTGCATATACAGTAACTTTATATCCCTAAAATCCCTGTTTGAAATATTGAAAAATGGATTCTTTAACTGTTTTACTTTGCTCAAACATTTAGCATTTTAGCACTTTAGCAACTTCAAGTTCAGGTAATGTCTGCAGAAATCGAATTGCAAGCCATATTTGTCAGGAAAATGCATGAAGAGAAAACCAAGAAAGGGGAAAAACACAATGGTGGGAGTGATGGTCGCCTTAAAATCTACAAAAAATCAAAGAAATGCACAGAAACTACAGCAGTTTCCTCTGATTTGGGTTGACTCAGATTGATGACATTGTAGTTTTGACTTTCAAAACCTTCAGTACCTTATTTCTCTGCTCGCCTAGTCCTAATGCGGCATCGTCCATAAAGATGGGATCCCACATCGAGTCATATGCGTCAATTTCCTTCTGTTTCATTCTGGCATACAGAGCATCATCTCTCTGAACTACATTTCCCACCAGCCACTGCAAGCATACAAAATCAGCACTGTTACTTTGGGGAAATCGTAGCTTGCCACACTCAGAAGGAAAGTGTGTGTGTTTTTTTTAACGCTTTTCTTGTTCGTGCTACCTTAAGCAGCGAAATGATATTTGAATAGTTGTCATGGCATCAGAGTTTGAGTTTTTCAGGCACCTTTCCGTTTGAAACACAGAAATATGAACATAGATGACAATCCAGACACAGATTCTGCGTTCAGATTGGAACAGGCTTCAAAACATGTTTCATTGGCTGTTGTGAGTCAGAGAGTAAAGAGCACGTAGATTGATCACAGCCAGACATCGACCTTGTCTTTGCTCCACAGAAATACACATTAACACTAGAACTCCCAGAATTCTGAAACTTCTAGAACTCCCAGAGCCGTCATTTAGACTGCTCACATTTAGACTGCTCACATTTAGACTGCTCACATTTAGACCAATAGAATTCTGAGAAATTCCCCAAAAGTTAGTTTTATAATAATAATAATGCATTGGTTTTATAGTTTTATATAGCGCTTTTTTTGGACACATAAAGACGCTTCACATGTCATTATTCATAGACGGTGATGATTAACTACTATTGTAGCCACAACTGCCCTGGGGCACACTGACAGGACTCCCATCACAGTACTAACCAGGCCCTCATTTTTAATAGGGAAAAAGACTAGGGAATATAACTGAAATACAGCAACAACAAAAATAGCTTGATGAAAAGTGACCAAATGCTAACTGCTGACAGTAAACAGTGTGTTGCTACGGTAACTACTCACATTTCAAAAGTAAAAGATAATTTCACAAAACTGGCCTGGCCTTAGCCATCCGTACACTCCGCTCAATTATTATTTCTCTATATGTAACGTTTGGGTCTAGTCCCTGTGTTAGCGATTACAACCGGTTGAATTCCATCCGACCAATCAGCGAGCGCGGGGGGCGGGTGTTCTAGAAAGTTGTGGGTGACGTCAAGAGTTTGCGCCGAACTGGCAGGTTGTAGTTTGAATTCGATAGTAAAGTTATCCAGTTTGGTTCTATCAAGAAATTGAAGCCGGAGCAAGAGGAATGGCAAAGATTGTGGCGCTACTCCCCACGGGCTCTATTCGCGGCAAAGGAGATGGCTAGGCTAAATGCTAACGACTCACTCAGGCGCATTACATACGTCACGGTAAACTCAGATCCAATCGTTTCAATCTGCAAAAGGAGTTAACCCCTCCCACCTGTTCACGGAGCTTAATGGAGCACCTCCAGACATTGGTACGTAATGTAAACTATGGTGTGGTACGACCAGGCTATCACAGATATAAAAACATTGAGATAAACTACATATAGAAATAGAAAAAGTCACACAGTTATACAAATGTACATAAGCCCAGTAATGCCAGTAATACGCCTCGCTTTCATAACCCGTCAAATTGACTGCTCTGGGAGTTCTAGTGTTAAATTATGGCACCGCTACTTTGAGCCCCTGCTGCTGCTGCTGATGCTGATGCTGCTGCTGCTGCTGCTGCACACATACAGGTAGTACCTTGTTCGGGTCGGATCGTAGTTTTTCATTGTTGGCCAAAGCGGCCTTCTCTGCAGCCTTCTTCTGCCGCTGTGGGCCCTGGCCGAAGAAGATGTAGTTGACAAAAGCGTACTCCAACAGGGCCAAGAAGACAAAGACAAAACAGCCCATCAGGTACATGTCAATGGCTTTCACGTAGGGGATCTTTGGCAGCGTCTCCCGCAGGTGAGTGTTGATGGTGGTCATGGTCAGCACCGTGGTGATCCCTGCAAAACACAAGCAATATTTACTACAATCTCTCTTTTACCACAATCTCTCTAAAAGCTCTTTGAAATACAGATGGGAATAGCTGAAAGATACGCTACAAGAAAAAATAAAGTAATGTTATGAAAACCTTCCCACATAATGGAAGAAAGTAATGTTGATAGTCAATTAAGAGTAAGTAAATGTGACTTCATCTATGAATACAACAACTTATTTCTTAGAGTATATAAAGTATAATATAGTAATACACTCGGTCCAGTAACCAATAGTTATTATCAAATTAGAAATGTGTGATCATTCAGGTAGAACTTGCCTTCAACCTGGGAGCTTGATAAGAATAAGAATAATGTATCGGTTTTATATAGCGCTTTTCAGGACACTCAGAGGCACTTCACATGTTATTATTATTCTTTCACTCCATACACAGTGGTGATAAACTACTACTGTAGCCACAGCTGCCCTGGAGCACACTGACAGAAGCGAGGCAACCAGTGTGTGCCATCAGCCCCTCTGACCACCACCAACCATTCACACACACCAGACTCATTCTAGGCAATGGGGGTGAAGTGTCTTGCCTAAGGACACAACAGCCGTTTGGCACTTTACAGCTGCAGCCGCCCCACTGTGGCACCTGCCCTGCACAGCCTCAGAGGGATCTGGCTTTCACATGCAAGTATGGCCACATAGGTCATCACACTAGTATCAGAAAATCACAATAGCACATCATGCCCAATAATAAAAGTCTATATAAAGAAAGGAATAAAAACAAATACACACAAAGACACAAAATTATTACTGTACTGTATTGTGTATGTATTGTATTGTATTTTCTGCGTGTGGTTATTTGTACAGGTTTCAAAGACAAGTGGGCAACAGGCTGGATAAGTCTTTGTACTTTCTGCTCTGTTCAGGACACAGAAAGGCGGCGGATCTTTAAATCACGTTACCCTTTGAAACGCCGACCTGCGAGTGTTCCACTTCACAAAACAAATGGGGTGTGACAAGAGCAATCCACAGAAAGCTGAAAGTCGTTCCCTCTGCTGCTCCGACCTCCTATTTACACATTGTGGATATAGACGCTAAATCTACAGCGCGTTATTCTGGGCTTTCAGAATGATTGTATGAGACGTCCTGCTCGGCCAGAGAGAGGGAGAGAGACAGAGCAAGACAGTGCACTTCAAGGTCAAGCTCTGCTCTACATGAGTCACGCACACATAGTCATCTCTAAATAAGACATTTAGTAGGCAGCCGATCACACACTGCTATCGCTCACATTATCTGAGTCAAGAAGGAAAACTGACAACGTTGTACAATGGCACAGTAGTCCCACAACCTTTTTATTCTTTTTTTTAACCCGACTGATAAAAGACCTTTTGTTCCCCTTGCCAGTGTAGACACCATAGACCAGTCCGGGGCAAACATACATACAGCCCGATTCACAATTCTGTGCGAACCCCGGACTCTTCCCAGCCATACCGGACTGTTGCTTATTTAAATGAATCAGGAGTCCCCATTGCTTGAAACATAAGATGTACTTCCATGGCATGTTGCATTTTTTTCCTATTCTCATTAATGCACCTAACATGTTGTTAGTATTAGTTAGAACAAATCTTTTACAAAATGTCCACAAACACAAAGAAAACACCAGATATCTTCATGTTTGTTAAATACATAAAAAATAATATTTTTTTGTGCTCTACAATTTTCATTTTTATTGCTTTTTTCTACCTGAGATGTTGCTGCAGTACAGTGTTCATGGTTTTACACTGGTCCAGACCAGGGCGGAGAGGATTCATGGTCCGAAAAAGTGGATCAGGCAGAAATCCACTGGAGGAATGCAACCTTTTTGAAAAATGCTAATGGGGCATATTATTTTTGCTGCTACTGGACACCTGAATTTCTCCTACGGGCGATCAATAAAGTATAAATCTATCTATCTATGTCACCATATGTGTTTGCTGAATGCGGAAGAAGCCGATTTGACCACAAGCTAACTGTCTGAAGTGTTATTGGAATAGGGCCACACTGTGACAGCGAGGGTCAAAACAGAAGGGAGTTATACCTCAAAAGAAACGCTTCTCTTCGGCCCTGGAGCTACACACTCCCCTGCGCCCCTCGACCACGTTCTGGAGGCTTACATGAAAGGTGTAACACACTAGCAAGGGAGAATGCAAAAGAATGCCAAAGTATGCGGCAGCAAAGACGTGTGTAAAAATGCACATCACACACAATAACACACAAAGGCATATGTCACTTTGCATGTAATGAGTGTGTATAGTGTATTGGTTTTACGTTTAAAGTTTATTTACAGAAATGGATTTAAATTCGAACGGTATTTTAAGTTCCAGAGTTTCACCTGTTCCTCTTACTATCAATGTTTCAAACCCCCTGCAATATCTTCTCGTTCCCCTCGGGGTCCGCATACCCTCGGTTGGGAAACGTTGCAATAGCACATGGCAACGGAGACAATCTGCGTAATGTATGTTAAACTGTTTAATAATCATGGAGCTTATTTCCCCGCGCTGCTGTTACAAAGTGATGAGGCACTCTCACCCAGGGCTACTCTCGCAGCAGAGGCATCGTAGTTGATCCAGAAGGAGACCCAGGAGAGGATGGTAATCAGGATGGAAGGCATGTACGTCTGCAGGATGAAGTAACCAATGTTCCTCTTGAGTTTGAAGCTGAGGGACAGGCGGGGGTAGGAACCTAAAAGAGAGGGAGCACAGCAGAAATAGACATTCCTCAGTGACGCCCACTAAAGACTATATATTCACGTCTGACATAAAATATGACAATACTTTGTTCAACTATAGGGAAATGTAAAATTAGATCAAATAATTTGTTGGTGCTATTGTCATCCTCAAGCAAAGCAGTCTTACCTGTGGAGAACACGACATTTTTGGAGATGAGTTTATAGTCAACAATAGAAAACTGTGGGAGTTCTATTCTGTCAACCCCAGACACTGCACCCTCTCCGCCTCGCCAGTAAAACTCAATGTCATCAGTGGTATATCCATCTGTAGAAGACAATCAGAAGCACTCCAAGGTCACATGAATCGATACACAAATACTAGTACACATAATTAAACTGGATATCAAACATTATTCATTTGAAGTATTATGCTCTGATTCATCATTCATGTATTATTTTAATGAAACTAGTACACAAGCTAAGACTTATTGATTATGTATATTATGTATGAGAGGGCGGTTCTTTCCTAAAATTTAGGAAAATCCTGCTGTATACCTTTAAGTCAACCATATGTAAAATATGACTGGCATTGGTGAAAAAGGACAGTGTTTGTCCTTTGTGTCCAGGTTAAGATCCTGGCGGCTGCATTTAGACATAACTGCAATGTTGAGAAGGCTGTTTGGGGAAGGCCCTATAGAGCAGGGATGTCAAACTCATTTTTGTCAGGGCTGAATATAAAAACTAAGTTCTGGTGGAGGGCCAAAAGTATAAAAGAGGTTTTTATTTGTTATAATATTTTTTACACATTCGAATTGTAGTATTTTCCATCCAAGCTGCAAGTTAATGATGACAATTGAAAATCATTGTGACGTGCTAGCTAGAAAGAGTTATAGACATGGTGCTTGTTATCTCTATTATCAGGGAGGGTGAAACTATCAATATAGTTTCTACACAGTGGGAAGTAATTACCATAATACATGTGCACTATCATTGTATAGTGTGTTTGCCCAGGGTTAAAAGTTTATACATGAGATTATAGTTTTGAGGATGATTCCCATGCCGGACTTTTCTGTGTGGAGTTTGCATGTTCTCCCAATGTCTGAATGGATTCCTTCTAGCGGCATTGAAAGGATGGGAGACAGATGTGCATATATATGTTTTTATATTATCATTATTATTGAAATATTTTAATATTATTTTTAATTATTATTTATTTCATCATGTATCATTCAAGGCATTTTTCATGAAAAAGTAAAGCATTATGCACAAACAAGACCACCCAAAAGGCAAACAAATACGTAAACAAATAAAGCACAGCATGCCCGTCTGTTATCCACAACCAACCGCCACATTCAAAAATACCAGATCCAGTAATACATGCATCATATTATATTGTATGACATATTTAGGTCCCTCAGGAACAGGCAGATTGAAGCATGATCTACATTGAACAGTGTGGAGGGACATCATATAATATCCCATGAAATGTTTAAGAGTTGGTGCAGTCTCTTGTAGGACCAGCAGTTGGGTGAGTTTGAGATGCATCAGGAAATTAGGTTTTAAGACTTGTGTCTGTTAAAAATGCATTGAGTTTATCAAGGGAAGTGCGAGTTCTCTAGCCTCATTAGTGTGAATAAAATAGCATGCTCTGGCATGAAGCAACCGTAGCGTTAAAACCGTTGCCAGTTAATCCATTTGAGAGAGACCCTCATGATGAAAACTGAGTTGAATGTGTGTACAAGAACTGTCTTTATTTTGTAGCTAAAAAAGAGTGATGGAAGGAAAGATAAAAAAGGTTGTAAATGCGTCTGTGTGAGAATGAATGCTCAATGGCATAAGCAGGAGAGATGTGGTCTACACTGCCAGACAACTGCATTTATTCTCCAGTGTCAGGAATCAAGACCCCTCTATCCTGTCTCTCACACTAGAAACCCCTCCATTCCAGATATGTGCTAAATGAGGTCTTTGCTCCACACAAAAATGGCGACTGCAGATCCACTGTCAGCACAGCCTCAAACTCTGGACTAATCAGGCTCCTAAAGCCTGAGGAAGCTTCTGCAGCTGGAGCTGAATTAATTAGGCTGGATGTTATCAGTCACTGAGCCATTAGTGATGTGCCTCTTGATGTGCATCTCCCCATATCTCATCAACCTTTCTCAGCATTTTATGTGCAGCTTATCAACCTGTACTGCCTCGCTTCCTGTGCTGCCAGACTCTGCAGAACATTTGTATGGCATCTGTGACATGTGTCTTTGGCTGTTGTCAGAGATGACCACTTACAGCTCTCGATCTCCAGAGTGCAGTTTTGTTCATCCAGAGGATATCTCCTCAGGTCCATCATGCAGGCAGCTGTTGTTGTGATCCTGAAACACCACAAAAGAGCCACCAGTTATGAGATTACACTGTAATGTTTCAATGTGTGTTTGTGTGTGTGCGTGCATGTGTGCGTGCGTGCGTGTGTATGTGTATGCGTGTGTGTGTTTTGTGCAAAAGCGACTAGGGCATCGGTTAATTGAAAGCTAATTTCAGTCTTTAGTCACAGACACAGAGTGACAAAAACAGAGACATGTCTGACACCAAGCTGTGCTTTATGTTCCTCAGCTGAAAAGGGCTCGTTTCCACCATAGACTGTATATTAACGGACAGAGTCACGCCTATCTCCACCGTTCTGACTAATGGGCCAAAAAATGTGCTCTACTGGAGAAATCCAAAATGGCCGCGAGTGGTCCCGCCCACAAGAAAATTGTGAAAAAACGCATCTGCGTATGCGTCAGCCGGCGCAACTCCATTCATTTGAACGAGAGACTTCAAAAATTCACAGCAAGTAAACTAGAGTGGTCCAAAAAAAATCCACCCCCCTCAGCATTGACACACATGTGGAGCGGAGCTTTGGGCCAAGAGCCAACTTTTGGACCATCCTGTAAAGACGTTTTTGAGAGGTCTGCTAATGCTATATGTTAGCATTGGCTAATTCTTCTTCTGGGTCCACCCCCATCGGCCCGGGGTGGTATTGCGCACGTCATTTAGGCCACTTTTGAGCTGGGACCCGCCCCCACTGGTTTTCACTCACAACAGACCCTTTGCTTTGGCTAACATTTCTTCTACATGTACATACAAGTGCACACTAAGTACACACAATAAACATCTAACAGTGCAGGTTAAAGAAACAAAAGTATTAGGTGACGGTCATAAAGGTTCCAGTGATGAGTTAGGAAGTGTTCATGTTCATGTTCATCAAACTGGAGAGGGAAAGAAACTGTTCTTATGGCGGGAGGTTCTGGTCCAGATGGGGAGAGGTTCGAATAGTGCATTTGCAGGGTGAGAGGCGATATAGTAGATATAGTAGGGCTGTAATGTATGATTAATTTTCATAATTGATTGATTGGTAAAATATTCTTTAGGTGAATCAATTATTGGTTAGATCCAGAGAAGTCAGTGAATATGGGATTGTTTGTACATTTTACACAAAACTTAAAAACTCAAGTGATGAACTTGGGGACCATGTTCGACATTACTTGTTACACATTGAGCTGTTTGACAACAAAAACACATTTCATTGTAGAATTATCTGAATCAGCATGTTTATGTCCATGTGAGATTCAAACTATTAAATGATCAAATCTATTTCAATAAAAATGTAAATGTCATGTTAAACTTCAGCTTAACCCTTTCGGTCTGTAAATAATTGACAATCTGTAAATGTCAAATGTTTTCTTATTTTTTGGCCGAAGAATAAATAAGAAATAAATAATTGATTTATTTGTTGCACCCACATTATATATATATAAACATGTTTAATCACACTAGTGGTAGCAGCTAGAGGTAAAAAATAACAGAAGGGAAAAATTCCACAAAAAATGAAACAATGAATGAATGGTGTATTCAGCACAACACACTAGCACCTCACTAAAAATAGATCTCAATGTCACTCGCGGAGTTACCTTCACAGACAAACTCCGGGCCGCTTGTTTATTTCAACAGGAAATGACGATGTTTGAGTGATCGTTCTTTGTATGTTCCTAAAAACCAGCTCTTGTTGAATGCGCTCAGGTCTCGTCTCAAAACTCGAGGAGATCGGACTTTTGCTGCTGCCGCTGCTGCTCACAAACTGTGCAATAGAGCAGCTTCTTCATTGGAGGTTTTTAAATCTAGTCTAAACACATATTTATTTCTTGGATTTTAAAACCAACTTTTATTTTTTGTGCATATGAAGCGTTTTGCACATCTGGTGTTGTTGTAAATGTGCTAAAGAAATAAAGTTGACCCCAAGTGACATCAAATGTGAAGCCCAGGAAATGATCACTATTTATGGCTTTTCAACATCTAGAGCAGTGGTTCTGAACCTTGTTGGAGGTACCGAACCTCTCCAGTTTAATGTGTGCATTCACTGAACTCCTTGAGTGAAAAATAAAATATGATTTTAAAAAAAGGTGTTTGTTTTGTTCATGTTTTAACACATAGAGACAAACAGTATGTGGTAAGACTATGACCCTGAAACGTTGGTCATTAACTAACTGTTTTGATGTTGATGTTGACATGCTCCAGCACAGTGTTCTGAAGCATTCTGCTTCAGGAAGCGCCACACATGCTCCAGAGTGGTGGGATTGTTTGCCCATCACTAGATCATTTGTGTGTGATCTCTGCGGCGGAGGCTCTGCCGAACCCCTGAGACCGACTCACCGAACCCCTAGGGTTTGACCGAACCCAGGTTAAGAACCACTGATCCAGAGCGACTGTCGGACGCCAGAGCTAATAAGCAGAGCTAACCAGGAAGCAACAGAAGGGGTGCCAAAAGAACCCCTTTACGACATGTCCATCCAAACACGTTAGCCAAGGAAAATTCTTCTATCCACCACAAGAGAGTAGAGAATCTTGTATTACTTATCTTGTTTAGAAGTTAAGTAAGCTCACAGAATGTCACATGTAGAAAAAAAACTTTCATCCTCCTTTTTCTAAATCTCACCGATGCTACTGTTTGTCTGGATGCGTATGTCAATGGTAGACTATAGATGGTAGACTATACAACTCAATAGCTCTTTTGCAGTCACATGACCAAAGCGCATCTGGGCGCCATACTGAGGGGTAGCAGCTGTCAATCAAGCCGTCAGAGTGCACTCAGCATGCTTATTTTTTCAGCAAAATGGACATTCAAAACAAGAATGAGAAGAAGGCTAACAGGGAGGAACGCAACAAGGATGCCAAAGACCAGTATCTAGCAAGGCTTACCTCTGTTAGCAATATAGCGTTAGATCCATTTGAGTTATCCGCCAAAGCATGGTCAACTGACCCAGCACTATTTCCACCAACAAGACATTTATTTCAGAAATTAAAAATCCCTGAAGGTTCATGGACTTTTTTACTAATGGTTGGGTACAAGATATAAGTTCATTTCAACCAGAAGGATCTGCTAACCCCATTATCACAAATGTTTTACTAGAACAGCTAATGAGCCATATTTTGGGGGGAAAAAATAAATGAAAGGCAATGAAACGCGATTGTTGTCATCCCCTCAATATGGCGCTTGATCCAATGGGTGACATCATTAGCAAGAAAGTCATATATCATGATAATGTGTGTAATTAGATAGATATTTACTTTGACAATAGCAATACATTTTGTAAGCTGGACAGCAAAATTACTGGTTTAATTTTCTTTCTTTGACTGGTTTCTTTTCAGAATCTGAGGCTTCGTCAAAGAGGCAAAAAGAGACTACGTACGACTTTCTACGTACACTATGTACGACCTGTTTCTGCTATGACATAGTATAAACTCAGTCTAAACATTTCATATGAGCCATCTGTATTCAATAAAGAGCCAGGGGAGTCATAGATTATCATACTATAGACTAGAGTAACCTGTTGCCCTCCATACCCACTCGACAGCTTAGACTGGGCACAAGTTCCCTGTTATTAGGGAGAAAAAAATATTTCACTTATCCCAGGGTCAAAATCATTTTGGTCAGGGCCACAATAATATGATGATTATTATTATTATCATTAAAATTACAATTATTATTAGTAGCAGTAGTAACACATAAGTAAGTAAGTCATAATATTGTAGATATACTCTAAATGTTAGCAAGTTTTGAAAATCAAGTGATACCCCTGTGTACACCATGCGGGCCGTGTACGTCTGGTTGGGACACACAGACTCAGGTTTTGTCCCCTTACATACACAACATCCTATGGGCACAGGACTCTCTCCTTCTTGGACAATTTAGGGATTTTCTGAGATGGTGAGACAGTCCTCTTCCACTGTTGCCTTCTTTTCTCTGGGCCTTTATGTAAGAGGCTGTTAGCAGAGCCATGGTGCTATGGGGATTATCACAGGATGCTCATTTCTGTCCTAGTTTATCATTCCTTTATGGCCACAACTTACTGAGATGTGCCCACCAGCCCATCACTCATCACTCACCATCATTACCATCCTCAGTGCTCAATCGTGGTGGCAGAGAAAGCACAAGGGAAAAGCGGAAATGAGGCCAAAATGGCAGGAGTAAAAATAACAGCCTATTTATAGCCCACCTACATCATCATCATCAGAAGTCTCATGCTTTTTTGTCTGAGAAAAGACAGAGCATCACTGATCACGAGACATCTGTGTGCTATGCTTCACTCATATTGATTCAATGAATGCCAAGAAATAAAACAAAATTGGAACCTTTCTCTGCTGGATCTCCATGTTGCCTTTGCTTTGTCTGTGGAGTCAGCGTCTGGAGCAGAGGAGCAGACGGTTTTTTTCCCCTCATGCGAGTCAACCCTGCTGTCGGACAACCCTGCCGGAGGAGAGGCTACGCTCCACCAGATCACGCACATTCAAACACGCTACATTTGATCTGCGTTCTGAATAATATGACATGATTTGAAAAAAAGAAAAAAAAAGCTGTTTTGTTTTTGTCTTTTCATGCCCTGCCTTCACTGTTGAGTTGCCCATGCAGTGCGTGTGTGTGTGTGTGTGTGTGTGTTTTTGGACCCCTAAGGCAGCCTGTGCACCTTTCTTTTAAATGACCTTGTTTACGGACATAACAGAAGCATCGCAAACTCTCTCCCAGACACAATCTCGTTTCCGGCCGATGTCACAGCCACAAACCAGAGGCTGAAGGAGACATTACCGCGAGCAGGTTACAAAGCAAGGCCTGTAATTAACACGACAGGATGCATTTTAATACGTGGACAGTAAACCGGAGATGGAGCTGCGTCCATTTCAGGGGGTCAAAGCCAAAGCAACACTTGTGGTTGGTTTACTTACCACTAATATGTCAATTATGTCTGATAAAATAAATTGGTGTCAAGGTGCATTTTCAATTCAATTTGGAGTGGGGGAAACACACACACACACACAGAAGAGGTCGGTTATGTATCTT